AGCGAGGGCTGCGTGAGGCTGCCMGGGCCTCCCCAACCCTGCCTGTCTTCTTATCCACAGCTGCGATTTACTTGGAGCTCTCCCGAGCATTTTTTCCTTGTCTTAATGTTGTGGGCAGCCTTGGAGACCGGTTGAAAATGTGTGTTTTCCCCCACRTCACCAAGTATCCTTTGGGATACTTGATTTACACACCACCTTTTTGGTCGAGCATACGTACGTGTGAGACAGGCTCTTATGCCAAGCACCAAGAGCAGCCAAATCTGTGATTTAGCTGTGATTTGGCTGCCCAAATGCGTTCRTCACATATGATATACACCTCTGCAGGCCGGTTTTATGAACACGAGAGCAGAGCCTAGCTCCCTTAATAAAACATCAGTGCCTATTAACAACAGCGTGGAGTTGGTGCAGTTTTCAAACTGTGCGGTTGTACCAGGAGGAGTGATAGAAATTGCCAAAAAAAGARAAGGTCAAGAAAGACACTTTTCTAAGCGCTTTTTAGAATTGATAGTTTCAATGCAAAGCTCCGTTGTCCTTCTGAAATGGGAACTGTTGCTGATCTGTAAATCAAAGGCAAGCCAGCCATGTTTTCTGGCCTTAAAAAGTGGTGTAGCTTTTGTATACTCATGTGCTTGGCCTGGAACGTTTTCAAAATTATAAATAGATCCCTGGGAAGTCCCTGGATAAGAAAAAATGTGCTCTTGTTGGTTGTCATAAATAAACTAGCAGGAGAGGCCTTGGTCTTGCAGCTCTTCTTCTCTGGGGAGAGGTCCTTTCTGGTGCCTCGTTTCACATGAATCGGGGCAAACTCTGTGGCCATCTCTAGTTCTTGGGAATTYGACACCTCTCTGGGCTTGTCTGAACCCAGAATAGCTATTTCCAAGCTTTTCCCTTTCCATTCCTCCTCTCCAGCACCCGATGCCGGGCTCCTTCGGCACAGGCAGCACAGAGCCCCCCTAATGCCGTGTGCCCTAAAGCCGCCTCTTACAGGCCTGGCTGATACCCGGATGATCGCCACAGGGTATTAGGTAGGATCAGAAGGCTGTAGCCTGTCTTCCCTGTCACCTTCAAAGTGCTGGGAGTACTGGAAGACCTTTCCTTCTTCCAGCAAATGTGCTACTTGTGCTTACTGAATGATGACAGATATTGGTTCTGTCACACAGAGGGAGCAAGTCAGGTCCAGAGGTGGGGGAAATCAGGCTGCATCTGTCATTGGTGCCGCTCTGAGTTTTGCTGCCTGAGGCTCAGCACTTTGGAGAGAAAAGCTCCCGTGTTTGCATGGGGGCTCCTTCCAGCTGCAGACGTTTTTACAGTCTGAGGCGGCCTGCAAACCTGTGTTGTGAGCCCTTCAAAGCTGGAAGTGACAAACTTCAGCCCAGGGTAGAACCTCAAGCAGAGGCAGTGAGTGTTTGAGCACAAAGAGTTTGCAGAATGGATGCTTCAAACAGATCCTTCCCCCTCCAAATCCTGATTCACCTGGTATCTAAAAGAGCTGAAATTACCTGCAAAGGARAAGTCGAAGAGGAAGCGTGTTCATCAGACCTCGATGATGTGTGAACTGCTCAGATGTTAAGGACACTAGGCTAGACTTAGAGAAAAACAGTTTACCAAAAGAAGTGCTTTTCTCTGAATGTTAGTGCTTCTCTCTGAAAGCAAAGCAAACTGCAATCTTTGGTGATAATCAAAAAGGAAAAGGGTCTTTGGTGGTTCTTCTTTAGGAAGTCCTGCTTCCTTTTGCCTGCTTCACCAAAGATAAAAACCTGCTGCTTCTGCTCGTGACGTTGGCACAGACTGAACACATGAGTAATAATAATCTGTTGCTAGRATCAGCCTTCAGTTTACGTGCAGAGGCCTCTACGGAGGCAACACCGCCAATGGAAAATGTGTTCCCACCCAAACTGGGAAAGCGGATGCGTCGGAGCATGCGCCTCCGAAGGCAACATCAAAGCAGGGGCTTCCCRAGGGTGCCCCGCAATGCGCACCTGCCTCCAGCTGCCCTTGCCTGCAGCTCCCTGCTGCTTTCGGCCAAAAGGAGCACATTTGTGGGCTCTTCCATGCCATCCACTTTTCCAAGGTGGGCTCGTATGGAGGAGCCTGCGGGCACTGCTGGCTGCTGCTGGTGTCTGGGATGCAGGAGATATCCATGAGCTACCTGGGAAAGGCTTGGCCCGCGACAGGCCGCAGGTCGTGCCAGCTCGTTTACCTTGCTTCCTAATTAGTGCGCGCGCCTCCTTCACTGAACTAACCGTCAGTGTTTAATGAAGCACATGTGTGAGGCTGCAGTGCTAATTACGTGCAGTGTTTTGAAAACAGCAGAGCCGCTATAGCAGGGAGTACCTCGGAACTGCTGCTTGTTGCGTGATGGAACCTTATTCTGTGCTTGGAGCAACTGAAAGGCAAAACTGGGGAGCTGCACTACCCAGCCGTGAGATTAAGGCTGTGAAATCCTTGATAATGAATCCTRCAAATCCACCTGGAACTTTTTCTTTTCTTTCTTCTGAGGCAAGACTGTCTTCAGAAACACCCTGATGAAGAAGAGCAGCTCTTAGGTCTCACTGATGATAAAACTGTGATTAAAATCTTGTGAATTTGAACCTTGATTCTTTGTTTTTGGGCAGGTTTCTTGAGATTTCTGCTCTGTCCCCTGCTCGTAGGGTTTTCTGTCTCTGTTAATGATTGCCTCTATCTCTTAATAGGGCAGACAGGGTCTACTAGTACCCCATTAGTGAAAAGCTTTGAGCTTTGTAAGTGCTTTTATAGGATAAGCTTCTCTTGACAACTAAATCATTTTAGCTGTGTTTTAGGGAACCCAGGTAGTCACAAATTTGCCCTTTTTGAAAACACCTAAGCAAAGTGCTTCCCTTGGATAGGGCTTTCATAGTGCTCCTCTCTTGTGTGGTGCCTCCCATGTCTCAGAAAGGATGAGCTCACGCAGCGCAATTCACTTCAAAGTTGATCAACGCTAAGAAACGAATTGGTTGGAGGAAGGTCCCAGCGTCTCTCGAACTGTCTGTTTTTCTATACCAAAAGAGCGTATTCCCAAGTAGGCATTTAAGTGCTTTGCTGTGCTGAGGCCAAACTCTCCAGAAAGATGGCAAGACAAAAGCATTTTCTGTGTCTGAGGATTTAGCCCTGCTGCAATGGCATCGTGTCATTGGGAAACATTTGATTTCTTTTCCACACTATCAGTTGTATTTCGCTGTTGTCCAGCATTTCCTGGAGCTGCCGGCTTTGGCTTAGCTCTGCTTAGCTTCTTTTGTGGTTATACCACAAAAGAATCAACTTAAACACCAAGCAGAAAAGACRATAGATCTTAAAGCCTGCAGAAAACATTACTAAGGAATTTTATCAGTATCCTGACAGTTGCAGATTCTTTAGAGGTGGCTATAAAATAGTTACATGTAATACGCTTTATTGRAATGCAGATCTGGAGGGTCAAAGGAACTATCTTATTGCCACTGTAATCCTTGGGCAGATAATCTTGTACCGTTTAAAGAATRCTAATCCTTGCAGGAACGTCCTCGGAAAATGCGAGTGCTCCCTTCCCGTGCGCGTGGAGTTCTCTGTTGGGGCAGGACAGGGATCGGAGGCAGCAGCGAAACAGGCTTGCAGTACAGGATCACCAAAGGAGGGATTCAGGAAAGTGGTAGAGCCTAATATTTAGAAATCTGTTTTCAGCCTAACCTYATGCATCATTTTGAGTCCTAGAATTGTCCTCCTAAGTCCTGGGTGACTTGCAGTTACAYTGAGTACTCACTGCGGCTCTTAAATTGGTGCTTTGGACTTACAGTCACATCTGTTTCTCCCCAAACACCTGGGCTGTGCCATGTTCACATTTGTTTTTCTTTTTACTTTATCGTCTGTGTGTCTTTGCTCTCCATCTGTAAGATGTRGTCAGTAGCCCCTCATCTCCTGTACATGCTGTGAAAGTAAATTGTAGTTTGATTGATGTTTGTGAAGCACTCGATGCTGYGGAGATGACTGCCATAGAAATATTGGGAGGAACTTAATAATCCTGTCATCAGAACAGCTCCTGAATGAAGCACAAGGACACACATTGTTCAGGGGGCCGAAAACAAAGCATTGAATGGGTCCTMATTAAACAAGTGGCGTCCGTTCTGTGTGCTCAGTGAGGAAAAATAGTGTAAAACGGAGAAAATAAAGGTGGCATCGTGATTCATCCACACATAGGGACTGAATGAAAATGTCATTGGCATCTTCAGTGTTGTGTTTTGTTACTCATTTATTCATCACTTTTATTTTAACACATACTGGGTGGATGAATTATTAATATCCAGCGTGTRAATCCTAGTACTTCTGATGACAAGGTTACAGTTATTTAGGTCACAGAGCTTGGTTAAGGGGAGCCCTTATTTAATTTTCAGCTTCAATTACTTTTGAACTTGCTTAATTTTTATGTTCTTGATAAAAATGAGTTTCTGTCTCTGAGGCYCTTTTCTTTTTCCTTACAGTGGCAAATTAAACAATGCTGCTACTGCACTAACAGAAACATTGATATACTTTTAAAAAAGACTCAGCGTATCATTCCCGCAAATTGCATTAGTGATGGGGGAGGTATCCAGGGAAAGGAAAATGCAGGAGCTGGGAAAAGAAACTCCTGCATGGGGGATGAGGAGTAACTGAGGTACCAGGCAGAAACAGCAGTTRAGATTATTCTTTTACGTTAACTGCTGCTTTTTTGTTTCACATTAATCTTTGCAGATTTGGCTTTAATTGTTTCCATTTTGGAACAATTATCTGGGCAGGAAGAGATGCCTCTAAAGTACAAAGAGGTAAAGAAAATCTTGGAGATGTGACAGTAACAAATTTGCAGAAGGCACCATGAGCTTCTCTCCACTTTCTATAAGAAAGCAACTGTGCCTGAAATTTCCTGGCCATAGCACTTAGTCACACCATGGACAAAACTGTGGTCCGTGGACTAGACTCGGGCACTTCATTCAGCATGAGCTAAGGAAATATCCTAGCAGGAGGGAAAGACCCCAAACATGTCTCCTTGTTGCTCTCTAACATCTTTCATCGCATCATTTTGAAACCCAAATTGTGCTAATGTTCTTCTTCTGCTCTTATTTCAGCTTGGAAATTGATTGAAGACTCTCCGTAAGATTTATTATGGCATCAAAGCTGTCATCTCCCTCAACAGAGGAGCAGGCTTCCTCTGAGATAGATGATCTCTATCTATCACTGCAAGGTAAGTTATTGACATTTTATGTCCTTTTTTTTTTTTTTTTTTTTTTTTAATATGGATTTGTGGCAAAAATAGGGGGCTGTGTGCAAGTTTGAATGAAATTCTGAAAAAAAAAAACCCAGTTAAAACCAGGATTACAGTCTGTGTAGTTGGTTCATACCTGTGTTTTCCTGCAGATGTTTCAGTTTTTTCATAGGTGACTTTTCAGCAGTAAAATGAACAGATCCCTTGGTGCCTCCTTCAGTATTTTCAGAGCTGTTGCCTTTTTTTGSTACAGATGTACTCACTGTTACTTCGGTTTTCTTCCCCATAATACATGTTAGTGTAAGCTGTTTTCAAGGGAACTTTAGTCAAGGCATCAGGGTTGGCCTTTCAGCCTTTCTGCAGTTTCCTTAATCAGATGTTGAGTTTTCTTCTRTAACATTTTTCTTTTAACTGATTTCTATTTTCTGATTTCTGGTAACTGGATAACTGATTTCTGGTAACTGATTTTCCTCTAAACATATTCATGAAAAAATGTAGGGAGGCTTCATGAAGGAGCCTAGTGCAGGCAGCAGAGCTAACACCACTGGAAAGCTCGTCCCTGATGTGGTTGGTGCCTGGTTATTTTAGGATGGATGGGCTAAGTCATATTCCCACAGAGCTCTTCCCTTCTCTATCACTTATGATGAAGTTCCTCTGTTGCTTAGTTGAGAAAAAATATGTTTAAAACAGATAGTGCAAAAACTACTCTACCAAGAAACTTTTATGATCCTAACTTGCACTAATATTGTCATTGAAGCTGTGTGCTTTTATGAGCGAGAGCTAACAGTGATCTGAGGCCAAACTAACAGTGAGTTTTCTTCTGTTTTGCTTCAGTATTTGGCTTTCAGGAGAGCAAAAAAAAAAAAAAAAAGAATCTCTCAACAGGCATGAGTTACTGGGAATATTGTGCCGAGCCTGGCTTGTCCACGGCACTGCTCCAGTGGCAACCTCAGCCTGGAGGATGATTTTACCTTTAGTACAAAGGCTGAGGGGACTGTTGCCATGAAATGGGTTTAGARGTACTATCATTCAAATAACTACATAATATCAAATAACTACATAATGTTTCTGTGCTATAATAGTTTGTGCTCCTGGCTTATGCTGAAATGAATACAGTGCAAGTGTGTCTCCAAACTGTGTGTGCTTAACTGTTTGCAAAGCACCCAGAGAGGTCTCCTGTAAACAGCACAAGCCATTTTTATAAGGACTGAGTGTAATGGAAGAGGCAGATGTGCTCAATGTATTGAACTGTGGTGCTGCAGCGTCCGCTCTGGGGCAGAGCAGAGGGACAAACGGCAGTAGAGCTGTGATGAAGCACTGAAGGCACATTCCCTGACATGACATATAGAAAGCATTAGTAAATCTACCAGGAGATCTGTGGTAACAAAGGTCCAAGGAGAAGAACAAGGTCACTCCAGGAAAGGGTTACGTGTTCTTTTTTTTCAGTAATAGGACTCCTGAGATGTGATTTGCACAGCAGCCAGACATTGGGGTTGCTTCAGGTCTTACAGCTGACATGGAGAAATTATAGAGGAAACTCAGATCAAGGAATAGCTGCTCATCACTTTGAGGAAATCAGTTCATTTTTGGATTAACTAGCTGGGCATAGAAAACTGGTTATGATCTGCTTTTCAAACAGTTAAATCCATAACCTTAAAGTCTATGTCCAGCCTTGAATAATACACCATCTCTAATAGGAGGTAAGTGTAAATATTTGGCACTGAAGAAGAAAACAGGAGTGAGATCTAGCTGGGCTTGCTTGGGTTTTGTTCTGCTTTTAACTTATTTGTGATCCAATCTCTTGTTATTCCTGAAAGGCATCCAGGGACATTACGACACTTGTCTAATCTGGTTACATAGGACAAGATCTATTGCATGTTCTAGTCGTTTCTGTCCATTATGGAGTTATATGACAAAAAAAATGCAACAGAACAGCTGCTTTTCTACTATGTATAAAACTAAACTCTTGATCTAATAAGATTTGGCTATAATTTAAGCCATAAACTTCTGTGAAGCAGATTGTTAATAGTTTGGGGAGTAATGGGAAGGAAAGAGGGGAAGATCTTTAAATAATTACAAAAGAGGTTACTTCTTGGCTCTAATTATTATACAAACTCTAATAAATCAGTGCCAGGTTGTTAATATTGTACAAATATTAGCATATTTGCTAGTATTGCATATAATGCATATTTGCTAATATAAATTAGCATATTTGTACAATATATGCAGTTGTATGTACATACAACATAACTGCTTTCACACTTTAATAAGCTGTCACAGGATTTTAGTAGACATCATAACTTCATTTAGAACTGTTCAGCTGAACAGATGGGTAAACAAACAAACAAAAAGAAGTAAAAATATAACTTTGTTCCCAGTGAAAGAGGAAGTGCCTCTTTCTTTGAAGCTAAATATTTTAAGGAGAATTAATGAAGCTTGAACATGGAAGCAGCGTGGTTTCTAGTGTTGCCATCTCCAGACAGTTTCAAATGATGAAGGCTGTCACAAAACCATGAGGCTGAAAAAAACCTGCAAGACTAAAAACCCTCATATGTGTCTCTTCCTTGATTTATATGTTGCCTTTTCCAGTTATCAAGCAGATTTCCAGAGGCAAGAGAGAATAGCTTTGCTTCTCCCATCCCAAGAAATTTGAAATTGCTGTAAAACTACAACATCAGGTCTTGGTGTCCCTCTTTTCTCATCCTTTTTCTTTTCCTCTTCTCTCCCCCCAACATTAGAATGAAATTCAGTGAGGAAAAATACCAATTTTAGTTGTGCCCTTGCCTTTCTGCTTCCTCCTTCTTTCCATTTTTTTGGTACAGCATGTCCTAGAGCTGCTGCAAAGCTTTTTTGTGTCCATGCACAACACAGGCAGAACACCTGGAGCTGGACCTATTRGGGCATATCCTATGGGAATTATTTAAGGGAAGGATTTCTCCTGCTAGGCAGGCTCCAAACATTTTGCTGAACACAGGATGCTCTTTCTTGTGGTCTGTTCACTCTCTGAAACATAAAGTCTTTTTGTTGTGCAGACATTTGCCCTAGTTTGCTATAGGGGGGCAGGCAGGAGCTCTCTGCAAAGGGTGGATGAAGGGAGAATAACGTGCCCTGCTACAACCCCGTAAGGTCTTCCTGGTGTAGGAACCCGCAGAGGGGTCCAGCCTGGTACAGGGCTTTTTCTTATTGCAAGACACAAAGGGGCTAAATTGTTTTCAGCTACCTGAGATGAGAAACCATGTGCCATGCTTTGCAGGCAGGAGGGCTTTGTGGCAAGCGCTTTGAGCTGTGCGGTGAGCAGCAGCATGGGCTGCGTGTGGCCTCTTGCGAAGGAGTGGCTGCTGCCCCAGGAACCGAAGGAGATTTGTCCTGCTCTGGAGCAGGAGGTAGTGTTTTTTTTTTTTTTTTTTTTTTTTTCAAAATTTGCTTCCCTGTATGGTGTTCCCAGCCTCCACCTTCCTTCTCCCACGCAAATCCTTCCCCCTGCCCTCCCAAGGCTGTGAATAGACAAAAGCTGTGGCCTTGCCCAACAGCAGAATTTTCCATTTTCTTTCTCTACTTACTGAGATATTTCAAACATAGAAGCATATTCTTATCTCTCCATCCGGGCCATGTATTTGTTTTTTTTTTGACATTTAATTAATTGCAGGGGTCATAACTTGCTGGCTCTGCTCACTGACCTACGTGCATATTGCTGTTTACTGCTAATCCAAAGGACAAYAGCATAAAAACCTGGCAGCTAATACTGTTTTTGAAGAGTGCTTAATGATAACAATTAAGTATTCTACTTCATACAGTTGTATCTAATCCTTATGAATGATTAAAAATGTAATTTCTCTTCAGCTGACATGGAAAATGTGGTGATATATACTGCTGGATTTTGTTGTGCAGCTTGCACTAGATTGCCCTTGTCTCCAAGTAATTGACTTAAGGGAGGATATCTCTTTGAAACGCACTTAATTCTTCCAGAGGTCACAGGGACTAGTAACTCTCACCTAACAGTCTCCTACCTTCCAGCTGTGTGCCTCATCTGTTGAGATTTGTGTTTTATTACATCTACAGATTTGTTTTTTAAAACCAAAATGTTCYAAAAAGTCTGTTCAATGCTTATTATGATATTCAAGGGTGATTTTACAAGAGGAAAAGCTCCCATGGGCATACCTGCCCTGAAATTTATGTCCTGTTTATGCTACACAGCTGAGGAGCCCATGTGCTTGTCGCGACTCCCTGGCATGTGATGAGCAYGGTGGAACTTGAGGTGGATGATACATGAGCCTGGCCATAAGAAAAGCTCAGTCATGGGTATTTTTGTCTCAGCTTATCATGCCTAATGAAAAAAAAGAAATCATCTCATGGGTAAAACATTCACTCAAGCAAAGAAACTTCAGTTTGTTTAGGGTATTATCAGCTACTTCACTAGTTAAAAACTGGCATTAAAATGGCTGAGTGGATCACTTCTGAGGCAGCAGTATAGAACACTGAAGGCCACTTGTGTTCAAGTCTCTGCTCCATCATGGATTTTCTTTTATGTGTTAGAGGAGCTACTTAAGCTCTTATCTTTAAAGGTGTGTTGATACCTAAATGATGTGATTTAGTATCTTTAAGAATTTAACCTGAAACCACTGCCTGTGCCCTGAATGCCTCACTTCTGTGCAGCTCTGACAATAAATATAGCAACCAACTCTGAACTACTCCAGGATCCTGGCAATGAGCAGAGTAAAGGTATTTAAGGAAGCCACTCAGGCAGAACTCAGTCTGAAAATAATTCCTGGCAATTTGGTAAGTTRGAGAATTTGTCTGTGAAAGGAAGAGGAGGTTGAAAGGAGATAGTGTAGGAGAATCCCCACATGCTTCCTAGATGCAGCAGCAAATAACYTCTTAATTTTCATGCAGCTTTTGGAACTGGCAAGATCCATTGCTGTAGAGATTTTTCATTGCCTTCATTGAGTTTTGGAAAAACTTCTGATTCTTGACAAAAATATTGTGTTTAATTTTAATTGCTTAGTACCATGTTGTTCAGCATAAATGCTGAAAATAACTCTTTACCCCTACCTTCCTGTCTGCTGCAAATGAAAACAGTGCTAATGGGTAGAAGAGAAGGAATTGTAAAGGGCTGTGTGATGAATTCCTCACTCWGTCCCTTGGTGGCAGATCCATAAAAGGCCTCTGACAGGTCCCATCATTTGCTGCAGGTACCTACTTGGTGTTTCAGGTCATACTAGGARTGCTGTGTTGAAGGAGACCTCCCAGTTACCCTCCTATCTTCATGTACTGAAGGTAATTCCCTCTGTTGAAAAAGAGATGGGGAGATGACAGACAGACCCGTGCTCATTGATTTAAAATTACTGCTAAGGGTTAAAAAAGGAGAGTAATTTCAACTCTAGCTTTTCCATATCCCTCTTAATGGATGGCTGGGAGCAAAACCTCAGCAGGCTACTGTGGTCCCTGCTACAACTTGCATCGTGTCCCCATGCTTTAGGTCATAATGATTAGTCTATTTTTTCATATTTGTTGATTGYTTATTACTGGTTAAAACTGTGAGCGTCCAGCAGTGTCTATCGATTTTCAGCCAGCCTACGTGACATGCTCATCCTATCTGCTATTCCCCACTAAAAAAGTTAATCCAAAGGTTAGTTTTGAAAAACAGTAAGAAATATGGCACATTTCAAGTGTTTTCAAATTAGGAGGTTCTTATTTTATTCCCTTATATCCACTTTCTGGCTTGATGAGTTTTCGCGCAAAGTGAAGGAAAGTTTATCAACTTTTTTCTTTTAATATCTCTTTTTATTGTGGGTCAGTTACATTTTGAAAACTAGGGCAGCATAAAACCAAGGTTGCTTAGAGCCCTACAAAAAGGYCTAACAAAGAATCCATTCATCCTCATAATAATAAAAATCCGTATTAATTAAGCACATGATAGATACAAGAATTTGAGARCGTGATTAAATCAGTGGAGCCTCCGAGCAGCAGTGTCAGGGGAGCCGCGGGAGAAAGACCCGCTCAGCCTGAAAACCGAAAAATAACTGTCCGCCCCTGTGCCAGCAACACACGTGTAACGAGAGCTGTGGGTTGTGTGGCCTAGATTTAAATGGACTGACTGCCATTTAAMACCACAGTTTGGAGAGGTATTGGCAGGCGCAGCGTGCTGTATTGATCCACAGGGAGATTTTTTTTTTAATTTGGGTGTGAAAATAAGGCAGATTGAGGCTGCCTGCAAAGCAGCTCCATGGGCAGTAGCTTGGGCAGAGCGGAGCGTGCGCCAGGGTACCCGCTTCGTACTGAGGTCCTGGCCCAGGAGCCACCAACGAGAGCGAATGCTATGCTGGCTGCTTCTGCGCATTAATACAGAGAGAATCAATGGAACGGGGAATGTCCTCATTATAGCAGTCAGTCTGGTGTATAAGCAGCTGCAAAAGCAARTTCTCCAGACTGGGAGCGATGGCGGGTGTTTGACGAGAGCTCTGGCTGGAGGAGTTGCTGGGTTCAGGTGAGACGGTTAATATTTGTTTTCTGCGCTGGCTTTCYGTGCTTTTTCTTTCCCTGTGCTAGCAATACCGGCCTTGCCCGCGTGATAAAGCTGAGCCTGGTTGCTCAGCAATGTTTTGTTAGTAACTGGGAACGGCTGCTGGACGGGTGTTCACMGCAGGGTGCGGTTTGGTCCTTTGCAGACACGAGGCCAGTATCTCTGTGCTATTTATGCCCTCCTTGTGCGTGTTGTGCTTGTGCCTTGTCTGGGTGGTTGTGATGACATCCGGGACCTTCTGGATTGTGGTGTTTGTTGTGCTGAACTTGAGAGATCATCTTTGTCAAGCATAAAGGTTTTTTAGAAATAAGAGGGTTTAACAAATCTGGAAGTATAGTAAAACTGGAAATATAGSTATAGGCTGTCCGTTTCTTCAGGAACAGAGAACAGAGAAAAGGTTTGGTAGTTACACAGTGCAAAGCAATCCTTGATGCACATAACATGCACATAACATCTTGGGGTTGGTTGGGGTGGTTGGGGGAAAGGGGCTGTGCACTTTCTAAGCAGCTCAGGGAGCGAGTTTGCACACAGCAAACCATAACTGACCCAACRCAGACCAGGAGTGGAGTCCGTGCTTGCTGAATTCCCAGCGCTTAATGAAGTATGGGACGTTTTTCTGTGAGTGGCATTTCATCTTCATGAGCAATAAGGGATTTTATTTTATCTACCCAAGGGGCTTGATATTTTTGGTACCTTTCATCCAGCCCAGCCTACGAGAATACACCTATCATTGTGTAGTTTTGCATTTGCCTTATGATGTCCACTTTCATGTTAATTTTTTTGTGCACAAGCATTGTCAGAGACAGAAAAAGGTCGGTTACTTCTGCTGGATCCCCAAATTTGTTTTCGCAAGCTGACTACCTGCCAAGTCCTGCCGCAGCCCCATCCCTGTGGCAGAAGGTTTTACCCTTGGCTTCTTGCCCTCCATCCCTTTCCCTACTGTGCCCACTCGGGTTGTTGAAGCGATGTGGTGCTTGGGATGGCTCTTCAGGTGCAAGAACGGAAAGGGGAAGGGGTGCTTTCTTGTCCTTGATGCATGTGTCATCTCCTGACACAAACAACCAGTGGGCCACAGAAAATGGGTCCCGCCCCTTCCTCCATTTTAGGTCAGCGCTTCCACATCATTCCCCAGGGAAATACTGGCAGGTAGCCAGGTAAAGGTGACGGAAAGGATCTTGGTTTGTGTGTGAAGCCCTTTGCAGGAGCGCAATATTGCTTTACATATGGGGAGAAACAGTAGGAGGAATCAGAGAGACTCGCTCAGAAGCAAGGAAAATGGAGGCAGGGCCTGATCTCATGCYGCTCAAACAGACAGCACCTTTTCTACAGCCTGAGGTGAGGATCACATGAAGCTTTATGCCAAGGGAAACCATTATTATTTATTTTGGCAAGGTGCGTGGTTAGCTCCCCATTTCCATGCCTGTCTCAAGCAGGACATAATCTCACAATCTGTATTTGCTGCTTTCAGACAGGGTGTAGAGGAGATCCCGAGTCAGTGCAGGGAAGGGTTTGAGGCAGCGAAGGGCAGTGAGGGGGGTTGGCAGTGAGCCACCTTTGCAGCTCGGCAGCATCTGCTGCATTGGTTACGCTCAGCACAAGCCTTTACCAGAAATGGGTCATAAATGGTCTTCCCCTTGGCCTTTTGTGGGTAGCAGGCAAGGATTCAAGCAACAGGCTGCCCAGGGAGGTTGTGGAGTCTCCTTCTCTGGAGGTCTTCCATCCCTGCAAGGGATACTGCCCTTTGTCACATGCTCTGGGTGTCCCTGCTTGAGCAGGAAGGTTGGACTAGATGATCTCTAGAGGTCCATTCCAACCTTAAACATTCTGTGAGCCTCTATTCTTTATCTGCTGCCCATGAACTATGGAGAAATGCTTTCCATAGAGGAGAAATGCCAGAATTCTCTCCATGTGGAGAAATGCCACTGTGTCGTRGGAAAGTTTAAAAATTCTAGTTTCTGAAACGTGGGCTAAAACAGTTCTCTGTCCCCTTTTGCGACTAGTCTCACCTGCTCATGGTTTACCGCAGTGTCACAGTATCTCAGTGTCACAATGGTCAGGGACCATTGTGAAGAGCTGCATCCCTGCACGCCTGGCCACACGTTGAATTACGTTCCACTTTCCTCACAGGGAGATGTTTCATCCAAGCGCTCACTCCCTTCTCACTCCTGTTTTAAGACCCCTCATGGATCTGATCAGTGAGCTGCCRCTTAACCAGGACATGCTCCTGTATGATTCACCTACAGGTGAACATTTACTACCCAACTAGATGTCCTGGCCTCCTTCCTCATCATCTAACCTGACATATGGAGTTGCCTGGGTTTGACCTCCCTGAGAGGGGTCTGAGGAGRCTCCAAATCTTCCAGGTCCTGGTGGGAACAGGGTGCCCTTCTCATCAATTTGGGCTCTTCTAAGAATTCTACCGTAGAGCCAAACCCTTTGGCAGTCCCAAGGGTAGGTCTTACGCKGTCCGTGGCACTAAGTCTTTTAAAGTGTGGTTAGAAATGGATGGAATTATTCCAGATGTATGATGGTGTTGGATGATGTTTTCAAACCGCTATTCATGTTTATGGAGTTATTAGAAAAGCCTTTTCTGGCTGATTTTCATGTGTCTACTTGATTGCTGTGGAACTCCTTGCAGCATGATCTCTGCAAGCAAGAAAGTATTAGCAATAGAGAAAAAAAATGTATCCAATATCATGTCTTGGGGAAGAGACCTTAGGTTTGAGACCAATCCCACTGACCTTTTTGAGAAAGACAAAATCAGACCATTTTTTTCATTAAGCATTTTTTTTTCCTCAGTGCAGCGAGAGTCTACCCAGAAGAAAACCTTCACTAGCTGGATAAATTCAATACTGGCAAAGGTGGGAAAGACTTTTTCTTTGTCTTTTTATTTCAGAAGTGCCCTGTGAAGGTTACATTTTTCGAGAATAAACAAAATTAGTTTAAGCTTTTGGGCAGTAACTGGAAAAAATACCCCTTGAGAACATTTGTTTAATGAATGCAATTGCCTTGTATCAGTGATAATCTAAGGACATTCAGAAGGTAGGGTTTATAAGTAGATGAGATTAGCTTTCCCCTTGATCCAGTAAAACTTATTTCCTCCGTCTCCAAACTTTGAGTTAGGTTGTGGTGCACATGTCCTAGGCAGGATTTTAAGATGTTCTATATTTATAGTTAGTTTTTATTGTGTTTAGATAAGAATTATTCTATAATGCAATATACGAACATGAATTTAATGGGATAATCTGAGTGAAAAGTGAATATTAAAAAAATCACATAATACTGTAGGTTTTCTTTAAGCTTTCATAAAGCAGCTAATGCAGAGAACATTGGGAATCTGACTTTTTTGAGCCAAATAATCTTGCTTTGATCCTTCSTTGGGCAGAATCCATTGAGCTTGTGATAAATTTGTGTTGTCCACATCCAGTAAAAAGGTGAGGGAGTTAATTATTCAATTCTGTAGTTGAATTTGAACTCAAGATACAAAGATTAAGAAGTCAAAATATAAATTAGCTGCACTTCTTAATTTTCTTCATGTTCAAAGTTGTTGTATTTTAACACATACCTCACTGAAATGCATAAATGCTTGAAAGTAAGGCCTGAATTAGCTCCTGTAGAAATCAGAGGTGAGGCAAGAGGGTACAAGAGGCAAGGTGGTTATGGTTCAGAAGGAACAAGATATGGGAAATGAGGTGTGGGATTTGTATTTCAACTTCCTGAAAAAAAATGCTGCTCAGACTTCTAAACAAATTAAAACAATCTGTTATGTTCTGCAGGGTAATGTTTTCAAAATGACAAAAGATGGTGTAACAAGCGATGAAATTTATTTTGCAGCATACACCTCCTTCTGTTATCTCAGATCTGTACACAGACATACAGAAAGGACATTTACTTTTGGATCTGTTGGAAGTGCTTTCAGGTCAACATCTGGTAAGACAGAGTAATAAAAAGATTATGTCAATCCTTGGTTATGTTTGGCAGATATTTCTGCATGTGTTTAGTTGTAAGCAGTGATCAGTCTGGGGCCATGGAGCTATTCACAAGTGTCTTAATCACTGACATTTAATTGTATCCACTGATCCTAGTTCATTGCAAGTCATTCACGAATCTTTGCAAGACTTCCCTTATCATAATATAAATATATAAATTAAAACAGATTATTGCTACTGAGAATGTAACTTTTTTTTTTTTTTTACTTTACAGTCCCGGGAAAAAGGATTTAATACCTTCCAGTGCAGAAGCAACATAGAAAATGCTTTGACATTTTTAAAGAGCAGATCAGTGAGTATTAACTTCAAAATTCACAACTAAAGCCAGTTGAGCTGGTGGAACACTTTCTTTGTTAACAATGATCCCCCTTTTTTTTTTCCTAGCTCAAGCTCATAAATATTCATGTTGCTGACATTATTGAAGGAAAACCTTCCATTGTGCTTGGCCTAATTTGGACAATTATATTTCATTTTCATGTAAGTATTTCAGCGATTTGAGATAGTGTTTTGGTAGAGGGAAAAAAATGCGCAAGAATATGTTGACTTATGTAGTCACCAAATGAGATGAATTAGTACAAAGGAGATTATTTTCTGGTGGCTTGAAGCAGTGACTCGGGGAAGAGATGTGCCAATGCATCCAGTCTGTGTCTGTGAGCTGCTTCTCCAGTTCAGTGATGGAGTTACAGTCTGATGAACAATATCTAGCTCAGAATGGTAGAATGGGCAGATATATTTTTCTTTTTCCTTTTTTTTTTCTTTTTCCTTTTTTTTCCCTTTTTCCTTTTTTCCTTTTTCCTTTTTTTCCTTTTTCCTTTTTCCTTTTTTTTTTCTTTTTCCTTTTTTTTTCCTTCTGTTAAAAATAGTCTAATCTTTGTCCATTTACTTTAGCCCTCTGATGATTAAGCTCCAAATAGGGTGAATAGTGCAAACTGGCTCACCTCCACCTCTCTTAGGAGCAGCCTGTGTTGGTTATGCTTGTGCTGTGTAGTACTTGCTATTCTGTTATTTGGTACTGGGTGCCTAAAGTAACATGAAGGCTGTTTGGCTGCCTTGTTTAGTGATGTTTCTTTTACCAGATACTGAGCATCTTGCATAGGTTATGGGGAGGAGGGGCTGTCTTTTGCTGTGGTTGTGTTGGAACTATAGGGAAAGACGGAGCTTAATTATTTTCTAGCAAGAGTCCAGCAGAGAGTTAGTATAGGTGCACTGTCATGAATTTGGGACTGGCGCTCAGGGAAGAACCAAAAAGTGAATTTATTTAACAGTATGTATCCCTTGCCCTTGGTAAAGGTCTTTTGGTGTTGAAGGTTTCAGGGCCACACGTACCCCGAGGCTTTATCTTTTTGCCTGAACGAAGCTTCTGGGTGTGCTGGATGTCTGAGGTCTGTGAAGCAGATATTGCTGTGTCCTGTGTGAACACGCAAGCTCTGAACATGCTTAACACACAGCAGTGTGTCAACAGCACAAAYCCAGCTGCCATGGGCTGCTTTCAGTGGTAGGAGGAGCACTGAAGTATATTGAGTAAGAAACTAATTCAGTGCCAGTGCTGGTGTCCACAGTAACACATGGGTGAGCTGTCTTGGGTGAATATTGCCAAAAAATCACCCAGTGGTGGGACTCATCGTGATATACTTCAGCTTGAGCAGATAAAATCTGGGAAAGACTTAAAAACACGATCTGATCACGACTACAACTGTAGCTGTAATAGTCCTGACCAATTCTCCCTGATTTTCTACAATGGATGCCTTGGTATTTTTTCACTGAAAACTGATTAAATGCTCCTGTCATCTCTAATAGATTGAAGAACTTGCCAGGACACTTGCTTGTACTTACAATCAGCCATCTCTTGATTGTTCAAGTGCTGWTGACTCCTCTCCAAAGGCAAGCAGATCAGTTAAAAAAAGTGCAAAAATTAAGGAACGGTGGAAGATCTCTGCAACAAAGGCCCTTTTGTTATGGGCAAAAGAGCAATGTTCACTGTAAGTTCCATCCAAGATTTATAAATAGTATCTTTTTTCATTGTTGTTTTGCTGCTTTCCTATGTAATGTTATTCCCCCCTCCTCTTTTATCACATCTCTTAGTGATGGGTTAGCATAAAATCTTCAGATTTAGATTTAAACTAAATCTTTAGATTTAGATTTAGATTTAGATTTAAACTAAATTTTTAGATTTAGATTTAAACTAAAATATGCTAGATTTTAGATTTAGAATCCAGATGATGTTAGCAGCACTTCAGTATCTCTCGGGCCTTGAGTGTTTTGACATTAGCCCTTTAAACATAAGAAACTGAGGCTAATCCTACTAATAAAACACCATGATGTAAACAGAGTTGTTTAGTTTTTTAGGGGCTTGCAGTTTTCTGTGTCATAAATCTAATGGAAAGCATTACTTTTCCATTAGTACTTTTCCATGGAAGCAAATAAGGGAAAAAGAAAGCCAAATATGTCCAATATTCAGCCACTTTACAGACAAATTTATACACATTATTGCAGGATCTCCCATGCTTTGCTCCTTGTTTTCAGTGCAAGAGGATGCTTAGACAGTGAGAGCAATGCTGGGACGTGGAAAGTGTGTTGTGTTAAGACAAAGGCAGACTTGGTCTTAAGAATGAAAAAAAGGATTGYGTCATTTTAAAAAATACTTGTAGCAATTGGTAGTACTGACTTTATTGCTGACTGACTTAGCTTCTACAGAATTCAGTGGCAATGTTTTCTGTAACTCCTTGTATTTGTATCACAGCCCATTTTACTGATTTTATACTGTATTTATAAATTTATACTTAGGACATCTGAGGAAAAGGCTCTGACATTTTGTTTCTAATACTTTTTGGGGTAGGCATGGTTCTATCAGTGTGACTGATTTCAAGTCAAGCTGGCGAAGTGGATTGCCTTTTTTGGCTATCATCCATGCCTTAAGACCAGGCCTAGTTGACATCGAGAAGGCAAAAACTAGAACCAATAAAGAAAATCTGAAAGAGGCTTTCAGAATTGCGGAACTTGAGCTGAATATTCCTCGACTTCTTGAACCTGAAGGTAAATGGTCTGGGTTTTTATATATCTTTGTGGTAAGAGCGAGTGTGATATTGTCTGTATTGTCTGGTATGTGTTGACCTGTAACACAGGARAAAATAAGGCTGTGTTCAGATTTGAAATGATCATTGATATTTACTGTAATGCTGAAACCTGTTCTTTAATGTATAATGCAGAGTGTACTTCAGATTTTGAGGCTTTTTTTTAAAAATTTGCATTAAATACAGCAACAATATGCAGAAGAAAGGATATGAAACTTTCCCATTTRTAGGAGAAGCCCATATCATTATACTCTGGTATTCCAAAGGGAAAAAAAGAATCTATAGTAAAGAAATTTCTGATAATGGTATTTTAACCAAACTGCTGAAAAATAAATGTTTATACTTACTGTGCTAAGTAAGTGCCACATAATGTGTAAGTATATGTGATCAGGCCGTGAGGACTGTGCAATTATGTTAATGGAGTGTTGGCTCTTGTAGATGTTGACGTTATGAATCCAGATGAAAAATCAATCATGACTTACGTGGCTCAGTTTTTGCAGTACTCCAGGAAWTTACCTGTGTCTGAAGAAGACATGCAGGTATGTCGTGTATTTTATCATTGACACATTTTTAAGTGATTCTGTGATGCCGAGAGTTTCGGTGTTTGCTTTTCCCTCTTTATAATGTGACTTGGTAACTGTGGTCTTTAATGGTGTCTGTCATCTTCTGGTTCATTCACTGAGAGGGTTGAATTGGTTTGAAGCTTCTGATGCTCCCAAGACCCAGTGTGATAAGTTTTTGATGATATAGGTGGAATTGTGGTCCAGACTGTCTTGTTTTCCATTTATCTATTTAATTTTCAAACATTTTCAAGCCTGTTGCCTTTGTGTACAGTCTGAATTGTGTGTTTAAGTTTCTAGACAAAGGCGGACAAATTGACAAATATGCAGAACAAACAGATTTAAAATTAGAGCCTGCTCCTGGGAGTTTTTCTTTATTTTTCGAAAGTGTGGGTGAGGTTTATCATGTTCACTTGTGCATTGTTTTATGTCACAATGTAAATTAACAACAGATCTTGCAGAATCAAAAAATGAAYTTTTCTGTTCTAATTAACAGGGAAAAGTAAGAGACACCGTAAGTTGGTTGGCTGCACAAGGAAAGAAATTGGAGAAGTTACTGATTGACACTGAGAGTGAAACATATTACCAAAAGTACAAAGTAAGTTGCATTTCACTGACCYTTTTAAAATACTTACCTGCTTTGTCAAGGAATTATTAAAAATACATTCCCAGAAACATAGCTTTTCATATTCATTGCCTAAATCGATTTTTTAAATAGATCTTTAAACAAAAGAGTTGGAAACCTCAGACTGAATTTGTTAAATGCACCAAACTGGTTGAGGGAAGATTTTGAAAATAAAAATCTATAAGGAATTAGTTGTGTCCTGCTTGGTTGGCTCCTGAGCAGAGCAAGTTTTTTTTGGAGAGGGTGAAGTAATGTCTTTTAATTAATCCATGCAGTTGGGATCACTTTCTCCTTTGCTGTGATAATAATAATGGTTAGGTTTTCTCAACTAGCATCAGGAAAGGATACTTAAACACTGGTGATAGGTTGCATCTAAAGTAAAAGTGTTTTTGATTTAGGTGGCCTAGTAGCCACTGTTTATAATTAAAAGGCCTATGTGGGACCATGAAGGGAAGAAATTTTCCCCTCTCTGTCTGAGAGAGGAGAATCCATGTCCTGACTGGATGGAGAATTTATATTAAAGATTTCCCTACTGTATCATCTATGCTTTCAGACCCAAATACTGCCTGCAGGTAAGAATGCTTTCCTTCCCATTCATCACACCCTTTGAAGTTAATGGAAGTCCTAATGATATGTCCAAAGCCAATATTTGACTCGCCCAGTTCCCACTTGAAGTTTTCTTCTATGGCTTATTCTTCCTTCTAATCCCAAGGAAATGATGTCATTTATGGAAGCATTTAACCAAGAAAAAAAAGCCTTTCTGCCTGTGTTGTCATCCAAAGCAAGCGTGGCCGAGCTAAGTGAAGATCAGCACCAGATGAGAGAAGAGTGGCATAAACTGGTCTCTCAGGTCAGAGACATTTCTGGCTCTCTTAGCACTATGTGCTTGATGAAGAAGTGTAAGTCTTTCTCAGGAACTGACATGAGGAGAAGAGGGGAGGTGATGTTTTATTTGGATTAATTATGGTATGATAGACCCTCCACTTGAAGTCCAGAAGGACTGAACGGTGTTCAGGGCCCCAAAGAAGACAAAATGTGTATTATTTTTCTGCCTCTGGCAATCTGGGTCTCAGGTAAACCTAACTCATTCCCAGCTACCTTCACTGGAAGCTCCTTTTCTGGAATGGTGGGTTTTTTTTCCTGAGATATCCAGAGCATCAACTTACGGAGCGTATGTCAGTTCCTTGGGACTGGTGAAGAAAATTTTAGCGAGAAATATAATCATTTCTTTGTTTCTTTTTCTTTTAAGATTAATGAATGGAAAATAAAGCTGGACCAGATGCTGCCCCCGCCTCTAGATGGCATTGAGGCCTGGCTTCAGGAGGTTGAACATCTGCAGGCAGATGATTTGCCTGATTTGCAGGACCCCTTTAAAGCAATGTCTCTCTTCAGAGAAATAATTGTAATATTTAAGGTATGCTGATCACTAGGGGAAACCTCCTCTCCAGTCTGACCTAGCAAAGCACATGTTATYGAGGTGATGTTGACATTTTGGGAAGGGGTGTGGATATATTTATCTTATGAAGATGAAAAGCCCCTCTGAAGATATCTTAAGTTTTGAACTTTGAGTAGTTTAATCAAATAACTTCACAGGTCTATAGGAGAGACTTCTGATTTCTCTGAGGTGAGATTAAATTAAAATTGTATACTGAATGAGTAAATTGTGGTATTTTTTATATGATACTTGCAACTTGTTTGTTTGCTAAGTAATAATTCAGATAAGCACATGCTTATCTTTAAATCTATGCTTAATACATGCCTACTCAGAAAAGCACTTGGGTCACATTCCAGCGAGTTCATGCAGCTTATGTGATTAAAGTTAAGTACTTGCTGAATCACTCTGCAATTCCACTCAAAGCAGTGGAAGGTATTCCAATATTCAGTACCTTCCTTGCAAGTTGTTTATTCCAGTCTTGAGATCTTGGCATTGATAATATTTTAAGTACCCTTTTGAGTCTGAAGACTTCAAAAAAATTACTGTATTAATACCTGATTGATGAATGTAATGCTGTGCTTTCTTTCTATATCAACAACGGGGAGGGTGGCTGTTTTTGTGACATGTCCATGATATAAATTGGAAAGGATGTGAGCTGGAGGGTCTTGTGAGTGCCTTGGTAGCACCACTTCTTTGGACTGGCGCTAGGCAGTTGCCAGAGTGAGACATGGCTTTTCARTTGGTAATAGCTTTGCCAAACTTCGGCCAGACTTCAAGATCTTAGTATCTTGAAACTGTTAAAATATCACATCTTAGTTCCAAAGATGGTAGTAAAACTGAGGAAGGAATTGGTAGTGTAGATAGCATAGATTTGTGTTCTGTGCTTTTAACAGATGCACAGTGGTGAGATGAATCGTATTGCACGGTTAGTAAGTATGCATTTTTGGAGGTGATGAAATATGAATAATTTCATTTGACTTTGATGAGTTAAAACACTGGAACATTGTCTTGTGCTAACTAGTTCTTAATAGCTCTCACTAATGTCAGATGATTTGCAGATTTCCAAGCGAAATGTTCTAGTGTTTAAATGAATGACTTATGTCTTTTTCTCCCTAGGGCTTGATGGATTGTTTTGATTCTCACTTGGACACCCTTCAATCCTTCAAGAATGAAGATGAGAAGAATATGCCACTAGTACTGCCTGAGAAGCTAGAGGAAATGAAACGAAGGTTGTGGTTCTCAAATTCCCTCTACTTTGGCTRTGTTGTCTTCTAGCTCTGCTATTAACTTGTTCTGTTACTCTGAACAAAGTGTATAATTTATCCATGCTTGGAGAGAAAGCACATTTGCTCTCCAAGAATGAAGAGATTGGGATGCAGAGCAGGCAGGTTCACTCATTGGTCCTATAAATGTCTAATTATTTGTACCACATGGAGCTCATCTCATCTTAGATGCCCTGTGTTCGTATGGATAGGAAATATCTCTCTAGGGATAGCAAACATGAATGTTTTCAATTTGAAAAAAATTACTGAGGGGTCGGAAGGCGTGTTCTCTGCACATTTTTTAATTCCTAACTTTCTACAGATCTACAGGGTGTCTGACCCCATGTAGCTGTTGGAAGCTTCTTTTCAAAAGTGACCAGAGAATCTGAATCTGTGTGCTTAATCTGAAACCCTTTGATACAATAGATAGCMGATCTCCATTTTTTAGCTATTCAAGGCTTTTCAAAATTTGAGCAGGCAGGATTGCTATGCTCAAAATTGTTGATGCTGAAAAATATTATTTTGGATTTTTATTTCTGTCATAACAAAATAGATATTTGCATCTAATGTCTGGAGTTACAATTTTTAGGCTAAAAACCTTACACATTAGTGCCATCTATATGCAGTAGTTTGGGATCAACCTTTGGAACATTTTGCTGATTGCAGATTCAGTAATATTCAGTTCACAAACTCCGACACCTTTCTTGAATACCACTGTGGGCTGTGCTCAGCTATTGCCAATGAGGTGATGTTGAAGCTAAATATCTGGAACATGAAATATGGGACAAAAGAGTCAGTGGAATCACTGTTGGAAGACTGGAATGTAAGTTTAAAATATGAGTGTTTCAAAATATTTGAACCCTGACAGCAATCTTTTTTCCTCTGGTTTTGTTTCATTCAAGCTTACCTCTGCCCTCATTTGAAGATAGTAGCGTGGTTGAGAAAAGCACAGTCACTTGTGAGATCTGGGATTTCTGCCAGGGAGCACGGGTAGACTTCATAAACTTTTMTTTCCACAACATCTTCCCATTTTGCTCTTAATGTGAGTTTCTTCAGCCTGGAGAAGATGCAGCTGTGACTATCTATAATTTCCCCTTTCCTCATTTTCTTTCAGAGAAAATGTTCAGAGAAAAGGAACAGGAGACCCTTTCTTTCTAGGCTATTTAGAGGCTCTTTCCTAGCTGAAATCCACCCAGATCTCTGTAGTTCAGTAGCAGATATCTTCAAACTCTACCACTACCACAGTGCTAGCTCATTCTATCTGTACCTGATGCCTCTTTCTTTTCCCAGCCTTCTTGCTTCTGAATGCTTCCTGCTGCAATTGAATTGTCCTGTTTTGTTCTGAATTTCTTGTTTCAGTCATTTATAAATATTTACTGTCATGCTATTTTTACAACAGTGATTCATAGTCTTCCTTCAAGCTGGTAGGTTATAGGGAGTAGTTTAAGACTTGAGGAAAAGATTCAGAAAGTACCCCAAGTGTCTTAACTTCAGCTTTCCAGTGTACAAAACCAGACCTCCAAAGGGCAGTAGAGAGGATGGAGGTGCACATCAAATTACAAATTCTAATGAGCAGAGCACACAACAGGTCTAATTAAAGAAAGTAGCTGGGTTGTTGGATGCGCACAGATTACATTTAACCTGCAGGTTTTAAGTTTATATTGAAAAAAATGTATCCCAAGCTGAATTTCCTACCTAGTTTTSTGTGGGTAGGTATTACTTATGACCATTTCTTTTCACTTTGTATAGAATTTCATTGAAGAAAAGAAACTTGAAAAACAGCTGGAAACTGCTGCTCACATCTGTGAAGATTTGAAAAAGCAAAACCTAAGCAGGCCTGACTTGGGTGAGTTCATGTGCATCAACTGAGACTAAGACATCTATTTTGAGCTGATGTCCTGTCACAGGCTTGAATCCCCACCAGCTTCCAATATTTTATGCAAAATGCTGACTGTGTTTTCAAGCTCTCTGTTTCCAAGTTTATAATATTTTTCCCTATTTCATGTCTTAGCTGGTGATCCTCAAGAAATTAACAAACTTTTTAAGACAGTGGAGTCAAAGATTTCCATGTGCAGAGACTATATTTCTAATGTAAATGGTACCTTAAAGAAAGTCCTGACTTCCTGGAGTAATTACACAGAAAACATCCAYTTACTGAAGACGTGGCTGGAAGAAAAACGAAACGAGCAGCCAGAAGAGGTATGTGGTTAGGTTTCTTTGTYGTGAAGGACAAGGATACCTTGAAGTCTCCTAGAGGGAAAGCACTGTACATGGAAGTGTTTGTTTCTAATGCTTTCTTGTTTCCCATTTTGGGAATAAACATTCAGCCGTGTTTTATTTTAAACAATTTCATTGCCCCTGTCTAGATCCCAGCTGAGATTCTGACAAACTGGAATTCAGTGCATGGCTCCTTAAATGAAGCTGGAAATTATCTCATTGAAGTTAGCAAAGAGCAAGTTGGATCAAATATTGCCAAAGAACTGAAGAAACTGAACAGGAGATGGGCTAAGTTCATCAAGAGGACGCAATTTGTAAGTTCCCAAACCCTCCTGTTTTGTGCGACTCTTCTGCCATGGACCCTTCAAAATTTTTATATTCTAAACTTATCAACTTGTTCTTTAGAGGTTAATGAATCAAGTCAACTCGGAATGGTCAGTTTTTGAACAGGAGGAACAGAGAATACATAGAAGCATCCTGTTCATATGTGCCTCTCTTAAATGTCTTTTTGAGACTATGGAAAATACCCGTTTTTTAAAATGAAMACTTTAGTTCCCCTTCTCCCTCCTGTAAAAGGGTATTTTGTTGCAGGATAAAGCTGTTTATTCAATTCTAGACATGGAAGTATTCAATTTCTAAACAGCTTGTGAGCCTTTGCTAAATTGTATAATCTCTGCCTCAGCTGGTAGAAGTCCTTTATTGCTTTGTAGCTATTTCTAGAGTTGCACAACTTTACACCAGTTCTCTTGACAAGTTTTAAGGCTGCTGTAAATTCCTGTAGAACCTGCTTTGTTTAACATGGCTAACATTTCCTAGAATGCATTTACAAGAACGGCATTACCGATCTGCCTGAGAACATTAGAGCTCTTAACTTTTAATTTTCTAAGTTGAGCCTTTTGGTGACATTTTGAAGGTTTTGTTGTGACAATAAATTGCGGCAAAAATAACAACATTTTTGCAGGAGGTGAGGTTACTGAGAATGCAAGAAGATCAAAAGAAGCAAGTTCACAAGAGTGAGGGAAATCTGGAGTCTCCTCTAAAAGCCCTTAGTGATATGGCACACCTTTCAGGAGAAGCTTTTAAGAGTCATACTCAAAAAGAAGAGGTAAAAAGTCCTCTAGTACCCTTACAAGGGCTTAAGGACTTAGGAGCTATTTTTCTGRTGTTGCTTTGGGGCTTTATGTCTATGCCTCTATATATCTGCCTGTATTATATATATATACTTATATATATAATTAGACCTGGTGCAAGGGCAAATGCTTAAGCTCTGGCCTGTGACTGCCAGGACCATTAAAYCATTATCATGATTCTTGGTCCGGGTTCAACCTCTGCCAGCTCTGGCGCTCTCAGACAATTCCCTGCTCAGCTTGGGGAAGGCTGCAGGCCAGGAGCCCTCCATAGGCAGAGTGACCGTGGTCACCTGCTTATAGGGGAGGGGGCCCATGTGCTATCCTGCTTGCTCTTTTATGCCCTGGTGTAGGTTTAGTGTGTATTTCTCCTTCATTCCCTTAGGCTGTGAATGCCAGATGGTTGGTGGAGTGGTGATYGTGTGCTTGAGCAGGGTGCTGGGGAGCCCTCTGGGAGCAGACTTTAGGTGTGAACGTGTCTAACCCTGCACTTCGTTCACAGCTCGTCGAAGAGAGCACAGATGCTGCTGAAAAGGCCGGGGGGCTCCCAGAGAGTGTGGAGAAAATCGAGGTGCTGCTCAAAGGGGTGGACAGCTGGRCAGCCGAACTTGAGCAGCTGCTCGGCCAGATCCATCACAAGGGACGTGTGGAACCTGAGGCAGACGAGCATTTGCAGGTGAAAATGGAAATACACTGCTTAAAATACCGATTCATCAGATACTCATCTTTCTGTGGGGGTTTGTGACTGGGGGTAAAACAAGCCATCCCCAGTGAGGTGTAAGTGAAGGTGGATTTTGTGCTGTAACAGTCTTAAGCAGTCAGGCCTGAGTTAATATGTGGATGTTCTTTCCCATAATAACTCCCAGCCAAGGTACAGATGACTGTTCCATACCTCAGCAATGGCAGCGAGTGCCAGTGAAGTGCTCGTGATGCCATTCATCAGCAGCTTGCTCCTGAGGGATGTTAATTACTCCTGTTTGGAGCAGCACTCACTGCAGACTGAAGCTTTGGAAGGTGCTAAGATGAGAATTTCCCCAGTCATACTGGGCTTTCTGCTGCCTCTCTTCCAGTGCAGGCAGGGAGCTGGGGTGGGCTTGGCTGTGTTCAAGGCTCACCTGTCAAAGACTGGAATACTTTCAAGTGTTTTCAACAACATGCTGGGTAATTTGTGCATCTCAGTTTATATTTGGCACATCCACAGTGAGCACCGATGAATTCTCTTGTTAGTGTTTCCCCCTGGCAATTGACAGATGGAAATATGTGTGTAATCAGCAGCTCAGTGCAAAGTCTGACTTATTTCCTTCAGCTGCCAGTGAAGGTGAGACCGAGCAAAGATGCTAGGCTTGCACTGGAGAAGCTGAAACACTGTCTTATGTTACCACTTGCTATTTCTGCAGCAGGGGCAGGATTAACTAGTGGCAAGGGACTGACTTAGCTTCTGCAGAATTCAGTGGCAGAACCAGGTGTCATTAGATCTCCTCTGTCCAAGTCCTAAGAATAAACACAGATTTTCCTTGTTCTGAATCCACCTGCAGCAAACCTGCATCAAAATTAGTGTGAAGTTATTCAGTTGTGCATTGCGCTGTGTTTAGTTTGCAGAATTAGCTTACAGTTTACAGAAAAGAACTTTTTGTAATTTCTGGATGAACATTTATAAAATAAGCCTCATTCTGCCAGGATGACACTGGTTTGTTAAARAGCATCAAAGTGACAAAAGGCACCTTGAAATACAGCAGCATCYGAAAGCGCGAGGGTCGTTGTACCCGTATGTGTCTGAGAAGCAGAGCTCGGGTCACCTATCACTTGGGGTACAATAGCTCGAGATCAGGAATAAAGCACTGATTATCATTAGAATACTGCTAATTGACAGTCTCAGACAGGAAAATATGTTGAATATTCATGGGTTAAAACAACTCTAATAAGGACATTTCATGATAAATATTCAAATAGAGCACAGTACTTCAGCATGCTAAATAAGTAGCTGCTTCTTGCCTGTTTCGATACTGCAAGAAAATCTTTATATGCTTGCTTTTGGGTGACTTCATGATCATACAAKGCATATCCAGATGCATGGTTTGTATGTTTATTTGGGAAGCCACTAGGATGTGAGAGAATGTTTAAAAATTGCTTTTAATTGGCACCAAGACAGACACATGGGAGGTGTTACCTTGATGGGAAGAACGTGCTAGCGACAGAATTGCCTGTGGATGGCAGCAGGCTTCTTTCCCTCCATACAGAGATTTTGTAGTATGATATATGCTGGCCATAGCTGAAATACAAGATCTTTCTTTGATCAAAAATTGACCATCCATAATCAGTGCTGGTTTTTCAGTTTAGTTTCTCTAAACAAAAAGACATAAATACTGTGCAGACTTCTAATGTTTTTCATTCACCTTGCAGAGCTTGGCTGCAAGAGGAACCTCGAGCCAGGAGCAAGTTGTGGCAGCGGAAGAGATCTTGCAATCCCTGATGCAAAATGCTTCCAGTCAGGTGTCCCAGCAGCCTTTTCATGCCACTGGGCTGCAGGCACGAATTAAAGAAGCCAAAGCCAAAATTGAGGTATTTTTTTTTATTTTTGATCATACACTGACCTAATTTTCTCATTACATGATTAATAAGACCATCTTCACTCCAGTAAAACAGATAGGTTTTATAATATTGAGATCAGTCTTGCAGAGTCTTGTCAGGACAAAATGTAGAATGTTTCAGAGATCAGTATCTCAACTTGAAAAACCTGAGTGATGTTATGARGCAATAGCCTCATATAAATAGTGACACACAAATGTGCTCTGAATAGTGTCTCTTTCTTCCAAGGCTGCCATGGGTGACATAGGTGATGTCTTGCCCAAATCTGAGAAGAGAGCCTCAGAAAAGGAGATTTTGCTCAATTTTGAAGAGTCCCAGAAAGACCTTGAAGCCTCTATTTCAAAGGTGGTGCAACTTGTCAATCAAAAATTAAGTCCTGAAGAAAATATTTCAAGATACGAGGTGAGTTGCTTTTCATRCCATACTGGCTCCTCAGCTAGCTGAATGGAGCAATATTTAGTGTTATTTAATATATAAGAAAAGTAAAGATACCACAGCAAGACAAATAGCAGATATTTTTGGTAGCTATTAATGTTTTTTTCTCCAAATTTTTGATTCAGTATTGTTAATGTATTAACTTGGCAGACCATTTCAGAGGAGAAATGCTTATCTTTTTAGCTACATGTTCTAGTTGGCAGTGCATACGCTGCCTGTTCCTGATCCCAAGGCACTGTATACACTGCCTGTTCCTGATCCCAAATTGCTTTCCATCGCCACCACTAAAGACATTCTCATGAGGCTTCTTATGTCACTTGAGTTAGAGATTATTCCTCTTTAAAAAAAGGGGAATAGAAAGTAACTTGGTGTTTATCTTTTATCTCATTTCCCTGATGAAATGAACTGGTCTTAGGAAATGCAAAGTATAAAAATAACATTTGTGTGACGTTAGGGCCAAGATTTCTCTTTTATATAACACAGGATACTGATAGTTCCACAGCTGCTGTATCTCTGGAGCAGTTGGAATCTTACTGTCTCTTAACTTTCTCCATCATGTTCAGATTACTTTTCTGAACTACAGCCACTTTTTACCTGATTAATAATAAAACATTCCCATCAAGAAATCACATGGCTCAGTTCTTGGAGGAGTTTTTAAAGCAACATTATAAAAGTTGCATCTTTCTTTTTTAAAAAAGGAAGTCTGGAAAATTAACCATTAACCATTCTGTGATTCTGTGAAAATTTAGATCTCTTCGAGAGGGTCTTAGATGAGGTATCAGAAATGAACTGAGGTATCTGCAGCTGGAGTTGCTGTGTGGAGCATAGCGAGTCCTGTTGTGTCCGCGTCGGGGGCAGCCCCTCGCACCCGATGCCTCGCCAGACCCCGCTGCGCTCGCACAGAGAGCTCCCAAAGCCATGTGTCTTCCCTCTCCATGGGATCCCGATCTTTCTCCTTTGGTTCCAAATTTGCCCCTGAAAGCAGAGCTCTAAGAATAGGATTTCTTCTCTCATGAAAGCATAAACAGATATYGTCTCCAACCCATTCACAGATAAAAAAGGGTGGAGAATGCCCTTATGCCCATTCACACAGGGCTGTACATGCCAAGTGTTCATACTTTATGTATGGCTTTTACATGCTACTGATGTTATTTTACTAGGTAAATGAGGCAAATGCAGTTCTGCTTATTTTTCATTTTGATGCTTTTCTTGCAGGAAGCTTTCCATGCTTTGGACAATAATGTTCTTGACAAATTTTTAAAAGCAGCTGAACAACTGAAAAATATTTCATCTGATCAAGAAAAACTAGCAGTGGAGGAGAAGAGTAAAGATCTTCGTAAAAGATGGGATGTAAGATAATATTCAGAGAAGATTTTCTTGTTTTCTCATTAGGCCTGGCAGCTTAGAAAAATAATATTTTTGTTACTTTTAAGTTTGGATGGTTTTTATTTGCTTTTTAGTATTGCTTCTCTTCTCAGGCATACCATGTTCTGAATTTTGCAGGCAGTTCATCATGAAATTACGTCCTGTATCCAGCTTATCATAGAAAGGGAGAAAAAGAAATTTAATGCAACTTTCAAGAAAATCAATAAGCAAATAAGTAAAGAGAAGAAACTCCTCAGCATGGATAAAACCAAAGGGCTCGTCAAGGAACATGAGGTACCTGACATATTCCTTTTCTGCTCACATTCCTGTCTGTGTGAAGGCACTATCTGCCCTTCCTGGTGCTCATTACCTGCATCATCACAGTCTGCGTTGATGGAGCAGGGCTTTGGTGTTTAGTGTCATGGAAATGTAGACAAGAGGCCACCTAAATGTTCTCCTTGACTTTCTGGCTTCAGGTCTTAGTATCCTTGCAGATGGTTCAAGTTAATTGCTTGTTGTTGGGTCTCCCTTGAATTGTATCAGTCACAGATCTGATGTTAGGTGGCTTGAACTGAGAGCACCTTCCCCACGGTGCAGTAGCCCCTGATTGTGCTGCACTTGAATGAACCACAGGGTTAGATACAAAACTTTCATGTGTCGCTGGCTGAAGTGAGCCATAATGAGCATGACCTTTTCCATAGGGATTTATGCTGGTGTGGCCAGGTTTTCATTGGTTTAGTCTCAGCAGATATTGCGTACACAAGAGTAAAGAAATATAAGAATTCTCAGATGCATTCCTTCTGCTTTATTYTTTATTGTATCTTAATTTCCTCTTAGAAATTATTCATGAGAAATAGTGTAAATAGTTTTCGCAATTGCTCTTTCATTATAATAAATGGAAGATGTATTTTAATGACAGTGTGATCAGGACTTGGGACCGGAAAATATAGTAACATAGGTCATTTCAAYCTCAGACAGGAGTCAATATAATCTGAGTACAACTGGGAAATGTGTTGCCATTGCTCTCCGTTTCTTTACTGACTCTGTTTAAAAAAAGAACTGAATGAAAATAAATGTTTGTCTCCTGTTTTGTTGTCTTACACTTTAAGTGCAGTTAYTTGAGAAGACAGTGAAAATAGAAGAATATATGAAAAAAAATGCATATCTTTATAATTTAACATGAGTTTATTTTATTGTTTTCTGTATTTAGGCCTTCTTCTCACACGAAGGCAGCCTGAAGGAACTTAAAAAGTCATTAGAAGATCTTAAAGCTTTGGGAAAACTCACAGAAGCCACTCTCCCAGATGCACAGACCTTGGTCAYGGAGTGTGAACAAAAGCTGGAAAAGCTTCAGCCCCTTGTGGCAGATACTTACGCAGCGCTGCTGTCTCACGCTGGAAAAGGACAGACGTCCAAGAAAGAGTGGGTGACTTGGGTGCATGAGGTGTCACAGCCTCACTGAAATCAGAGAGAGTGGAGAGTTTTTGTAGTATTGTAAGTGCAGTGTCAAGCACATTGCCATGCTACTAAGGGCAATGAAATTTTCTGAATGTTTAATACTGAGTTTCAGAACCACACAAGTTCACTGATTACCCTTTGACAAAGCTGCAGTGTTAGTTTTTAATCTTTAGTCAGATTATTTTTTTTTTCTATTATATTTCATAACTACTTTTGTTCTTAATCTGAACTTTCTTTTAAACCTTAGGGGTGCCATTGTTGCTTCTGAGAATGGAGAAAATTCAAGCTCTTCCCAACAAAGGGATATCTTTTCAGCACAGGAGGTATGCAGTCCATGCTTACTGCGATTATTTCTGTTATTATTCATCTTATGGTAGAACTTCAGACATGTGGTCACAGATCAGAAACCCACTATGCTTGGGAATGTAGATTAAATAAATCATAAAAATTATCTGTTAAAAGGAAGTTACAGCTACCCATGAACCCATCAACTCATCATTCATTCACATGCAAGAAACAGCATAGATATGCTGAAGAGATGTGAGTGGGACCCCAACTTTGCAGCATATTTTGCTGAAGAGAGATTTTCAGCTGGAAGGGCTGTTTCTGAAGCTCTGTGTTCAAGTGTAAGTCTCTATAATGGCCAAGTAACAAGTTGCAGAGGACACATAGGAAAAATACTGTCAGTGGAGGTGTTTGCCTTAGAAAAATGTGGGGAAAAATGGAATGTGTCTAGTTAAAAAAAAAAAAAAAAACAGTTGCTAAGAGAGAGAAAATACTCTTTGGATGGGAGTAAAGCCACAGATAACAGTGTGGCACTCAGCACACTTATTGTGTCTGTGAATAGAATCTCTGATCGAGTGTTTCATGTGAAGTGATTCCTTCTTTCAGGGTTTTACAGTTGTCTACTGATCTTTACTAGGTGTTTTACATTTCAATGTTTTGCTAGATGTTTTACTAGGCGTTCTACAACGCAGAGCTCATTGTTACCTTTTCATTTTTGCTTAGACATCAAGACCTGGTTCAGGTACAGGTTGGGAAACAGATGTGACCCATCACAATGGAGAAAGCTGTGCAAAGAAATATGAGGAAGACAGTGATTTGCCCTTACCAGCTTTACTAGAGAGGTAATTTTTTATAGGATAAAAGGCTTTCATATGAAGAGATGATACCATGCTGTAGACTTACAAATGAGTTGGAAGGATGCACTTCTGCTGTGCTGAGCTCCCTTCTTATTCYACTACGTTTCATTTACTATTACTCTGTTAAAGAATCAAGATAGTAGCTAAATGTTGCAAACATTAGGGCTTTGTAGCAAGAGAACTTGGAACTTGGTGTTCCAAAAAAAAAACTTGGAGTTTTTTTCTCCTCTTTTGTTGCCTTTCTTTGCCTTACTAACAACTCCAAATAAAAAGTAGAAATTGGAAAAACTAAAAAAAAAAAATATATTTTTTGGAGATCTAATACTTTTTTACATACATAAAACTGAATTTAGAGATTGTAAGAAAGGATTTGTACATAAAAATTTGCCAGCTGAGCAGTTTTCTCAGTGTTTCTGTATATCACTCTTTTGTGACCATTAATTTGGGACTGGAGTTAAAATATGCATCTGTAGTAGACTATGCCTATTTTATATGGTAATGCATTGGTCAGAAATTCCCAGCCTGTATTACATCCCATTGAAACAGAGACAATACTCCTTCTGAAAGCCATTGCCTTTTTCTTTAGCTATAAGAATCAAAGAAGTAACTTGGAGGAACTTCTACAAATCAGCAGAGATAAAGTCGCCTCTGGTTTTACTGAAGAAATAAAAGGCACTTCCTGCCTTCAGGATAAGCTACTTGAACTACAGGTAACTATTCTTCTCTTAAAAACATACCCYGTGCCTGAACTGTTGTTTTTTGTTGTGGAACCCCCACCTTCTACATGTTACACATACTGCTAAAGGGTAAGGCGAGCTGGAATAACCAGATTTATTAGCAATAGAGGGAAATCAAGGGTTGTGCATCAAGCAGGTGTGAATTCCCCCTTCAAGGTTCAGTTGTGCCAGTGTGGCCAGAAGCAGAGATTAGCCTGTAGAAGAAGGGCCCACACTTGGTGTTGGGGCATTCATTACTGCAGTTTTTCAAGTCCTTCCTGTGAGCGCACAGGTTAGCTAGATGCAGAACTTGGTTCAATTCTAAGGTTGTTTTTATTCTTTTAAAATTCTTGCAGCAAAAATAGCCAGTCTGTACTTATTGAACCTTTTTAAAAATGCAGCTAAGACATACATTTGATGTGGAAAATCATGTCATAAAATTATGGTAGAGATTTACATGCAAATGATAATGTGGGCTTTAAAAACAGAAAGGAATAGATACTCTTAACTACAAGTATATTTTCAGGTTTGTCCTCTTATGGTGGAATTTTTCTGAATCTTTTGAGTCTTTTATAAAATAGGGTATCAATTAATTCACTTAACTCTGTATATCTTCTAGATCATAGAGAGTGAAAACAATTCTGGCTGGATACAACTGGAAAACATTGCATCTACCTTAGAAAATCTTGTGGATGAAGTAGAGCTGGCTACTATATCTGAAACAAGAAACAAACTGAAAGGAGAATGGAAAGAGCTTCAGGATGTTATAAGTGCCAGGTATAAAATAATCCTGCATGGTATTTTCTAAACTACAGGTAATTGTAATATAACTGAAGTGGGTATTATAGGAAATGCACATTTTAAACTCTGTCTTAATGTGTTAACCACATAAAATTAATCTTATCTTAATATGAATATACATCCTTTGCAGATGGTGTGAATCTCTGCAAGCAGCTCAGGGCCAGGTCTTTGTAATATCACTGTGTAGTGTCCCCATGGTTATCAGTATTTCCTTCAACCTTCTGGTTAAATTCACTGTGGTTCACCCTGCTTTTGTTATCAATCAATAAAAAAACTGCTGGCTTCAAGAGGAGGAGGATTATTACCTAGCTCTATTAGACAGTCAATCACAATGACATGTGGCTTTTTGCCCTGTGTCTTTCTTCAGAAACRTGCTTTTCCAGCAAATGTTTCTTTACCTTTCTTGCAGAACAAACTCTTTAAGGACTGCTTTGGAAATTGTTTTGCCGATAGAGAACGAATCCATTCTTCTGTGTGAATTAGATCAGCGGCTGAACAAAAAGGACATCCGGCAGTTTAATTTGATGAACAGTGATCTTGCATATAGGGAGCTAAAGGTAAGGGGAAATGCAGAGACCATAYCCCATCCAGAACAGTTGCTAATATGGCAAAGAGTTACAAAACTTAGTACTGCTTCTCACTGAGGAATTTGAGACCAGTTACAAGATTTCCCACAACTTCTAGCTCTTAAAAGTATTTTACTCCACTTCTTTTAAAAGACATTGCTCCTGTAGAGACACAGGGAGCCTCAGTGGGGCCCACCGTAAAGAGCACAGTCATGAACATTCCTTCTTGTTGATGACTCTCCTTCGTTCTGGAGTTGTTTTGTTCTCAGCTCCTGTATATTGTAATACTCTGTTCAGAAGAATTTACAGCTGCCATAATTGTGGCCCTTATTTTTTTTTCTTTCCCTGTGTTTTACCATCTGAATCAGTGTTCTCTGTGAAGATTTTTAAGGCTCAGTCTTGGTTTAAGTTACTGTCTTTCACTTGCTARCACTGTTGGTCCTTCTTTCTATTTCAGGAGCTGCAGAGATCCATATTAAATCAGATTGAAGTGTGCAAACAATTGGAACACCTAGACAGTTCAGCAAGGGATGAATTTAATCCAATAGATCTGCAAGCAGCAAGTAAAATTATGGTTTATTATCAAAACCAGCTTGAAGAAATGAGCCGAAAGATGCAGGTCCGAGAAACAGTCTTGAAAGATCTGGAAACTTTTATGGCCTCGCTGAGGAACGTTCAGTTTTCCAATAAACATCCTATAGATCCCTCAGCTCAACCTGAAACACAAGGAAAGGCACTGAGGGAGGCTGCACAAGACCTGTCTCATATGGCAGAAGAGGCAAAATGTTTGGATGRACGCTTGGCAAGAGTTGATATCTGTTTGGAAGATGCTGAACATGGGAGAAAAACKTGCTGTGAAAAACTTGTTCTGACTTTATCTGAAATGCTAAATGAGGCCTGTGATCACTCAACTGAACAGATGCTTATGGAAGAGAAGGACTTAAACAAGACTTTTTCCACAAAAAATAGCGAACTCCTTAAAACCATCCAGGATCTACATGACAGGATTGACAAAATAGGCTTGAAGGATCCAACAATTCCAGCTATTCAACAAAGGTGAGTTTTTTTTTTTTTTTTTAATCAGTGAACTCAAAGTACCCTTAGCACCTTTGCAGTGGGACACCGAAATCTGAGTGTATCTTAAAACACCTGCAGAGCATTGGTGAAACAAACTGTGAGCTTATGGTTGCTTCTCTAGGTCACCAGAGAAGATGACCTTTTTTTTTGCTTCTAAGCACCTGTGTATTTGYGTGTTTGAAGCAGCACAGATGAAGGAAAAAAAAAAGAGGAGGAGGTTAAATTATATGATCTTATTTTTTCAGTAAGATAGATGTCAAACAGACGCTTATGACTAAACAAGTCATCAAAACTGCTGTTTATGAAATAGGAAAAAAGAGGAGACAAAGAGCTTATAAACTCTGCTCGTATTTTTAATTATGCCATAGTTTCCTTTCTGAGACCGTACTTTAAGATGTCCAGCATACAGTTGGATATTAATACAGGATAATTAGCTATATTCCTAMAGAAATGGTGAACATTTGCAATTTTGAATTCATTTCTCAAGGAGTTTGGGTCAGTATAACTCCTCTGACAGACTGTCGGATTGCACCAACTGCAGATGAAATTACACTTTTTATGATGTCATTTAATACAACCACTGTGTCATTTAATGCAGTCAGTATATGCAGCTCAGGATGAATTTCTAGGAAACTTAATAGCTATATTGGGGAAAAGAGTCAAAGACCTACTTTAATATAAGGCTGTATTTCATTTTTTTTTCTAATAAAGAATAAAATCATTAAGGGAATTGGAAAAGGAATTGGATTGTGCAGCRGTTGAAATGAAAGCTTTGCGAGAGATTGCTAATAAGCTCCCACACATCAAAGAAGAAAAAGCAGAGGAAGCAAATGAACAGTGCAGAGTTACAGAGAGTTTATGGGAGGATACAAAACTGTTAATTGCTGAATGGTAAGGAATAGCATTATATTTTGAAGTATTGTGCAAATAAGGATCTTGCTTGTAAAAACTGAACAACAGAAGAGTCTTAGACCACAAAGTAATTGTTACAAAGTAAATGGAATGGTGATGTAGAAGGAAATGTTGTAATTATAGTGCTGCAAGCTATTTTAATGCCAAGAATTGCCCATAGAAATTTGCAGCCAAAGCACTTGGGTTTTATTTATTTTCTAGTGATCACAGTCCTGTCATTTAGCAGGTAGGCTATGGCACATTGGACTGAATCAGGATCAGAAACAAAAGCCTGGCTGCTACTGAGAGTGACAGGTCTACGCTATTGGCTGGGAATTTCATGCCAAAAAAAAAGAAAAAAAAAACACAAACAGACTAAAACAGATGGAAAAGGACATGGAAATTAGAGTGTCTTTCGCAGGAAAAGAGTGAAAGAGCTCTATTTGAAAAGCCTAACAGTGAGGAGTGGGACGAGATGTGATTGATGACCCAGGGCTTCCTCTTAGGCTTTTTAAAAGTGCCTGGGGGTTTGGATGGCCTGGCCAGTCCCAGTGAACCCTTGTGGCTTGTCTCAGTGTCGGCGTCAACTCCCGAGCTGCTCTGGCATCTGCTGCACGCTGCATTTCAGCTTGCTGGTGACGGAGCTCATCCCACAGGTGGGAAGAATCAAATAAACCTGAACTGCTCAGGCCACATCACCATTAAATGTAAAAGAGGCTCATGAAGCGGCAAAAGGCATCTCTGATTGCAAAAACTGTCCATTTACCACAACAGATATATCACAGCATCACTGGGTTTCTGACTGGGGTGCTTCATCCCTGCCATTTTTTGTCCTCCAAAACTAATCAGCAAACTCTTCACATATTTGAATTTAGGAGGAGGAGGCATACAAGCTTTCGGAGATGCTCTTTTATGAATAGGCAATAAATAATGCGTATCTTTCTTAACAGCCAGGATCAGTGTGCCAGGGCCCTGGAGCTCCTGAAGCAATACCAAAGCTGCAAAAGTAGCCTGACCAGCATTATCCAGAAACAAGAGATTGTGCTTTCACAGCAGGTTTCCTACATGGGGAAGGAGAATTTGAACAGGATGATAACAAAGGTGAGTTATGAGAACTTACTAACACAGAAAAAAAAGCTCTTTCTGGGAGTGTTTGGGTGTGCCCAGGCTTCAGGGCAAATGTTAAGTCCGGTTTTCACTTTTCCAAACGATCTTTAAGGACCCTACTCCTCTTTTTCTTTTAAGTTGATTTCTAGCTTTGCGTAATGAATCACAGTCTTGTTACAGGGGAGAGATTGAAAAAATTAGAAAAGTAATGGTTTAATGACAAAATAAGGTAAAAATTTGGTCTTATTGCAAAACACCTCCTGGAAACCACGAGACTTATTTCACCTGTACTGATTGGAATATTTCTATGTTTTCTGCCAAGGTTACATGGTAAAAACTTTTTAGGGAACAGATGTAAAGGTGTCAAACCAGCCAATTTAGAAGTTACTTTAAAGCATTCCTTGAAGCAAACAAAAATTTGTTGTTACTCCTCAGAGCTACTCTGTGCTAGTGGTTTGGATGATTGATTTTTCCCTGCCTTGCCAGGATGATTGCCAGCACCTTGTTGTGCTCCAGCTGCAGGGAAGCTCCCTGTGCCTGGTTGCAATCCTGTTTCCTCTTAACTCTGTGTTTTGGAATGAAAACTCTTAGAATTGGAGTCTGCGATAGCMCGGGCGTGTGCTGGAGTGCTGAGGATTAGTTAGGTAAATTAGAAATTAATAATATACATAATATCAAATAAATATTATAAATAATATAAACTATAATTTAAATTATTAAACGGTAGGAGAAAAGGTCCTCTGCCTTGCTCTGGCTTGTGAATCCTGCCCTGCTGTCCCCATCCAGTACCACATGGTTGGCAGCATCTGTAGAATAGGCTCATCATTTATCTGTAATTCCAGAGCCTTTTCCTATCGAAATGGCCAACACTAGGGGTCAGTGTTTCATTTCCATCRGGCTTCTGTGTTGTTTGTAAACACTGCTCTTACAATCCAGCACAAAGAAGCAGGCTTGTGCACAAACAGCAGGGAGGAAGGAGGGACGTTTCTGTTTCTGGCAGCGTGTATTTTGTAATGACTATTTATAAGTAGCATTTAAGCTTGTTGTTGTTGTTGTTAGCAGTTCAGTTCTGAAATGATTATGACAATTTGCTTTGTTTATTCCTTCTGTGACTGAGGTGCCTTGTATGGATGTGTGTTGCCTTGGATTTCGCATTTACTATTTTTAAAGCAAACTGTTTGGATCCCTGAGTCAGAAGCACACGTGCATAGCTCCCACTATGCTGTTCTGCAGCCAGTAACAAAACAAAATGCTGTCATTCTGATGGGTAGGTCGTTCTGTGAGTGTGGTAGGGATATAACAGCAGAGGATACATCTCTGGCCTCATTACATTACGTAAAAGGGATTATTTTGCGTCATGCTATTGTTTCTCTAAACTGAAAAGAACAGCAAGCTACTAAAAAATGTTTTGCTGGATAGTCTTAAGTAAATACACCTGTAAAGATCCATTTGCTCCTTTTCACAGATTGAAGAGGCAAAAGAGGAATTTAATGATCACGCTGAAGATGTAGACAGAATAAATCAGATCTGCAAAAACCTTCAGTTCCAGCTCAATAAAATGAGAAGCTTTGAGGAACCTCCATTTGAGAATGAGGCTAACATCATTGTGGACAGATGGCTGGATGTATGTAAAAAGTAAATTATCAGGGTGGCCTTATCTGTTATGCATTATAGTAATTGATTCTGACCTGTGAGTAATATTTGGAATAAATTAAGTACAATATGGCGAAGATTCTAGGAAATAAATCCAAGTGTTTACCACAGCAAAGCTTTTAGTGTGTCTACTGGCATAATGTTTCTGGTCTGTCACATAGTTTATATCATGGGCACTCCTCAACAGTAAATGCRATTCTGAGAAATGCAGAAAGGCAGAATTTGTGCCTTTTATATGAATCCATGGGCTTCCACAGCAACTTTAGTGTATTTAGACTYGGGAGACAGTCTGGAGAATTGCAGTGCTGGTGCTGTTGGAGAGAAATGTTTGCTGCTGCAGATCTAAGCAGGGCATCAATACTGAGATTAGATGGTATTTACTCAGAGTAGATAAACATTAATGAGCAAGGCTCCTTCCTAAACCTGTCTTAAAGCTGGCAAGCTGCTGTTGTGATTGGTATGTTTAGCGACATGTGTGGCAGTGATTTAAGCATCTCCTCCATGACCGGTTCACTGTGAAGAAACACGGGATTTTTTCTCCCCTTGCTGCACCACAGTGTAGGTGGTTTCATTTTGCCAGGATTTTATTATACTGCTTTGCTTTTAGAATATAACAACATTTTTGGTATCTGTTTTCTTTGTATAAATCCTGTGGCAGATCAACGAAAAGACTGAGAACTACTGCGATAATTTGGAAAGAGCTCAGGCTTTGTGGGACAAACTTCTTAGTTTATCCAACACAATCGATGCATGGGCAAATGCAGAACTGAAGAACATAGAAGACCGTTCCCTGACCGAAGAAGACCTTACACAGCTGCAGGTAATTTGCATGGAAATACTTTAGTATAAACTCCTGCTGAGGTGGTGTGGGCTTCTGACCGTAAACGTGGGCATCGTGTGTAAATAGCAGCACTGCAAAGAAGCGGACATCACCTTTGTAATTGTATCTGCAAGGACAATTTTGCTGAGCAAAGTGATTGATGCATTGAGGTTACAGGTCTTGGAAACAAATAGGGGGAGAGACCTTTATGTAGGTACAAACTTAGTGGTGATGCAAAACTGCTTTCAGTTAACCACAGCTCTCCGAGTGCTGCTTTAGGCCCCTGTAGCCCCCTAATTCCTTAGTGCTGTGCGAACATATAGTGAAGAACAGGCCAGGAAAGCTTTGCAGTCTGTGCAGAGGGGCACACTTKTTTCCTGCTGCCTAGTGAAGAAGGAGAAGAGGGTAGATGTAGGCTAATGACAGCTTCTCTTCTTTCAAAATGCCTGTCACAAAGGCATGTGAGCCTCAGAAGTGGTCGGGCAATGCGCGGCTGAGGAAGAGACTGTAGATGTGGGCTGCTGGTTCCCAGAGCACCTCTATGTGGCTGGAAAGGCTGCAGAGGGTCTTCAGTGGCTGTGCTTGGACAGACATACACCCACCCACAGAGCCCAGCTCTGCCCATGTTCCTCATGCACAGCTCATAGCCCTGACTCCTGGAGTAGAGGTGCAGGTGGGTATAGAGATGCATGCACTAGCTGTGTGCAGTTASAGACCTTATATTCAGGGGTAAATATTTAACTTCAAACTTTAGGGCCATAACTGACTAGCCATGTTGCTTTGTTGTAGTTGCAGCCATTTTCTGCTAAATACAAATAATTTGCTGTGTGAATTGGGCTGAGGTATAAATCTGTCCAGGCTCATCTTGTTTGAAAACACACAGGCAACTTTTTCTCAGTATTTATATGTTGCAAATGCCCTGGGTTTTGTCGTGCTTATTTGCAGCATTACYGCTACTGTTACTCTTGCCAATTTGTTTTAATTTACAGTGCAATAAGAACCCAAGGTGTTCATTCCATGCAGATCTTCCTGKTGAAACAGGAGTCTAGCTGATGTGCAGGGTGGCTGTTTTGTCCCATTGTTACTGCTTTTAGCTTTGTGTCGTCAGAGTGTACATGGGGTAGTTCAGGTCTCTAAGGACTACATGTAAAGACACCAGCTGCCAAYTGTGTTTTAAGAGCTGTGTTGCTGCATGGACACTACCCAGGGCCAGGGCCAGGGAAAGGGAGGGAAGGAGAGGGCAGGGGAGAGTCAAGAACTAAGGTGAAGCTAGAAGAGTAGGAAAGAAAATGGGACTTACTGTATTTGCTTTTTTGTAAAATAGCCCAGAGCGAGTCAGGGCCATTTATAGATTGTTTCCTAATCCTGAAGCAAACATATCTGCATTAGTATTAATTACAATCCAACTGCTGTGTTACATATCATGTTACGTAGACTGCCAACCCGGGGCCCTTGGTACCACCCAGCAGGGCAGGGGTACTCGTCCTTGCGAGAAGCTTGTCACAAAAATGAATTATTTGCCTTATATTATGTTGAAAGGTGGTTTCAATATAAATAATACAAGACAAGTACTGCTTGCTATAATAAACCAATGTAAGGGTAGGAACTTGTAAGGGTTGCAGTGGCTCARTGAGTCTGGATTAAGAGAGTCCATAGGAATAGTCTGTCCCAAGGGAGTTTGGAAATATGATTTGGGAACATGAAACAATGTGGCTGTTTGTGACATTTCTGCTTTCATAAATTGCAGCTGATACTTTATTTTCATGTTACTCTCTTGTTCTAAAATACATTCAGACAAGTAGGTGTTTTTCCATTTCCTTCTGTGATCATTGGATCAGGTGATTTATATATGGAGAGATCTGCATTTGAAAACCACACACACACAGTATGTTTGTGCCCTATCACATCCCTACTGAAGTAGGGATCAGGATGACAAGTCTTGACTTCAAGTCCATGACATCTGAAAAAAATTTAAGATGGTTGGCCCTTTTTAATAGATCAAAGCAGGAAATAAATACAAAATAAGATTATTTTCCTACTTCTTTGATTGGATTAATGAGTGGGTAAAATAATTAAGATTTTTAAATTTGCACTGAATTTATGTTAACAACTGCTTGGCTCTAGATATATGGTTTTTTTTTTTCCTATTTAAAAAAAAATCTAGTTGGCTGAAATGAAAATCAGAAGATGGACCAGTTGTTGTAATTCTATATGCCAACAGGCAGAATTAAAAAAAAGGAGTTAATACACTTTCCTAGCCGAAACATGGAACTACAATCTAAGTGAAAGCAATATAGTTACAGACRTGTTTTTCCACCCTCAGGCTTGTTTACGAGTCCAAGAGCAGAAACTCCAGAAATTTGACAACACTGTGCTTGAGATAGAGGAGCTTCTCAACAGTAATGAACCTCCCTTGGAGCTGCAGKTAGGAAGGAGCCTTTAAAGCTAATGGGCTGGGACCCGTCTTTTCCACAGTCATTTCTTGGTTTGATTTAGATCTGCCSGAAGAGAAATGGAGCAATTTTGTTAGCTGTTACCCAGCCTTTCATTTCTTGTTTTTCTCAGSTTGTCAAAACCAAACCTGTCATTTTAAATGCAAAGGTCTTTAGTCCTGTGTCCTGCAGGGGTTTGGCCCTGCAGGTACCTGCATGGTACCTGCTTTATGGATATTGGCCAAGAACAAGGCACAGGGACCTCTCTCATCCCTTTGTAGATCCCAGTCACTCAGCATGCTCCTTGTCCCTTTCAAACTGTACCTTTACCTGGATATGATTTACACAGCTTGTTAATATCTAGCTATTTACATGCAGTGGTGTTTACTATGATGTTTTCCTTTGCAATAGTACCAAGAAAGCTCCATGTTTTTACTTTACCCACCAAGAGTTAAGTTTTTCTCCCTATTTGAGGCCACAGATGCTTAGAACTTATATGAGTTCCCCAAGCATCTGCTCGAGTTGTGGTCAGGCAGACCTTGAGCTTGACCCAGTTTGACCATTCATATGTTTATCCCCCGCAGCCAGTGAACTTGGAGGTATTTTGCTGGGTAAAATGATCCGAGGAGCTTAGGCAGGGACTGAGTGACACTGGGCTGTGCAGACTGTGCCCTGAAGCAGCCCAGGTGCCCTCAGCCCCTCCAGGTCATCTGTCACCATGTGGGCAGGACCCCTTGAGTCATCTCTGCAGAAAATTTAAGGATAAAGTTCAGGACCTGCTGTTCCCTAGTGACCATTCTCAAGCCGGAGCTCCCCATGTCTCCGTTCCCCCCTTGTCTGTTTGTGGGGACGGTGTGGGGAATGGGTTGCAAAAGAGGGCTGGTACCTCCTTTCTCCTAGGAGTGAAAAGGCATTCAAGTCCTTTGTCCAGGTGAGAGTAGACACTAGAGGATCTACTCACTGACAAATACACTGTCAGTATTTGTCTACCAGTGACAAATAAATTGGTCAGTAAAGTAGCACCAGTTAATGCATCCCTCATAAAGAAGACCTGAGATTATTCTCCCTCAGAAAAGTAGGGCTTGAATACTATTGTTATTATTTTTCAATTTGCAGAGTGGAGGGGAAGAAACTGAAAAAACCTGTGATTGAAGCATCTGGTCTTCAGATCATTTCACTGCTTTTTATAGCTGTCATGTAGTTCTGCAATATTCTCGGAAATCAATCCCATATAATTTCTTWCACCTTCTTATTTCCAATTTTAAGGTCATCAGATCATCCGTTGTGCATAAAATGGAGCTAATAAAAGAGCTCTTGTCGATGAAGCGGGGGACTAGTGAGCTTGGTGTGAATACGGCAGAGCTAAAAGGAGACCTTGACCGGGCCAAGACACAGATTGGGATGACTGAATCACTTTTAAAAGCTTTGTCTCCTTCTGATACATTAGAGATCTTCACTAAATTGGAGGTAGTCACAAATTACATACCTTTTATAATTTGATTGATTTTTTTGCTCTCTCCTGGGCATGCCTTCATGTGTGTTTCCCCTGTATAAGTTATCAACCATTAGAAGAGCAAGAAAGAACTTGGCTGGAGTATTCCTTAAAGTTGCCAGATGCATAGAAGAAAAGCCTGTTTTCTCTGGCTGTTTGTAGATGCAGTTAGTCAAGCCTTGCAGCTATTGGAAATGGTCAGTGGTAGGCAAGACTGCAGTGTCTCCCACCCAAGATATGTTGAAGCAGTAGTGGGATGCTGGTTTGCATCTTTTCCAGGACTGAGTGATAGAGTTGTCTTGCCYCCTGGTCTGCCAGGGAGCTCTCCATAAGTTCTTGAATCCAGTTTTTCATCTGCCTCACCCCAGGGACAGAGGTGAGAAAAGAGCTGCTTTGTGATTTGGAGGTTGCCAAGATTTAAACCTCCTGTTAAGCAACGAGTCCATGACGTACATTGTGACTGCTGCTGTTTAGGGCAGTGAAATTCCATGTATCAGAAGAARGAAACAGCTCTCAGTTAATTCTCCCGGCTCCCCTCAAGTTATCTTTCAGTCTAGCAGGATTTGACTCATAGAGTGAGACATTTAGAAACAGAAAGGTGAATGTGCAGCTAATGCAGTCAGAAAGTCATTATAGATATAGCTAGATCTAGAWATAGCCAGATATTTTATAGCCTGGAACATATTTATGACAGTGCCCTTCACACATTTATTGTGGGTGATGCCAAAATACCCACGAGCCCATGTGTGAATATACTTGTGAGGAAGTATGTATAGCGATGTATGCACAATACTCAAGAAGAGTTTAATGCTTTTTCTACTCACTAATTGCATTATTAATGTTAATGCGTTTTAAGAAATTATTTTGGTACTTAGTAGGACCAAACTGTTTTGCAAAACTACATAATTTATGCTGAAACAGCTCTGTCCAGTACTGCTTATATTTYAGATTTTTCTCTTTAATAGATGCCTTTATTTAACTTTAGGAAATCCATCAGAAAATTCTGCAGCAAAAACACCACGTGACATTACTCCAAGAAGAGACAGATTGTCCTGATGTCGATGAATTAAATAAGCAGCTTAAATGTGTCACTGATTTATTTAATAAGAAGAAACATGTTTTTCAAGATCACTTTATTGGTGTTTTGAACCGTAAGCAAGCACATTTCACATCTATATTTTTTATAGTTTTGTGTAGAGCATCTTCATCACCTTAAGATTATGAAATTGATTTATTTTTGGTTCAGTATCTTAAAGATTTTTTTTGCCAGACTGCTTCTGGGTTCTCAACAAAGTAAAGATTTGCAAACAAATGTTGGTTGATTCCAACAAATCACTTGATCCAAGTGGAAGTATTTTTAATATAATCTTAGCTGTGGGTGTGGGTAGCATCAAGCATCATTAATTACTCTTCACTTAACTCAGACATAGGATTGTGCTAGTATAGAATTAGGCCCAAAGGTAATCTCATTTTAAATAGTTTTTTCAGTAATATTTGTTTGTGTGCAAATGAGAGAATTTGATAAAAATCGTAAGTCTTGTTTACCAAAGCTGTGAGGTGTAGCAGACTTCTCTTGCATTGAATTCTTCCCCAGTAAGAGCAATACTTATTATCAATAATTATTGGGTGAAAAATGAAGTGTGAATTRTGGCATTTTTTGTCATATTGTATCTAGTGAACAGCATCTCTGACAGCAGTATTTTGAAGATAATTATGAGTTACCTGAAATATTCATGTTAAATAAGAACTTTCTTTTACAGAATACAATTAATGAAGAAAATTGGAATATATCTTTTTATAGGTCAATGCAAGAATTTTAATGACTGGTTCAGCAGCACTCAGCTGTCTTTGAAGGACTGCTTTGACCCTTCAGAAACAAAACAGATGTTGGAAGAAAAAACACAGAGGCTAAAGGTAAAATATTATCATATACTAATTTCTAAGGCTGATTCTTGAAGTTACAGGGTTTTATCCAGAAGGTTATTCTTGTTTGTGAGTTCACCTAGTGGGAGGCTTAAGGACTATTTAATATAATATAAAACATGAGAACAGTAAATGGAATGAAAATATAACTTTGTTAAAATTGAGTATCAGTGTTCAAATTCAAGTCATAGCAGTGTAAGGTCAGTCCAGATGGYAGTAGTAAGAGTCCACATAACTTCAATGTGAAAAGATTCAGAAAGTTGAAGAGCAAAATGAAGTTCTGATTTCCCCACTGGGTTTGATGGAAAAATTTACATTCACTTTCTTATGGAGAAATTTTCAGTCCAAGTCAGGCAGAATGCAAAGAAAAGAAACAGAAAAGCCACAATGTCTACAAAAAGTGATCACCATTTAGCAGCAGAAGGCATAGTGATGTCAGTGCTGGATTTGAACTCTGCAGTTGCCTATTCTGTTTTATTTGTGCTGCAGAAAAGAAAATCTGTCATTTTCACTTTTTTCTTATTATGCAAACAACAACTTTTCCATTTGCAAGTGGAATAAATGTGTTTCAGGAAATTGTGAATGAACATATCTTGACAAGACACAAATTACTTTAGCAAATGTTGATGGAGGTAACAGAGATCAAGAAACTCTTGTAAAATAAATCTCTACGATACAGCAGAAAATTTGACAAATGCATCTTGTGTTTATGCTTTTATTCAGCAATTCYTAACTTCTGAAGGCAAAGATGGAGATATCCAAGAGGTTAAAACTTTATTGAATAAGGTGAAACATTACTTGCCAAAAGCAAGTATTAATCACCTTAACAACCATGTGAGAGATCAAGAAGCAGAACTGCAAAGATTGATCTCCAAATGTCAGAAACGGGAAAAGGAACTTGCTGCTTCTCTCCAACAGCTCAGTAGGTAGGAAACTAATGCCATTTCTGACATGTTAAACATAGGTGATAAAAAATGATTCATTAAACAGTCATACTGAAGGACAAATAACACTGCTTTTAATAAATATGATCTTTTAATATGTGATAGTGGGTGTTTTATGAGCAGGTTATGCTCCATACTATACTACAGCACATGATTTTGAACATTTTTTCATGTTTGGGTCCATGATATTTGTAGTATTTTTGCAGAAAAATACAGTAACTAGCAATTTTTGCTCATGCAAAGCCTCTGATTTTGAAATGCATCTGTATTTATTGTTTCTCTAGCCTTCAAGAGAGCAGCACTGGCTTGGAAGAGTGGCTTGCCACTCAGGAAGAAAAACTGCAAGAGATTCAGAAAGATAAGACAAAACTTGAAAGCTATTATCAAATATTATTAATGCAGAGGTATTATTGCCTTTGAGTTTTATCTTAGAAATGTTTTGTAAAAGATCCATTTTGTTTTAGTAGATAGATGTTTGATTAATTGGTTGTGTTTTCTTTAGAGAATCGTTTGACTCCATGGCTCAGCAAACAAAATCCTTGAGGGAGACTGGGTTGACAGAAGATGAAACTGTTTCTGAAGCCACTGCTCTTATTAATAGATATCAGATGCTGGTGACACATGCAAGTGAAATGGCAGGAGATACTCAAAGCCATCTAGCAGAAGAAAACAATTTTGAAGAACTTGCCCAGGATGTTTCTTCTTGGATCAAAAGGCTTGAGGAGGCTGTTAGTAACCTAAGTTCAGAGGAAAGTGAGTCTCCATCAGAAGAACGAATTAATCGGATAAAGGTATTGTGCTACATGCATTACTTTTGTGCTTGACAACAAAAGTATTTTCAAGGGAAAGCTTGGTGAATCAGTACCTCAGCAAGACACCGTCATTGCTGGTTGCCTCTGTTTTGGAGGTTGGTTTCAAGGGGCTTGTTTCTTTGGGTTTTGGATATTTTTACATGGTTAATGAAGTCCATAAGGACTCTGCTGCACTTCTGAGTGGGCCAGTACTGAACTCAGAGCCCAGGTAGGGTGCTGGTGGGCAGGCACCTTCTGTTCATCAACTGCACCACAGGTACAGAGGTTTTACAACACTCCATGACAGGGCAGTCAGAAATGAGGCTGCTGAGATTTCCACACTTTTTCCCTAAAACTTCCTATGTTTTGGAGTGTTTTTTTTYAGTGAGTGAGACCAGTATTAGTTGTCTTTTATTACATAGACAATAATGAATAAATCTCAGTTACATTGTTCCAGGCTTCCTAAAATTAGATGATCAATCTATGTATACATTGACCATATAGAGTATTGGAAGAAGGATTGTTTTTTTCTTGAAGAACAGTATACAAAGAATGAAAGATTTCATTGCTAAAACTTCTTATTCTGTAAGCAAAAATAAATAAATATTTACTGCTTCTTTCTCCTTTAATACAGGAAATCATAAGTCTCAGAGATRGAGGAGAGGCCAAAATACGAAACATGATAACTCTAGGAGAAACTTTAATAAGAAATGAGAAAATTGAGAAGCCAGTGGTTGAACAGACTATTTCTGAACTCCAAAATCRGTGGGAAAGCGCCCTTCAGTTAGCCACAGAATATATAAGGTAATAACAGAATTTGCCAAGAGGCAGTATAGGTTTCTTGTTGCTATTGTGTTTGTTGTAAAGTATTCGGTATTGTTGTGTTGTTAGAAAGTCTTTTTGCTGACTTTCTTCTCTTCTTTCTCTACCTGTTGCACTGAATTTGTGTAGATACCGTCAGAAGTTCATGCATTTCTGTATGGATGTACGGGAGCTGGTTGCAGTTTGGACCCACAGGGCTTGTAGGGAATAACCAGGAGMCCTAGGGGTGGGTGCCAGGACTCACCTGGAGTTATCCCCACTCACCTTCAATTCCCTTTGTGATACTGAAGCAGCRTGGGGAAAATAAAAAGCAAAGTGTATCCATTGCTCCTTGTTTGTTTAGCCTGTGCAGTGAGAAGACACTGATCTAACCCTTGCCAGTCCTCGAGCTGCCTTGCTGCAGTTTTGGGTGCTCACTGGCACGCTGAGCTGAGTCACTGGGGCCCCAGTGTTACTGAGAGCCGAATGTGGCCCTCTCAAACAGCTTGCCTTATTCCAGACTTGTGTAAAAATCAACCAGCTCTCTGATTTTGGAGATGCAGACACTATCAAACTAGCTGTCTGCTGTAACATCCTTGAACCCTCTTTCATGTTTATAGGTTAGGATTGAAAGTGTATCTAAGATGCTGTCACTTATCTTGCATCTAAATCTAGGTCAGTAACACAGAGTTGAAAAATTCCAGCCTGAAGTTGATCAATAATCTTAAACTTCCAGAAAATCTTCAGTATGTTTAATTCTCGTAACGGTTGATCTGCTCACAGTTAGATATTTTCTAAGCAATAAATACAAAAAAAACCCATTCATTTATTAATAATAATAATTATATATTCTTTTTTAGCCCTCAAGAACAACTTCAGCTTAACAGAGAGCAATATGAGCGAAGCAAAGCAGGCCTGAGACTGGCTCTAACAGACCTGAAGAAACAGCAACAAGAGTTAGGTGTTGCCCTGCAGCCTGGTTTGCAGGAAAAACAAACTCAGTTGACAAAATATGCCCAACTTCTGCAGAAGGCAGAGGACTTAAATTCCCTTTTTAATGAACTGAAAAGCCAAGAAGATGACCTGCAGTGTCATGCTGTGGATCCCTGCTTCACAGAAGAGTCGTGGTTGGAATTAAAGCATCAACATGAAAATCTGCTCAGCCAGCTACAGGTTGGAATGTTACTCTTTATAAGAGGCCTGTTTGGTTACAGTTCTCACTGATTGTTGATAGTCTCATTCAGCTGGCAAGTTTATGAGTAAAACTGGGAGTGCTGACAATTATTCTGTGAAAGGGCAGGGAATTCTTCTCCTGTCTTACTGTGGGAAAAGAGCACCAGAAGCTCATATACTTCACTGCCTTGCACTTTGCAGAGGAATAAATGTTTAAATAAAAGAGCCCAAAGTATATGTGAGAATTAAAAAAAAAATGCACTTGTATTTACAGCTTTTATATAGCTATGCAGCATGAAACRTTTGTTGCTGTAATCTCCAAGCCATACATTCTTTTCCTCCTTTTGGGAGGATGAGTGGYTCTGCCTGGGTGTTGTTTGCTATTGGTTGCACCCAGTTTAAGTCAGCAGGATACCTTGCAACACACAGAGCATCCTCCTCCAATCTCTCATCCATTTTGTACAGGAAACATCCCTTTAATAACCGTATTTTCATAAAATGCAAACTCCCCTGTATCCTGCTAATAGTATTGATTTGTTCATGGTATAATCCATTATGTGCTGGGGAAAAAAGGAWTTTTTTTCCTGTACAACTGTGATTAGACGGATATTTAATGGGAAATAAGTAAATGTTCTGTGCCACTGTAGTCCTGGAAGAGCTATGACAGACTGTAGATGGTTTCTATTTTCTGTGAGCTAATGCTGGGTTAACCTGAGAAACTCCTTGATTTCTAGAGCATAGTGCAGACATTGGAAAGCCATGTTCAAGAGCACCAGCTGTTTCAGGATATGGTAAAAGACTTGAGCACTGAGCTGAAAACTATCTCTAAGCAATTTCCTGATTACGGAGGTCCAGCAATGGAAGAAACGTCCACTGAGCAAAAATCACAGGTATGTTGGATATTCCTTTTATTAAAATAATTGTTGGCCTCAAAGTGTTCTTAATGAAGTCGTTGGATCTTTGCTGCTAACCTAACTGAAAGRAAAATTGTCTGAGCCCAAGAATCCAGGCTTCCTGAGGCTTTTTTATTTTTCCCTTGGTGAATAAGGAGGAGAGAGATCTTCAAATATTTCATTTTAAGGTCTTAAAAAGTCTTTAATTCTAACAGAGTTCAGAAAGCTTARGATAGTGACTGTGAACCAAGTTCAGAAATAGATACTCTTCTTCAAAAGTATTTCTAAGATATATTTTGTAAGATATTCTTAACACAAACAGATATTCTTCTGCACACTGGCAAAATTGAGAATAGTCTCATGGCCGTGAGCATGGTGAATTATTAAAAGATGACATTATAATTCAGGTTCAAATCACTGATATTYCCCCTCCTCCAGAAGTTAGCAGGTGTGTCTTTAGCAGGTGAAAGAGGAGGAATAGGAAGAGGGTTGGCTTGTTAAAACCTTGAAAAGTTCACCATTGTTTTATTATTGTCCTAATGCATATGTTCAACTGCTTTTCTTCATAAAAATATATGGCTCTACAATACTGGAATATTTGACTTTCTGTAGCAAATATTTCTGCAGGAACTTTTCAGCACAGATTGTTGTTCAGAAGAAATATTTATGATTTAGTAATTGATTTCAGATCTTAGTAATAAGTACACTGAGTGAAGATATTTTTCAGTAACCTGTTTYCTTCGTTTTTAAAGGAACAACGAGAACCTCTTAGTCGATGTGAAGACACGTTAAGGAAGATGTTGGTTTTAGCAGAGACTGTTAAACAAAATACCTCTTCACAGGGACAGAAGTTTATTAAGGAGGAGATTGAAACACTTCAGAGTGAGCATAGGAGTCTGCAGAAAAGRCTTGAAAATGTCAAGCAAAGGGATGAAAATATGCTCAGTGAAGCCCTTGAATTAAAGGATGTGATTGCTGAAGAAATACAGGTGGAAGATAAAGCAGACCYAGAGAGAGAGATGCAGGTCACTTTTGCTATCCTTACTGCTGTAGAAGAGGGCCCCAAAGCAGCAGAGTTAAAGGAAGGCTTGGAAATGCATAATGTGAGTATGCTTGTTGACTGCATCAGTGATTAGAGAGGCAGCTCTCTTTCAAATACCTTTTGTAAATGGCATCCTTTTCATTTCTTTTGAAACTAAGCCTTCTAAAAATCACACACATATAAATCAAGTGGAGAACTCCCAGAAGTTGTTTTAACAAGTCTGTAACAAGTTAATACTGTGTCTTCAAAACAGCAACTTTCTGTTCAGACTTAACCTGCGTATAGCTTTCTCCTGCATGTAATCAGAATATGTATCCAAGGTAAGGACACAAAGGGAGAAGAGTTATAGATGTGAAAACTGCAGATAGACCTCTGCCAAAGAACTCTAGCCTTTTGTTTTGCTGTTGTTTTATAACTTTGAGAGCTTCTCATAAACCAATAAGACTTGTCTAGAGCTGAAGCACAATGTATTTCCTGTTTCCATAAGTTCTGTTTTTTTTCCCTTCTATCCAGATATTTAATATGGTAATAGAAGGTGCACAGTCACACAAACATTTCTTTTTCTTTGCTTCTTCTAGGGTCAAGATGTAAATGGGAACGTGTCAAAGAAGGAGAAGCAAGATGTTTCACTTTTGGAGGAAAGCAGTGTATTGGCAGACAGCCCCTTTCAGGTTATCTGTCAGACCAAGGATGGAGAGGACCAAATGGTTCAGGTACCTGACAAACATTTAACACACATCAGTGTGTGTGTCTGTGTGTGTGTGTGTTTGCTAGAAATGCATTTTCTTTGTTGTTCAGCCTGAAGAAAGGAAGCATAAGTTATGTGGGCCAACTCCAGAAACAAAGTAGGTAAAGAGAAGTTACAAACCTGAGACTGCTAGTTGCCATTTTAGGGGACATCAGGAAATTCACACTGTCTCAGTGGTTTCCACATTYATTAAGCTGATCTGTAGGAGCAACAGACAGCTTGTGGAGTGAGTGAAGTGCCAGTTTCTTTGTAAACTTGGGTTTTGTACTGTGACCTTTGTTGTTTGTAAATACCTTGTATTTTTCAAACCAGGAGGAGGCTGAAAAAGAAAGCCGAGGTGTGGACAGCGGTGATGGGGTCCAAGAGGACCTTCTGRACAATGTGGGTCAAGGTGGTGACACAGAGTGGAAAAGGCAGCAAGATGTTGGTGCTGAAGGTGATGAAACAAGAAAGAAAACAAGTCCAGTGGAGGTAATAGGATAAAAGGTTATGCAGGCTGGCTGAAGTTGACAACTTAGTTGCAATTGTGTTCTCAGGATATGTTTAACTCTCTGAATTCTTTCCTGTACACTTAAAATTACTATGGATGGAATTACTTCATTACTGTGGTCTGCTACAAAGTGATTTGCTGAGGACATTGCATCCCAAGTCACTTGACTGTATCATGATGTCCTTTTACCATTTTGCTTAAACACTGTTATTTCACTTTTATCTCTTTCACTTATTTACATGTCTTATTTACTTATTTACATACTTATTTATCCTACATGAAATTCTGTATCCAGTTTTGTGCCTCCTGGTACAAGAGGGATTTTGACAAACCAGATGGTTAGAGGCTGAAGCACATGATGTATGTGAAGAGGCTGAGAAGAGTTAGGTTGTATTAGGAGAAGGAAAGGGTAATGGAGAGTCTAATTGCCATTACCCCCTCCCTAAGGCAGCCAGACTCTCCTCAGATGTCCAGTTTTTACAGACTAGCTGAGAATGAAAGCAGTGTTTTGAGTGACAAGATGGAGCACAATGTGGACTTGTGAACATGCTGAGAAGCAGAGCAAATTAACTCAGTTTGGTTGCAATCAGGTTGCACGTGGCCACTTTCAATACATGTCATAGCTGACTTGCAAGTGCTAGCTCAGCATAGATAAGTCCCCAGTGCTCTGCATTAATTTGTGGACATGCTGTATTTGTCATTCCTTATTTTGTGTAGGTGGCTGTTTTATTTCATCTGTCCCCACTTTGTAAACCAGCTCAAGCAGAACTTATAGCTAAATAACTCAACAAATGCTTAGCATGAATACACAGCAAATGCCAGAGCTGCCCAGGGRAACATSCTGCCTGTAGGGGTACAGGGTTTCTAGCCACAGACTCTCTGTCTACACTGCAAGTAAGAGATTGGAGCCTCAGGAAAAAGGTAAACCTTTTCTAAACACAATTGTCTCATTCAAGACAATGAAMATCAGGAATACAAAATTAAAAGCCCATGCTTAGAATAATGAAACATAAAAAGTGTAGGTCAGAGGAAGATTGTTTGTAATTTACARTTTTCTAAAAAARAAAAGAAAATTACAGTACTGCTTCTTCTAAAAGGTTTCCTTTGCCATAACCTTTCCCATATTAAATTTATGAGACGTAATTTTGTTCTTCCTCATTTACCTGTAATTGTAGGCTTCATATCTTTGTCATCTGAAGCACTGCAATTACTGCTCAGTATGTTTGATTAGGACTTTTTGGTTACTTGTTTCTTTTATGTCCTCTGCACCMAAAGAAGAAACCTGATGATGTCAAGGATCAGTCATGTAGAGAAGTACAGCAGGTTCAGCAAAGGGTGGGCCAGAAGGATCACGAGCTGAAATCCTTACCAGTGGAAAAGAATGGTCTGGAATCCAAACCTCCGGGTTCTTTGTGTGAGGTAACCCACCCTACTGTCAAAACACTCACTTTTCTTTGCATTCTCATGTGCTTATGTTTCAGTCTGGTAAAGTGGATTTCCATCTCACTCTGTGATAGCTAACTGATTTTTCTGCTTGCTTCAGTTCTATGGCCCTCCAAAATCTCTTAAGACGAAATATCATGTGTACACAGAGAAATGGAAAATTTCTCTGATTGACTCTTTCATGAGTAGACCCCTTCAGTTCAGACTGCAAGTATTCAGAAGAGTTTGAATAATTGGAACTRTTCTTTTCGAGTAGTGTCCACCATGGGAAGCAGGCACGTGCTGGTCTGAGTAGCTCATGGCCCATAGAGAGGCAGAGAACAAAGGAAGCAGCAGCATATCAAGGCAGTAGGGATGAAGGTGTGAAGAGGAGTTAAAGGATGAGTGTACGTAGAGGAAGAGAAGACAGGATAGACTTGAGAATGGGATGAGCAAGGCCCGATGTGGGTGCTTGGAGGATGTCACTGAAAAGTGGGGACGTCCGACTGTCAAGCTTGCAGTGATGGGCAGAGGTTTCACTGCTGCTGCCTGTGCCTGTGCTGGYCACAGGCTGGGGTGTCCACAGAGATGGGCGGTCGTGTCCAAGGGACACACAGAGAGGGAAGCCACCGCRGGGTTTAGACACAGCTGCAACGTATGAAGCAAAGGGGGAATGTCTCAGTCCGAAAACTTGTGGCTGTAGGCATCCTTCAGAAATAACAACTCTGTTTTGCATTGTAGCAAGCAGTTATCGACGTGGTTGTTMAGAAGGAACTGCTTCCTGAAGTACCTGTACATACGGAATATTTTGAGGAGGAAAAACGGGTTAACGAGCTGAAAAATGAAGTGGCTGAACTGGATATTGTGCTCATAAACAAACAACTGGAAGAGCTGGAGGTATGAAACAGCGATGCTTTCCTTGCTGCTGGTGCAGTGATGCACTTGCAGCAGGAAGACTCGCTCGGGCAGAGGCGAGTTGTTGTGTGCAGCCTTATCTAGGTTTGACTCTGTGATTAGGCAGTTTGTGCAACAGGTAATCTACAAGCAGTGTGCTTTAATGCAAATATTTCCATACTGTATTTCATACGCCTCTTCTGAGATGCAGTAGTATGTACATCTGGGACTGCACATGTGTTTCCCCAATGTGCACAAATGTGTGTTAGTTCACATGTGACCATACAAGCAAGGTTGTAGGTGCAGCAGTATTTAGCTATACTTGATGATTAAGCCAAAAGTGGTTAAGATCCTCTTGTAATCTTCCTTCCATGGTGGGTTTGTTTGTAGAATTTACACACAGAACTGGAGACGTGGAAAGCAAAATCTTTGTGTCAGAATCAAGAGGCCYTCCCCAGCACAACAGGATCAAACAGAGGAGAACTGCAAACCACAGAGCCCACAGTGCCCTGCTGGGACAGGCTGCTTCAGGAGCTAGACACTGTTAAGGCAGTGAAACAACAACAGTACTGCTTAGTTAGTGAGTACCAGAAAAATCTTTCTGCTGCTCAATCCTCAATGAAAAATTTGTCAACAGAAAAAGATAACATAAAAACGTAAGTATAGTGTAAGTTTTCTGTTAACATTGCAAAACAAATATGGGTCTTAAATTAATGTTATGCATGTAGGTAAGCTAGACTGAATTTCTCCTGCCAAACTTCAATGATGTTGAGATAGGAATATGACATTATCTATCTCAGTGATGAATAAACTAGGAAAGTTGAGCACTAGTTTTTTTCAAGGATTCGTAAATTCTTATTTGTTGCCAAGTGAAAAGTCTGTTTACTCTGAAAATTAACATTATTTAATAGGAGCATTCCGTAGCATGCTCCTATTCCTATGCTGCTTTCTGTGGCAATAAATGAGCGTGCTGTAAGCGATGTACATGAGATATTCAGTGCCTTTTATAGAATAGCCTTCAAAGCACAGCAGGAATTTATCGATCGTATTAATGAATCATATTGGTTTGAAAATCTTTAAAATGATTTATACAATTGTTAATTTATAGCAAATAAAATAACATCTAACCATTAAATGTATTTTATATGGGTGTTTCACATATGCTGGACATGCAAGATAAGTTGATAAACTCCTAATTCATTCTGAATGAAAGGGAATTTTTGAAGTTATTCTTTTAATTAAGTTTTGTCTTCCTTCTAAATCAAGCCATAATATGTTGTTAGTTCACTTAAAGCTGATCTAATATTATTGTTGATGTTTTAATATTTATTTGTTACAACTTTAAAGAGGTGCTACAGTCCCTTAGTAAATAACATATTAGTATCTACTGCTATTTTAGACAAGCTAAATTAGAATGACCAGAGATACCTGCAAATAGTGTTCCAAACATAAGCAAGAAATAACTCTACTGTAAATGTTGAATAAAATAGTGGTGAGAGAACATTAAGCGATACAGGTAATTAAATGAACCATTTTCTAGCCTTCTCTTCTATATATTTTAAAAAATCCTGTTAATATCTTTGGCAGGGGTCCTATGAACAACACAGTTCTTCTGGAGAAAATTAAAATGTGCATAGAGTCATTGCACAGAGAAAGGGATGTTTTGAACCAGTTGAAAACTCAGCAGGAAAATTTATCTCAGCATTTAACGTGCATGGATAAAGTGTTAACAGAAAGCCAGATGAGGCAACTGGAGCTATGGTGGCAACACATGGAGCAAGCAGTGCAAAAGAAACACGATCAAGTTGTGGCAGAAATCAATGAGTTTAACCTGCTTATGAGCAAAGCACAGGATATTCAGAGACTGATACAAGAGCAGTACTTACAAGGAGAGCCGAGTTCCTCAGCTGGAGGAAAAGCCAAATACYCTGTGCTTTGGACCACAGAGCTACAGGACATTAAGCATGGTCTTTTTCTATTAAAAAGGAGGATTGAACTGCAGATGAAAAGGATATGGAGTGAGCAAGAAAAGATAGCTTTGGAAAATTCCATACATGATTTGCAGAGCAAATTGGAAGCATTATGTGAGCATCAAACCCCTCAAGAGGATGTTAGGCTCCTTAGTCCTGCTGTCAAGAAAAATGAAATGACAAAGAGGCTGAAGGAGAATATTTCATGGGTCAAAGATTCACTGTCCTTCCTTGATCAGAAAGCAGCACTTTTCCCCAGTGAGGTTAAATCACAGATCAGAAGTTGTCAGCAGATGAGGACAGAAGTCCTAGGCAGAGAGACGGTGATTGCATCGCTGGATGAAGAGCTTCAACGCATCAGTCCCAGCTTAAAGCCAGAGGAGATCACTGACATGACTTTCCTCCTGCAAGCACTGCAGAATTCCTACAAGGCTCTCGTTTTAAAATCAGCTCAGAGATTGCAGCAGTTAGAGCTGCAGCTGGAGGAGAGGCAAAAGCTTATTGCAGAAGTAGAAAAAGTTCACAGTCAGCTGCGAGATGCTGAGACACTTGCCAGGCCTRCTGTGAACCAAAGCAGCACGTGGGCTGAATTAAGCCATCAGCAATCCACTTTGAAGGAAATTTTAAAAGAAACGCAGGAAATAGAAGGACTTGTCTCATCCCATTGTAAAGAGAGCCAGGCTACAGCTGGGGAACTGAGCTTATCTGAAAAATTATTTCTGATTGACCAGTTAAGAAGTTTGAAGAACAGAGCAAGGAAAACACAGAGGCAAATTCAGAGTAAGTGTCATGAAGTGGAAAAAAAGATAGCTATTTGCAGAGAATTATCAGAAAGAATAACTTCATTACAGCAAGGTCTTAATGATCTACAGTGTGATGAAATGAACCTGGGAAATGAATTATTAGATGTCAAGCAGGATGCTAAGGATAAATGCAAAGCACTTAAAGAAAAAGTGTTAGCTTTTCAGTCTGATCTCTCACAAACAATGAAGTATAAAGAAATATGTGAATGCATAGGTCTAAATTGGGACTCACTGCAGCTTGATCAATTGCAAACTCAGTTTTTAAAGATTAAAAAGAAAATTGAAAAGAAGATAATGCACTTTGATGATGTTCTTAGGGAATGTGATAAGCTTCAAGTATTGGTAAATGACATCCACACTATGACATCTCATACAAGAAGAGAAGCTAATATACTAAATGATAGCCCTAGTTCTTCTCCTGCTGTGAATCTTATATGTGCGCAGATTCTGCTTCATACAATTCAACAAATCATGAACTTAACCCAAGAAGTAGCAAATCAAATAAAAGAAAATGAAGTATTTGATACACAATTCAAAGAATTTAAGATGCAAGAAATCAAGAGCCTGGAAAAAGATACTGAGGGACTGAACCACTTTCTGCAAAACATGCTTTCTGGTCTCCAGTGTGTGAAGAAGGACGATATCCAGAGTGAAGCAGAACATATACTCAACACCATAAAGCATTTTCAATTAGAGCTCCAGAAACCACTTTTGGTAGACATGAAGATGATACAGTATGAAAAGATGCGATGGGAAGCAATTCAAAATATGGTGCCAGCAGTGTTTTCTGCTATTAAATTATTACTGGAAAAAGAGAAGAAAAATCAAGAAGAAAAATCTCTTACAGCTGATATAGAAGCAAAATTAGAGACACTGCAAGATCATGAAAAACAATTGAAGGCAGACATTGAAGCCCGTATTGTAAGTATCTTTAATAAAAGCAAGGCAAACCAAAACACCATGTATGTTTTTCCAAGATTTGGGTTGACAGCCATGTTTGTGTTCTCATGACTTACATCCTCTGCTTAGTCTAATAACTGAATTGGACCAGTGTCTTCTTTGCACTGATGGGTATGACTGGAAGCATTACAAGAAACTGTAGATGCAAAGAAATTTATTATGTTCAATTTGATTGTAATCATGGGGGATTAGTACTGGAAGAAAAGAGTAAAGAAAAGGAGAGAAAAGCTTGTGCTGAAATACTGGCTGCAGGGAAGGTTGGGAGCAGGTCACACTGTATTGTTCTTGGGACTTATTTTATATTTTCAGTAGTGACACTGATGTTAAAAAAGAAATCCCTGTTTGTAGTGTAAATAGAAATCATCTGGGAATGCTCAGTGTTTTCACCATCAGTTTTTCCTTGCCATCCTTYTCTCTGGAGTTTTTCAACAGAGGCAGTTCTCTTGTATTCAGTGTCCCTATGCTTGGGACAGCTAGCCCATGGACTGTAGCACGGGGGGTGCCTTGGCTGTGCTTCCTCACCTTCTCAGGTCGCTTCTGAGAGTGTTGGTCTCAAAGACAATCACGTGTCCAATTAGGAGAAGGCCATGGGACAATCAGAAGGTGCACAGCAGTTTTCCTCACTATTCCTTCTGTCTYTGTTTTTACCACTTCCAGAGTGAACTGAGTGAGGCCCATGAGACTGGAGAGCTTTATACCAAGGCTTTTCAGAGAGCTCTTGAACTCCTCAATGACTACGAAGCTAAAATTTGCTCTGCCACAGCAGAACCTGGTGGTTTAGAAGAGAGCCATGAAATCCCACACTGGAGACAAGAAGAGTTTGACTCTGCAAAGGCTGACATGGAAAATCTGTACTCCAAGCTGAAAAACATAGTGAAACCAGAAGATAAAATGCATCTCGAAAATACTTCTAGAGAACTGGCCAATAGAAATTCGACATTAAAGGAGAAGGCTCAAAGAAAGGAAGGTGATGAGCAGAGGTAGGTTTAAGAGATCTTGCTAGGTCGTGTTCCTCACTATAAGGAAGGTGATTGGTAATAAATGCAGTCTTGCTTCTGTTCTGACAGAATCTGGTAATTTAGTAGAAAGAACTGCAAGCAGTACTGTTATCCATAGGTAGTAGGGAGAGGTATAGTAAAGAAGGAAAAATACCAGTCAGTAAATGTATTGCTAACAGTTTACAATGCATTTTCTTTAAACATATTTTAGAAAGTACATCTGGTACTGGACTGAGTGTGGTAAGGGACTGGAATAAGAGGACATCCTTTTTCCACAATCTTTAGTTTACTGCTGGTGAAGCTCTAATGGGTGTCTTGTATGGCTCAGGAGTATCAAGACAAACAAGACATGGGCCCTAATCTCTTCCTTTCAGAAATGTGCACTTTTTAATTACTGGTCATCTAGTGCTTTTGATTTTACTGAACATAATCTTAAACCCTGTTTTTATACAGAAAGCATCATATGACTATAAAGAGTTTGGAAATAGAAAAAAGGTGATAATGTATAGAAATAATAATTTTCAATCCTACATCAGGATTTTCAATCCTAGATCAGTTATTGTAGGGACAAATAGAGTGTCTTCTGTAAACTGGGAGCTCATTTTGGGCATGTCGTAGGAGGACAGAGTTATAGATGCTAGGATCAAGACAACTCTTACAGCAACTCTGTGGCTTATGTATGAATGTACATACTTATATTTCTTTACCTCTGGCATTTTATACCTGAATGTCTAATATGTCTCAGGTAATGAAACTGAAATGCTAATAATAAATGCTATTCCAAAACAACTTGCAAAAAAATAGTAAGAACTACTTGTTTAGAAGTTTTTTTTTAAATTTTATTTCTGGTCAGCRTTATATTTGGAAAGAGAAGTAACCACAAGAAAATTTAATTTTAATTTAATTTTTGATCTATTAATTGTTCCCTTCAGGTATTTGGACAAGCACAAAAGCTACACAAAAACCAAAGATAAAGTGTGTGATGATCTAAACAAACTGGAGAAAAGGCTTACACAGTCTTTGACTCAAATCCCCGTGTCTTATAAGGAAGCTTTGGAACATTTRGAAGAAAGCAAGGTAAAGGGCTCTAAAGTTCTTTCAAAACACTTGCAAAACAATGAGGTAACTATGCTTATCAGTGTATGATATCAGAGTAGAAAGAAGTAAGTTCTTTATCCTCCATTTTCTTAGTATAAAAGCACAGGATTATTTATATACACATAAATATTCAGGATTATGACAGACCATGTAAAACAAATATATGTTTTTGCTGTGGAGAGCTAATGCTATCTGTGATTAAGATCCTGCATTTATGTACATTGCCCTCACTGCTTCTTTGCAGGACAAGGGCTGTTCATGTTTATAATCTTACTGTTTTCCCTGAGATGGGAGAATCAGAATTTCTTATTTCTCCTCTCAGGTCCAACTTCTTGCTTTCTCCCTATGCCTGCTATAAGGAATCTCTTTTTTTCCCATCTTTCTTAGAGTACTCATATTACAGACTCTTTGTGTTATGCATCTGTGACTSCAGCTGGTTTCTTTTCCCTTCCAAATAAGCAGAAGGAAGTAAAAGCAATATAGTTGTTTGTGCACACTGTTCCTCTATTTGTTTTGGTTGTTTTATTTACTCTGTTTTATCTGCACTTGTAGCCAATATAGAACTGCCTCATGAAAAATGTATTTAATCAGCTCAGTGGTGCAATTACCAGCTTAATGGAGGGTCCTAATCGTATCGCTGAATGCCTCATTAACATTTCTGATAGACCATCTTGCTTTATTAGCTTGTTTATTTATTTCTCCTTTAAGATTTTAGTCTCCAGCATTGACTCAGTTGAAGATGATCTTGTGAAGCTGAGGCAGGTCTCAAGAGAGCTGACCAGGTTGTGCAAGGGAAGTGACCAGGCACTGGGCAGGATTGTCACAACACTCTGGGAAAAGTGGCTGGGTTTGCTTGAGATGGCTAAAGGCCTGGAGATTAACTGTGAAGAACTAAAGCAGGAATGGAAATTCATCAGTGAAGAGGTAAGTTGTTCAGCAAATGGTGCAAGCATTGAGGAGTGTGATGGGAATGGGAATCTCAGCTAGTAAAAAGCCGTGTAAACTGCTGAGATGAGTCAGAACATCATTTCCCTCACGGTGATGGGCCAGTTAGCTCCAGCCAGTCTTGAATTTTGGGTCGAAAATCATGGAGACACATCGTATAAATCCTTAGAACCCAACGTGGCTCTGTCTTTGGAGATAGACTTGGTTAGAGCAAACTCAAAAGTTTGGGCACCCTTCAGAGGTTCAGGCTTCCTGGCTACACAGTTCCCAGTATTGGTCATGTGTGTGTGTAAATGAATAATATAATTTAAGGTGATGGAATAAAACCCACTTTATCTCATACTTCAACATGCTGTTTACTTAGCTGGAACGAGAAACGATAATTCTCGATAAGCTCCAGGAAGAACAGCCAGAAAGTCTTAAAGAGAAAGAAAAAGCCAGCAGAGAGGAACTGGTGGAACTGCTAGATTCTGTCAACTCATTTGAAGAGAACATCAACCGACAGCAACTCCTCTTGCTCTTACTTCTTCACCGAGTAAGAAACATCCTCAATGTGCCTGAAAATACTGACGTGGAGGCTACTCTTCCCACTTTGCATGAGATAAAGGCGATGCAAGACCGCTGTAAGAAGTAAGTGGTAGGAAATTTCACTCTGAAAGCCATTAAGTAACATTATTTATAAACTTGCCATTTAATTGGGTGTTGAAGAACGTTTGAAAGACATAATAGACTTGCAAAACTAGTGATTGATGGGTGATGCTAGTGGTGCTTGCTGGGTCACACCATTTTTCCAACCACCCTGTCTATTGACTATGATCAACATATTGAATATGATCAACAGGAGATGCTTTTTAGGGACAACTTGACCCACATCCCATTCTTTGTCGGCTGCAGTTTTTTGTTTGAATTTGAAAGGAATTGGAAGGGGTGATGGTGACTTGTGGAAGTCCCAAGGTTTTGTAAATTTAAATCAAAATTCATTTCTGGCTTGATTAGTTAAATAAGAATCCTATCTGATTTAGTCTACTAAGCGTTTCTTATTTAGCAGTATCTAAAGACTCATATTTCGAGAAACTGAGACAGTAAATGACAGAAATGCAGATTTATTTATTTATTTATACAGAAAAAAATACCAAAATACAAGCAAATGTGTTTCTGGATATACATTTAAAATATTAACATTTTCTTTGATTGCTTCTGATCCATGTAGAGTCTTAAAATTAATGAGTTTCCACTGCAAATCTCTTGTAGGTTGTATAAAAAGGCTCAAGACCATAAGGATTCTGTACAGTCTGAGATTCAAGAGCGGGACAAGATCAATGAAGAAATAAGTGCTGTGAAAAATTCATTAGAGAGCGCTGCATGTTTCTTAWCACAAGATGCTACCAAAAAGGCAGGACAACTGGAGGTTGGTAGAGGCTCTGTTGTTGTGTGGGATCTTTCTGAGCATATTTTCTTTTTCACTGGGGCTTGAACTCGAACCAGCTAAAATTAATGCCAAGATATATGTCTATCCATATAYGTATCAATTGAAAGAGGATGAGACTGGCATATGAGCTGCAGGATATGCTTGGCCCTGCCATGTCTTTGGTTGGAATCTACCTCGCTCTGCATCGGCCAGTTTGAAGCCACATGATATTTTTCAGATCACAAAGAGTCACAGCCAACTGCCTGGTTTTAGGCAGGACTGTCTAATATACCTCCCATGCGCCTTCTCCCTCTGCATACCTAGCAAGGGCAGCTCCACGTGGTCTCTATTTGATCTTCCACATCAGTGGTTTATCTTTTTGGGAAATCAAATTATGACCCAGACCAGTCTCTGCCAGCCTTAAACTTGCACCAAGCCCATCTTCTTTTAAAATCCTTCCATGWTTTCAGGATATTTTTGCCATCCTTCTTTTAATCCCTAACTTTATGAAATACTATTATTCTTAACAGCTCTTGAGTATGTTTGTTTAGTATTTTGCTTAGATCAGTTTCAATTTATTGGTATTAGATTTATATTATTTTAAATTTAAGTCTTGATTTAAATTTAAATTTTGTGTGATTGATGTATTCTTTTAATTATTGAACTTCATCATTTATTTACTCTACCCTGCTAGGACCTATTACAAATTTGGACTCCACTGTGCTGAGTCTTGAACAAAAAATAGTAGGCTTCCCCATCATGTAGTTTTGTTAGAAGGTGTATGCTGGAAGCTGGCAAAAGGCCGAGGACTTTGAAAGAAAATAGAAACTAAAGAATGTGGTGGCATAGATGAGTCTTTTTGTAAGAGTTATCACTAGAGAGAATTGCTAACTACAGATTTCAGAAGTTTCTGAGAGATATGAGCCAGCATTACTTGATGAAACCTTGTGGATTTAAAGGGCTACTTTTCCTCTAGAATTATGTCAAAGTGGAGCTGTTATTTTATGAGTTCTTTATATCCAGGAGGAACTGCTACCAGCACAGCTGCTTGGTGCCCGCTCTTTTTCATCCAAACTGTGATGCTTTGGTCAAACAGAAGATGGGGATTGGCCCCAAGGGCAAGTTTAGAGGTACTGTTGCTGACAGTAATCAGTGTAGGAAAATATCAGCAGCAATCCTTGCAAATGATTTGTTTGTCTTTTTATTTATGTGACTTAGTTTCAGTATGTCACAGCRTACATGTTCCTTTTGAAAAGAATCAACTCAAATTGAAAATTCCCCTGATTTTACTTAGCACAAATACCGTTAAGCCAAAACCCACAGGGCAATTACATCTCTCCTTCCAAAGAAAATCCAGTTTCTGTAAAATCTGTAGCATTATATTTGGAGCAATAAATTTCATTTAGCAAAAGAAAATACCAATTTTTGCCCTTCCCAGTGGCAAATTGAGGTAAGACAGTGAGTGAACTTCTAAATCACTGAATGATGATGTTACAAATGGAAAGGTGATGTCATCTAGTCCSTAGGAGAAACATGGAACAGTTTTGGTGGACAACTGATTTCCAGCTAAATAATTGTGAAATGAGAACATGCATTTATACACAAATGCAGGAACCAATTTGCAGTTTTGTGAAGGAATGTGTTGTTCTGGAGGCTTGCGTTGTGCCTGAGACTTTCAAATGCAAGTTGGGGAATCTGTAATAAATGTTGACCTCAGTCTTGGGCCATCTGACCACAGAAGCCTCCCCATGGGGGAATTAGGCATGAAGCTTTTTCATGCTTGTATTTTATTTTATTTTATTTTATTTTATTTTATTTTATTTTATTTTATTTTATTTTATTTTATTTTATTTTATTTTATTTTACCTCTTTTTTTTTTTCTCCTCATATTGGACCCGATTGCAATTGGATGACAGGAAATAAATCTATTTCAGACTTTTAGATATTTAATCTGTGCAAATATAGTTATTTGTCTGAGGGAAAATGTGGAAAAAAAAAGATCTCTCAGTGGAGATTAAGAATTACAGGGTTACTATTCCTGATTTTCAAAGAAGAGGATGTTAGATTTCATGTCTTTCAGGGCCTGTCACGAGCTTTASATCACTTTCCCTAATAACTTGACTAACATTTGAGGTTCTCAAACAGCTGAACATTAAGGGAACCATAAACAAGCCGGAGTTTCCAACATGAAACTCTAGAAAGCCTTCAGAACAAATGAATTTCTTCATTCTTGCTCTCTAAGAGGACTTAGATCAGATTTTGTTTCCAGGCCACAGGCTGCACACAGTTGTTCAGGTTTCTTTTATCTCATAAAAGCTGCATTCTTCACACAGAACTGGAAACTACTGTTTYGAAGGGAGCCTGCTGCGCCGCTCGGCCTAACTGCCTGAAAGCAGACACTCCAACTTGAAACCTGTTGCTTTTTGTGCCTTTTGTATTGTTTACAATAATGAAGGATTCAACACAGTCTATTAAACGTCTTTCAAAAGAAAAATGCACTTTGGGTAAAAGAGGCAGCATAAAGGTTAACATTTAATCACAGAAGCTCTTCCTATGATTACATTGTTAAACCTGTCAGTAAACATCAGTGCATCAGTTGTTTGGACATGGAGTAGTATCAAGTTTAATTAATTCTCACAGATTGAAAAGCATCATTKGATTAAGTACGAGCGAGTATTTCTCAAGGTTAATGCTTGTGCAGAGGTAGCCAAATGAATGCCTGCTTAAAATCATAATTATGTAGGAAATATAAAACACTAAATATCTATATATGAGTATTTGTGTGCATTTGTTTGTATATATATATATATATAGGTAAATGTAAACACAAATGCATAGACACTCCATAAAATTTGAGTAAAACTGACAATTTTTTCCTTAATCTTAAAGGAGATTCAGAATCTGATTGGCAAAGAGACTCAAACTCTTCAGGGTATTATGGAGAAACTCCGGATCAAGTATTCCGAAATGTACACACTAGTGCCTGCCGAGATTGAAATGCACCTAGAGGACTGCAAGAAAGCATTACAAGACCTGGAAGACAAGGTAACTGCAGTTTTCATATTTACTTTTTTTWWWWAAATGTATAAGTATAACAATATTTGCTATTATTACTACAAATTTCAACTTGAAACATTGGTTTGTTATTTTTGACTTTGAATTGGTTTATTATTCCCCTCTTGAGGAAAAAATATGAGCGAGGAAGAGTTCCCTATGCTAACTCCTCTTAGAATAATCTTACACTGAACTGTCTGGACGTAAAAGAATTCTTTACATTACAAAAGGACATAGGAGAGCCACTACCAATAAAAAGCACATAGGGTCTTGGGTATGCTGTGGATGCCATTTCATTACCCTGGCTGTTTCTTAAACTGAACTTGAAGCCAAAATGGATTGAAAAGTTTATGTTGCTTAATGGAGAAGGGATTTTTTTTCAGAAGTAAGTTAAAAGAGGATTTCAAAACCATTTTTTTAAATCTGACTTGCTAATATTGTAGAGTATTGTGACTAACGTTGTTCTTTATACTCCCCTTGGGACACAGTTGTGTTCCTTCAGCATCAATCAGGAAGTTTCAATAGCTGCATAACGTTGCCTCGGTTTTTTGCACTGCCATCTATGTAAAAGGAGCATAGCCACTTAATTCCTAAAAGAATTTAGGTAGTTATAATTGTCATCGTTATTTTCGTTATTTATGTTATTTTAAATACTTTTTTTTTTTTAGTTCTTCCCTTTCAAATATAATCATATTTATTTCTAATTTTAAGGACAACTAATTTGGTAAAACTTGAAAAGTGAATAAAATTTTAAGCCTGGTTACTTATTAGTACCTATCAGATTATTCRTTGATTTTATGTTACATTCAGTATTTAGAGACATATTCATTACAACAAATTGGTTTTAATTAGGTTAACTTTCTAGTTTTTGTTTGAAAAAGGGAGCTGYCTTTTCAAAAGTAATAATTGGGCAGGAGAGAGAAGGGCATGAGAAGTAAAACAGTAATGATTTCGAGGTGGTATTTTGTCTACTCTTTGTCACCAAAAAAAAAAAAAAAAAAGATTATCCCAATGCATACATTAAATTTTAGAGCAGAATTAGTCCTGGAATCTAGATAGACTTTCACTTTTCACATTAGGTAGTGGAAAACAGTAGTAACTATCTTGCATTTTACTTTTTGTATGTGTAAATGAAACAATGTGTATTTATATATATATATATATATATTAAAAAAAATACACAAGCACACACATGTATAGATATAAATCCTAATAGAACTGGAATTTGACTTAGTTACATACTAATAAATAGCAGTCTGAATTGAATTTTAATTATTTTAACAGCATCAAGTCTTCATTTCAATACACTCCCCAAAGAATCAACATAAATTGTGTTTTTGATACCGTGCATTTTATATGATAAATACGATAGATTTATCCCAGTAAGGAGTCCTAAAAGTAAACCTCCCTACTGATGACCAAAGCATCCACAGATCCAGTGTTTTATTTAATGCAAGCAGTGAAGTCTGTGCTTGGTCTGCTTTTTTAGTTCCAGATGTGTCTCATCTTTTTTTCATGATTTTTTTCCATTGTTTTGGAACCAAAAAATGAAACAGTCATTAATTTTTCATGGTCTGTATACTCTACAATAATGCATAGCTCAGTTCTGTGCTTAGGCTGTTACTCACCTTGGGCACATCTGCAAGTTTTTCTCTAGCTACACAGAAAACCAGGCCCTGCACTGTTGCAGTTTTTCATTTCCGATAAGTTTTTCCATAATTTGTGGAAGAAACAGCTATCAGCTGAGATATAATGATCCATTCTACTCTTTTTGAAGCAGGAATCTAGATGTCACCCTGTCTGTGGAGCAGCTTCAGTGGCCTCTCCTGCAGATCAGGGAAAGGCCAGCTGAAGCATTCAGCAGGCTACAGGGTTATTGCTTCTTTCTTTGTAAATTGCCTTTTTTGACCAGTCATTTTAAGTGAAAGGAAATAACTGAATGACATGTGAGTGTTTTTCCTGTTAACACATCTCCCAGCAAACATAATTCCTTTCCTGTGTATTTCAAGAAACTTGTCAAGAAAAGATGTAAGAAGAATTCTATTGGTTTTGGTAAGGTGGTGAGAAGAAASGAACAAGCTGATCTTTGTCATCTCCACTTTCATTTTTCTCTTTACTGTGATAGGTTAGCACTGAAATCTTGCAGAGCTCTCCTCAGTATGTGCTGACAAGAAAAGCAGAGGCTATTAACAGTGGCCTTCAAGCTATTGAAAAGATGTTGCAACAGAAGAGTGAAAATGTTGCAAAAGCCAAAGAAATTCAGAAGGTAATGTTGCCAAAATTCCTTTGTGGGTCTTAAAATATTTTGGTTATTTTTACAGAGCCTGGTTTAATAGGAGCTTAAAAGGGGCTCCATTGATTTTATCTTAAAATGAAAAGTACAAGCAAACTTTTATGTGGTAAATATAATGTGGCTTCCTCCTCACAAAAAAAGTATTTTTTTTTTTTCGGCTTTGGGGGCTACGAATCGCCTGCAAATGTAGGATGTTCTGTTCTTTTGGTTCAGTTCAGAGTTCTTTGCAGTTCCACATGTTCCCCATGAAGAGCAAATAAGTGTACTGTTACCTTTGAGCCTGACTTTGTGTTCCATTTCCACTGTCCCCGCATGCAGCAAATCTGGGATATGTTGGACCTTTGGCACTACAAACTCAACGAGCTGGACGCAGAAGTGCACGATATAGTGGAACAGGATTCCTGCCACGCACAGGAGCTCATGGATATCTTAGTGGCCCCCCTGCAGCAGTACCAACAGGTCTCACAACTTGCTGAGCGCAGAACTGCCATTGTAAACAAGGTAGGTGCAAACCCAAAAGCAATGAGTGAGACCCAAAAAAAAAAAAAAAAAGTGTTGAAATAATCCTTTGTGTAAAACAACAGCAAGAGCTCTCAGATGAATCAAGAGTTAAAAGCCTCTCCATGCTCATTGGCTTCCTGTCGCTAAAAATTGCTGGAGGGGCAATAATTGCCTGAGGCTGCCAGGCTGAAGACCCAGCTCTGCATTGTGGCTGACGTGGATTAGTTTGATAGTTTGAGTTCATGCCTATGGACCGGTGAKGAGATGGTTCTCAATGGCTCTGCTCATATGTTACCCACTTAAATACCGTTGTCACAAAAGCCACACTAATATCCCCATGAAATGTAAGCTTATAAAAAACAAAATTGTCCTTAATTAGGAGAGCTGGCCTTAAATTATGAAAATGCTGCAAAGATTATAATTATACATCTTTACCATGCTAATTTAATTGTTCTTCATGAAAAGACATACAAGTGTCTTTTAATCTTACCCAGACATGTGTTTATCCTACACAGTGAATAGAAATGTTTTTTGTGCTTTTTAATAATAAATAAAAAATGTCATTCTGTAGGCTGCCAACAAGATGGAGGAATATGATGAACTCTTGAAGAGTATGGAAGTTTGGATAGAAAACACCAATTGCTTGCTAAGAACAGATGCTCAAAATGATTCTGCAAAAAGTCTTAGCAGACACGCAGATGCCCTTCAAGTAAGTGTTAATGCAGATCTGCAGTCTTGTTAGAACTGCTTGCTCTATATAGACATAGTTTTGCATTCATAAGCCTTATTGGCRTAAATAATTTACTATTTTCAGTAAATTCTCTAAGTGGAAAAAATGAAAGTTGACATGCATGAAATAACAGGCAGACATGTCTTTATAAAATGTCCAGTACAAGAAAGACATAGACTTACTGGAGTGAGTCCAGGAAAGGGCCACAAAGATGATTAGGGGCCTGGAGCAGCTGTCRCATGAGTAAAAGTTGAGGGAGCTCTTACTGTGCAGCTTGGAGAAGGGATCCCTCAGGAGGGATCTTTCCTGTATGTAAATACCTGATGAGGATGAGTATAGAAAATGGGGCCAGACTTTTCTCAGTGGTTCCCAGTGGCAGGATGAGAGGCAACAGACACAAATTGAAGCACAGGAAATTCAGTCTGAACACTTTTTTCCTGCCAGGATGGTTGGATACTGGAATAGGTTTCCCACAGACATTAYAGAGTCRCCATCCTTGGAGATACTCAAACCCCAGCTGGACATGGTCCTGAGCAAGCTGTAGCTCAACTGTAGCTGACTCTGCTTGAGCAGCTTGAACTTCTCTTTCAAGTTTCTCTTGAAAGAGAAACCATTCTCTTTCAGAGTTGGATATATCTGTCTTGTGAAAGTGATGACCTTTAGTATATCTATCTTCCAAAAACAGGAGATTGCCTTCTTTTACCCTGCTCTATGGCTATAATCATCTTTTACTGCTGAAGTATATACAGTTCTTTCTGTATCATATAAGGTGATCCAAAATTGTTAAAGCAGTCTTTTGATGTCTGTGTACTAAAKGGATACTTTGAAGTGAATTGCGGTTTGGAAGACAGTTCTCTTTGTATCTTGAAGGAAATTCTAATAGATAATTTCAAGAAGCAAATGTTTGTAATATTAGAGAGAATTGTGGCCAAACTGGTGCCAAGATGATTTCTGGCAATTTTATATTTGACCCATGCTCTTTTTGCAAGACTGTTTCTTAGCTTAGGCTAGTTGGTGGTCTGGAAATAGGGGGKTTTTTTTGTATGTTAAAAATAATTAGGTTCCTTTTCTGAGATACAAGAAGTAGCTGACTGCCATAGATGGGCTGATATGTTACACATCCCATCGCCATGATATGGATACTGTGATTACCAAAATCTGACTATCTGCTTGACAAAGCATAAGCCCTTCCACACTTGGAGCACTCTCTATAATCTGGGTTGGAAARCTAATGGATTTGAAAATGCATCCTCAAGGTATGCAGTCAGTGCTTTCCATCATATGCTGCAGACACAAGTGGATTGCATACTCTACTTGCAACCCTCATTGTTCTGCATGAAGACATTCACTGTAATTAAATCCATTAATGCTTCTAGTTTGTTACAGGAGACAGGAAAAATCTGCTCATCATGCACAGTTGGTCAGATATTTTCTGGAGCCCTTTGTTTCTAGGACTGTTTGTTTCTCTGGCTGTTGCATAGGAGCTGGGGAGGTGTCTTCTCCAGTATCTCATCTTTTCTATTATTTTGGGGAGTGGTAGTAGGATCTCTGTGTTAGTTTGAAACTCTTCTCTGCCTACTTCCTGACAGGCTTCTGTAAACACATTTTGTCTAATCACTTCCATGTAATCATATGTGCTTTAAAATCATGACATCAGTTTCAGATTTCAGCCTGCAACACTCAATAGCTCAGACCCTGAAGGAGAGAAGTGTTTAGTCCGAACTAATCTTTTGGAGAAATACATACTGGTAAATGACATACATGGAAAGAAACCCGATCCCTTCTGGTCTTAACCTTTCTGAAACTCTTAAAGGTCTCCAGTGATAGAGACAAACTAACTCTTATTTTTCTCTCCAGATGGCTTTGGAAGACTCAGAACAAAAGCAAAATCTTCTGCACAGTGTCCACTCAGAACTGGAGGAGTTAACACCAGTCTTTGAAACAGAAAGTGTAATGCAACAGCTCAGTGAAGTAGACGGTCATATAACAACTCTACAACATGAGATTGTAGAGGTCCTTCCACAGATCCAGCATGTGGCTGATGTAAGTTGGGCTCATTTTGATAGCACCTTTTATCAAAGCTTCATCAGATGTTATAAAATACAGCTTATATTGCCTGCAGAGAGCAAAGGCATTCTGATTTTGGTAGACTTTCCAAGTGGATAAATTTAGTGTTTGAAAACAAAGCAGCAGAAGGTTTCAGGTATCTCATTAAGCTGTGAAGTTCAAGAGTATTGATGAAATCTTTGTTTAGGAGGAGAAATACAGGGCTTGTTGACAGCAGAGCAAAAGAACTTAATCTGCTGAAGGGCAGGGCTGCTCATCATAGCCACCTAGAACGGGCTGATAGAAACTCTGTGAAGTTCAACACATATGAAGCAAATCCGAAGCCCTGCTCCTGGGAGAGAACATGCCCAAATATCAGTATAGGCTGAGGGGCCAACTGGCTGGGAAGCAGCTTTGCTGCAAAGGCCTAGGGGTCCTAGCAGACAGGAATTGCCCCAACATCATGGTCCTAATGGACATAAATTGATCCAGCAGCAAGGAAGGCCTACAGCATGAGCATGAATGTAGCTAGGGCTCACAGGAAAATGGTCCTGCTCTTCTGTTTGGCACTTTTGAGATGAAATCTGAGTGTCATGCCCAGTTTTGAGTTTTCCAGCAGAAAAAATACCTGGTCATACCAGTGTGAGTCTATTGCAAGTCCAGTGGATGGACAGTGATTGTACAAGGAGAGGCTGGGAGACCTGGGGCTGCTCAGTGAAGGCTGAAAGTGGATTTTGCTGCTATTTGCTACTACCTAGGGGGAGATTATGGACAGAGCTAGAGGTGTGCAGCAAAAGGATGTGCACTCTTAGAGGTGTGCAGCGAAAGGATGAGGAGTAACAGACACAAAATCGAACAAGGGAAATTCCAACTAGAGACTAAGGTTTTTGTAGTGAGAGTGGTTAAATACTGGATCAGAGACCCAAAGAGGGCATGAAATCCCAAACCCCAAAGGGATGAGGTCCCAACCAACTTGCTGTAAAGGGGGAGAGAGACCTTCCRAGGTCCCTTCCACCCTAAATTACTCTGTGACTCTGTGTCTTCATGGGAGTTCACCAGCTGCAGTGATGTGGATTCTTTTTCCTTCTGAAATAAGACTTTCCATATAGTAAGCTGAAGCAATGTAATCAGACAAGTTTTACTCTGCTCATTGGAGTAATGTTATATAACCACTGTTAATTTATAATGTGATTTTTCAAAGGTGTATTAATTCAGTATTCAGTATTTAAAGCAGACCAACTGATCACAGGTACTTAATTCCTCTAGTAGTTAATGACAATGCATAATTAGTGACTAACTTCTGGATGTTAGCACCTAATAAAATGTGCTGCTTTTTCAGTATTTCTCAGTATTCGTTGTTAAGTTTYACTCAAAGAACACTTTTAGGCAAACCATGTTCTCAAATGCAAACTGATTCGTTTTTGGAAGGAGTTTCTAAACTGTGCTCTCCRTAAATCTTCTCTCATCCCCAAATCTAGGAATTAGATGCCATTGAATCTGATGTGAAAGTGCTTGAAAAGGATATTACCAAAATGAAGACACTTCTGTCATCGGAAGATTTGCTAGAATATTCTCCTAAAGACCATCTTAAACATGGACAGGTCTGTGAAAACTCCTTYATAAACTTTTTTCTTCTCACGTGGTATGTATAAATTGCCAGCTTTCACAATAATAATGCTGTTCTGTGACTTCAGACTACCGTGAATGAGTTTGTAACTGGTACACATGCAAATCCTAAGATGGGAAGTAGAAACTTYGGGGTGATTCCTTTCAGAGGCACAAGCCTGGTGTTTGAGGACRTACCCACAGATAAATTGAGACAGGCATGTGGTGGTCCTCCCTCTGCAATGACCTTCCTGTCCGAATATATTACATAAAATCACATTTCAGACATTCATATTGAAGAGTTCCATCCCTGCCATATTTGTCTCCAGTTTTTAATAGTTCTTGGCCTGATTTTTCAGAGACATTTGCTCCACACTCCTCCACTGAACAGCAATCCACAGGTAATCAGAAAGTCTGAATATCAGGTCCTACATTTACAAAAATTAAGGCGAGGTTTAGCAGATGCTACTGGAAATGTAGGCTGCAATGAGTAATGACAATGTCACTTCACACATGCAGAGACTTTGCTGCAAAGATGTCTTGGCCACATGGTTTTCCCTTCTCTGCTTGAGTGCAATAAAGCAGATCTTAATGGCATCYTTTCTTTTATACCACCTGCAGTCCACATTGTTAAGTGGATGGAAATGCAAAAGGCATTGGTTGGGTTTCAAGGGAGACCTAAAAACATTATCATACTTTTCATAGCTTTGTTATTGGATGAGCAATTTTATAACGGCTGCATTATATAGTAARAAATAAAGAAGAAATATGTGTTCTGGAAAATAATGCTTGTCCACTGCCTTATTTTAAATTAAAGACAGGATAGTATGCAAAAAAGTCCTGATGCAGACTGCTTTTGAACAAGAGAATAAGCATCTCTCTTCTAGTAGCAGCCATATAAGTGAAACTTTCCTGAAAGCGAATCTGACAAAAACATTAATAATGAAAAGATGTTTTGTTTTTTTTCTCTAAAGATTTTTTTTTAAGTTCCCAATTGAATTTGGTCTCAATGAGATTTCCAAGTTGGTGTTGCCATTCTGCCTTTGCTAATGGAATCACTCAGTCTTCCACAAAATATGCGTAGTAGTATGAAATAGTGCAGGTTTCTGTTCACCCAGAGCAGATCCAGGTGTTTTTAAACTGTGTATCCACTTGATGTRCAGCGATGTGAAACACTGTCTATGTCAGGAAAACTCTGAGGTTTCTTCTGCCTTCCACCCTAGTTCACTCACCGTCTTCCCAGCTGGACTGATGGAACTGTCTCAAGGTCCTTCAGAATGGTTTAATTTTAACCCAGATGGTTTCATGACTGGCTTGCAGCACAGAGCCGAAGCCTCAATTGTCTAGAGTGACATCAGAGGAGAGGGATAAGTTTTTCAGCTGTCTTTCGTGCCAAACATTCAAGACTTTGAAATAACATGTGTGGTAAAAGTAGCACTCTGGATACATCCCTCTTTCATCACAGTACAAACTGTGTCTTTGTATATATAGGCAGAAAAAGCAGAACTRTAAATATAAACCACTGTTTAAACTTAGTTGGGCAGGCTCAGTGATTTTTGTTCCAATTATTGTAATTTGTTCCAAAATCAAAATACTCTTCCATCTTAACTAGGAAACTCATTTAAGAGAATCTTCCACATCAAGACAGTGTTATACATTTTCAGTGGTTTTTCCAACTCAATATCACATCCATCATCTATCCTTTATCCTAACAGGTTATACTTGACCATGTTGGGCCCATGCAGAAGACCATTGCTCATATACAGTCATATGAAGAATCACTTCAACTGCCAGGGGTGAAATTCCAACCTTTTCCAGTTTTCCAAAGGGCAAGACAACTTTTGAAAGAATTGAAAAAATTAGAAAAAATCACTAAGGAGCAGAATGAGCTACTGGAGGTAATTGATTTGCATTTATTGATTTAAGAATTTTTTTCTTTAAACTCTTAGTTTAAAGTCACTTTTAATCTTAATCACTTTTAGTTTGCAGTCATCTTGATGACTAGACAGTGTTGTCTTTACAAGAATGTATCTGGTATGTCTTCTATGTCTGATTTTTTTCCTTTTTTTTTTCCCATGTAATTTGGCACTAGAACAAAGTGTGCTAGATAATCTTGCAGTTTATTTTATTTTATTTTATTTTATTTTATTTTATTTTATTTTATTTTATTTTATTTTATTTTATTTTATTTTATTTTATTTTATTTTATTTTATTTTTTAGTTTAAATACAGTGGACACCAGCTTCTATTTTGGCACCTTGTGACATCTTTGTAGTGTTCTAAGAGAACTATAGTTGCAAGTGTCTTATGACTCATGTTCCCACCACTCATGATTTAAGTCCGGTGTCATTTGCAGGTGCTCATGTCAGCAACTTGTCAGTCCTTAAATTTACCTAGAAGTTCTTTGTTGTCAGCACTTACTTGTATACTGATGACAATGGCGATCTTGAAATGCAGCCAGCCCAAAGCCTTTTCCTAAAGCTGACCTCTTCAAATCACTGAGCCAAGAAAGTGGCTTTAATTCAGCTTAATTCAAGCACACTGTCAGGCAGAAGTAGCTGTGTTGGCTCCAAACCTGAACGAACATCTCTGCCCTGCTGCACTGAGCTACGTGCTTGTAACCAGGTTGAGGGATGGGGAATATCTGCACCACGCTCCGTTGCCCTATGGAGATATCTTTGGAGGAAGTCTGGAGTTCAGCTGTGCGTGTCCCCACGTCAGCAGAGTTATGGGAATGGTCGTGTGACCCGTCCCTTTCTCAGCAGGGTGATAGCAACACCTAGCAAAAATGCCACGGCCTTTTGGTGGCATTTTCCAAAACTGCATTAGCAAAATGTATTGTGTTGGAGTGGAACATGTAGGCTCTGATGTTTTAGAGACCAGGCAGACCCAAGTGGCAGCTAAAACATGAATCTCCATCTTCGATTTTCATTTTGTGCAATTAAGAGCACCACAAACAAAACTCAGATGCCCATGACTAATGCTTGCTTGCACTTGGAAAGAAGCAATGACTGTATGTAGTCTGTATGATCCATAGGATCTTTTTATAGTCTGTACAGTCTCTTAAGTCTGAAAAGCAGAGATAGTAAAACATACCTGATTCAGACAAGAAGATAACAGCCTAAATATGCACAAATTTACAAAGCAGTTCTAACTCTTTAGGAAAAGGGTGCTTTGCAAGTACAAAGTATTATCATGAGACTTCTGATTCTTGTGGGGCTTTAGGTCTAGCTTTTTACTCCTTTTGGAACAGCCATAACCTTTTTTTGCTCAGCATTTACCTTTATCCTGTAGGCATCCAACAATCTGTAGCTGAGATTTCTTTGTGAGAAAACAGATTGGAAAAATTATGCTTCTTGGCAGCTTGAACATCAAACTGTGCAAGAAAGACTTTCCAATCCTGTTGAGTGGGTTGAAAGCAACAGCATTACAATGCAAATCTCTCCCCAGCTAAGATATTACAAAGGATAGAGCTATTAAAGGATGGCATTATTAGCATTACATTAGGATTTGAGTAAGTATTCTGAGAGAAAACCAAACTGGAGGCAAGCTACCTTAAAATTATATACATTTTTTTTCTAGGCAATAGTTTTAAAATTTTAGCATTTGGATGTCTCTGCATGTGCTTTACTCTCTGTGATGCAATGGGATATGGAAATAGTAACTTTTACCTATCACACTACAAKCTCTTTATAGAAAAGATTCACCTGTAAGAGAAGCAAAAACCATATTAGGTACAATGCAACTGTAAAGGCCTCGGGGCAGGATTTCAGCTGACTTATGTTTTGGCTGAATGTTGCCCTTTGTGTTTTATTACGGTCTGTCAAGCACCACACCTATTGCTGCTTAAATAATGTTATCAGGAAGAGGAGCTGGAAGTCACAGCTGCTCCTGCCAGTTTTCTGTGCTGGAGAGTGGCAGTATTTGCATATTTGATGATTTACTGGGCTTATGTTCCAGAAAGCCTTTTTGCAACAAAGGCAGTGCCTGCCTGCTCACSCTACAGACAAGTGGATCATTTTCCACGCAATAGGGAAAATAAATAATAAAAATTAAACGTGAAATAACTTAGAGAGAAGCTTTGTGTCTAGGTAGYGATTCAGTCCCATAAATATGGCATAATTTGCATTTTTTTAGGAAAGGGTTAAAATTATTTATTTATTGGAAGGCAAGGAATGGATGGACGCAGGGTGGTATGAGTACATGCGTGCACTAAATATATGTATATATATTTGTATAGTCATGCAGCTGTATTCACATATTGGCCGGCTGTGAGGRAGCAAATTGGAGTCCACATACAGGATGCTCATGTTTTCCAATTACTCAAGGAAACTAGAGTAACTATGCATCTCAGCTGTGACCAAACTGTTAATATGGCCCTGTATCTATAGATAAGGCATATACATAGTTGGGGAATTGCTCTTTCAGAAGAATTTTGGGTTTTCCATTTAACTGAACAGAAAAGACTTTATTATTTTTTCTCCTCCTTCAATTCTTTAGCTATAGCATTAAAGTTCCCCGTTAAACATCTGCCTCTCCAGCTTGGCTTTTTATCCCACCTGCCCCGGAGTGGGAAAACAATCTGCTCTTTCTTTTTAGACCTGCGAGTAAGAGAAATCATGTAGAACCTGCCTCTCGTTTGCATTTACGAGGAGGGAGCGCTGCTGTGCATTAGTGGCACAAACAGCGCGCTCATTGTTCCKGGCAGGGGACACTCTCTGCTTGCAGAGGTGGAGTCTGTGCTCCTGGCAATTACCAACCTCACAGGCTGCTCCGATGCTGCCCTCGGCAGAGTAAGTTTAAACCCCTCGATGATGGGCTGCATTTTCTTTCTTCCCTTTTTGCAGAAGCCTGAGGAATAGTCCGTAGGTATCGTGGGATTCTCAGACTGGGGGCTGGAAAACACAGAGCTGCTGGCTGTTCTGTGAAGTCCATGTTTTCCCAAAATACTCTAATTTGTAGGAGTTCCCCCTTACCTGGGGCATTGGGGCAGGCTGCTACTGACAAATATCAGCAACGCGCACGGGGAGACTGCTAATTTCTACCTGAACAGTCAAGCCTGGGGGCTGGTGGAGTTTTGATGTTACTTCAAATTAACAGAATTGTGTTTGGCTGCTTATAATACGCTTTCATGTTAGAAGGGGAAGCTCATGCAAAGTAGAAATACTTAGGATTTTCAAAGATGTATTCTAATACTTAGATACTGCAGCTGGTTTATCCTCTGAGCTGCAGTTTCTGCCTGGTGTGCAGCACAGGTAATCGTCGGTAGGCGCAAGATTAGCTGGCAATGAAGACCTAACCACCATTCAAAACAAAACAAAAAAGTATGTTTTCTAACATAATATGAAACTAAGAGGAAAGAACCACACGATTTGTGTTTTTGAACCTCTTCTGAATTGTAGTGAATGTGATTATCTATGCCCCACCTTGTGTTTTATAGCCGAGTGCAGCCATCAGTGGAGCTCAGAGCTGTGCAGGGAGAGTGCCCACTGCTCAGCTGTGTATGGGCACAGCAGAGCTTGTTTGTCTTTAATTAGTGAATAACRAACCTTGTGAGGATGGGATTTTGGAAAGTTAGTTGAATGAACACACAGGCTTTTTATATGTCGCTACAGATACAAGAATGGCTCGAACACTCTTCTGTGCAAGTGTGTTGCTTTACTGACTAGTCTGTTTCTGCCCTAATTAATTCTAAGTGATTTACAGGAATTATTCTTCCACAGGAATCTATAAAGAAAACAGAAGAATGCGAGCAAGAAATTGAGAAGTTGAAACAGTTCTTAAAGAACCACTTGATTGAAGTGTCACACGAGAATCAGCCACTGGCCCATAATACATCTTGTCCTGAGGTGGGTTTCGTTTTTATTTATTTATTTTCTATCTCCARTGTCCGTTACTTCTCCTGAAGGACACAAATCATGATAACACTGAGAAAACAGCAATGTACTGCTGCTTTTCCCCATGCAGCAAAGGGAATGCCATGTGTGTGCCTGCACATGTACAAGTTGTCACATGCCAAGAGCTATTATAGTTCATATTATTTGCAAGGTGCATATATATCTTTAACAATCCCCTCCCTAGCAGTTTTGCTGTGCCATGTGTGCACATGCTTGGCTATCAGCTTCCAAACAAGATCTGCAGGGCTSTTTCCAGCTGTTTTGGCAAGCCTGTATGCAGCACTGACATCCATCCTGCTAGTGTGGGCGCAGCGCATGTTGTTGGCAGCAACAGCTGAGGGCAGTGCATAAAGAGAGGGCTGTGCCCTGCTCTCGTCACTACCCACGTAATGGTACTTTTGATGATTCTGGTTGGTGGTGAGAGTCTTTAATCTTCTTTTCTTACCTGCCATACTATTTTTTTTTCAGCAACTGCTAAAAACGCATTGCTTTTCTCCCTGCAGTTGTCTGGTTTGTGTATGGCTGAGTTTAAATATTTAATGTTAAAAACATTAGTGAAAATAAGGTGTGTTTTAAGGCCAACACTGCAGAAGTCAGGAAATGACTAAGTGTAATACCCATTTATAAAATGCCTCCAGAATGCTCAGCTTCTGCTCAGTCAGTCACAACAGAGTTAATACACATGCATTAGGAACTATATCACTCTGTAGGCTGCTGCCATAGAGTGGCTCTGCTTTGAGATGTATGGATGATGGATGTATGGATGCTAGTCCTAAGCACAACTCGTTTCCTGCATCTTATGTCTTTGAATGGGGGACTTCCTATCTGATAGCTCTTTTTTTATAGGAAAAAATTTTCAAAATTGTAGCATTTCATTCAAAACTAGTAGTGGAAGCAGTTACCTTATTAAGGGCTTTCAGTAAGGACATGATATTACTAAAGAAAGAATGAGCTCAGTTTCTGTGTGGCCTTTTGTTAGGTTTCTGTGAGGGTTTTTTGGCTAGTTATATTTGCAAAGCAGTAGCTGGGAAGTTTATGCCGTAAAGTCTCATCCTGCAGTGAAATAAATAGAAATTCTATTCTTAGTGGAGTTTTTTAAAAAATATTGCAAGTTATAAAATTATGCAATTTTGGAAAGCCATTTCTTCCTACCCATAGCTTTTTCTTGCCTCTGTCCTTTGAAAATTTCACACTCTGTTTTCCAGTAGATACAGGGAAAAGCCATCCATACCTGAGGTGAGCTCCCCATGTCTTCCAAAGCTCTGGGGTTACTGCCYCTGCCTTCACAACACAAGTAATGGAGGAAGCAGTATTGGAGGCAAATGCCAAGAATCTTGGTGCTTTCCTGCACCACAGGTTATTACTTACATAGCTTTATTCACGCTGTGCTAGAGCAGCTGCTGGGATCAGTGATCTTGTTATTATTTCAAGCAGGGCATCAAAGCTCGCTCTGGTGAACCGAGTCCGGTCTGCAATGGGATATTTAGCCATTGCTCAGGCTTCTGTGCAGCATCAAGTTGCTTTGGCACTTTCAGTAAGRAAGAAAGTAGGGTCTCAGGGCATTTTATTCCCTGTCCTCCCTTACTGTACTATGCCTTTTCCTTTCTCTGCTGGCTTAGAGATGTGGTGGTAAGGAGAGGCCTTAGTAAGAGACCTAGAGGGATAGTCATATCCAGGGAGGAGAGCAAGACAGATTTATTTCCTCCTTTGCTACTGCAGAGCTACTCAGGCATGCTGTTTAATGTTTAATCCTGCACTACATGACCTATATATTCTTCATACTTCCTTGGAGACCATTGCTCCCAACATAACATTCAAAGGCAGCAGGTGGTTCTTGTCCCTAGCTACATCACTAAAACTCTCCCAAACACCTTGCATTTCCTTCTTTCACGCAGGTTGCAGCAAAGACGCCACAGTCTTGAACTTCCCACCGCTTGCCCTCCTCTCACCTTTCCCAAGTGTTTTGGATTGGCTTTGCAGAGACAGCAGTTGGAAGCAGCATCACCTGCTCTGATTCATCAGGCGATGCAGCCCAGCTGCATTCCCTCCCTGGCCTAAGGGGGACTCTGATGCTCACAGTCACACAGGATGCAGCCAAAACGAGTTATCCTGCCTTTCCCATTTACTTCCAGGTTCCCCACATCCGCATTACAGGCAGTGAGCACTGTCCTGAGCTGTATCAGCTGCTGCTCTTCTGCACGTGTCTGCACAGCCTGGGTGGTGGCAATGGGGAACTGTCCTAACGCCCACAAAAAGGGAAAAGGGCAAATAGGCCCAGTAAGATGCCTCACTGGTGCCATTTGTTGCATTATCACCTGGTTAAGTAAGAAAAATGTGTACTTACAGTTGTTATTGCTCCTTAGGGAGAAATGGAAGCCGTAAAAGAAGAAATCATCAAGCTGTGCCAAAAGAAGGAAGATATCCTTGCCAGGATGGAGAATTCAATGTCTGATCTTTACCAGCGCTTACAGCAAGAAGTGCCTGAACCAGAAGATGAAGCCACAGCTTCTGTGTTAGCAGAAAGTGGCTTGAGTGGGACCGATGTTCCTGAGCAGCAGGTGAGTAGAGCAACATGCTGCACATGCTTACCAGGAGGCAAAGAGGAAGGCAAATACCAGGAGGTGAGAGAAGTGTGCCTGCAGCTGTGAACCACTACTGCTTCTGCTCCAGCTGCCTTAGCATGCTCTGCTTTTGAATGGTCCCAGAAGGAGGAGTATGATGTGTGGCTGGGAGAGAGAAGGAGCGAAGTGTGACTTGGGTTATTTTTTAGCAGGGGCAGAGCCAATGAGCAATTCATGTCATGCTTATATCAGTCAACAGTGAAATGCTAATATTGGGTTTTCATTGATAATAAGATGTTCTAAGATTTTCCGTAAATGTTTTTCATGGAGCAAAAAAAATTGTGATGTTATTACAGCACAGAAGCTCCAGCTTTGAGAAGAGCTTACTCTCTGCAGCTTTCAATTAGAGTAGCAGATGTTCAGTGCTTCTCCAGAATCAGACCCCGATGGTACCTTTCCTTTAATTTACAGGCAGAAGAGAGGAGGCTTTTGCTGTTGTTGTCATGATTAATCGGGCTGTTTTTTTTGTGTGTGCATTTTGTAGTTGAGAAAAAGAGGAGTTTTGTCTCTTCTGCCTTCTGTAGATGAAGAGTCAGAAGATGGTTCTTTCCACAGTAAGGTGAGTTCAGGAGACACTGATGTRTATATGAGATTAAAGTTTGTTTTAGGACAAGTTATGAAAAATGGGTAAACATGAAAAACTTTAGAACAAATTGAAACATCTGTTGTCACTCTTAAGAACAGTAGTAAAATATTGCAGTTAASTTAGAGCCTGACAGAGGTTATACAGAACCTCATTTTATGATGTGTGATCTTCTTTTCATGGGATTGCTTACAGCATCCTCTTTGTGGAACTGTTAGTTACAGAGTGTGGGCCTAAATGMCAATGGTTGTATGTGGGTGTCTTGCAGACAGAATTAGACATTCCCTGAAGTGCTAAAAAAATTAAAAGCATCGTCTAATTACTTTGTACTACTGAGTTTAAGAAAAAAAAAGTGTATGATTACTGGGAAAGAAATCAAGATAATGGAGGCTCCCAGGAGAGCAAGAGAAACTAGGAAATAGTGCTTAAGAGGCTGCTCTCAATCTGGGGAGTCTGAGTGCTCAGACGGATTGGTGGTTGCATTAGGTTAGGTAAGTATGAAACTCYGTGGCTGGGTTTGTGAAAAAGGCCTGAATGGCTTAGATAAGCTTCATTTCCTTATCTCTGATCCAAGCACTTCAGTTTCAAGGTTTCTGATTCTGCACTTTTGTCATTGCAGCTTAGCTGACGTAAAGGGTTACAGGGATTTGCTATTTTTCAGTTCTCTTTTTAGGAGACAGGACAGGAGATTGATTTTCTTGGAATAATGTAAAAAAGCTTAGGATAATTTGAGGTCTCTAGAGAAAACTCTGTCCAGCTGCCATTCATCTTACAGCAGAGCTACAGAGCAAGGGAAGCAGCAGGATCTGGGAAACATAATAAAGAAAGATAAGCAAGGTAGAATAGAGCAAAGTGTGTCTAGAGGTTTGCAGTACTTTACATTCCCTGAAGGACCACGGAAGCTTCCTGCCCACAAGCTAATGCTGAGCTGTTTTCAAAGGAGAGTACGGCCGCAGAGCCGGGCGGGAGCTGCTGGCCTTCAGGGAGAGACCATGAAAGGTCCAGGGAGGACAGCGCAGCATCCTGGTCTTCTGGCACCCTCTCGGATGGCATTGCTCAGGTAACATGCTGAGGCAGGAGCCCTTCTCTGTGAAAGCATCTGCCTGGGCCRTGTGTGAAGTCCATACAGTGAAAGTACTTCAGAAATGCAGAAAACACAAAATTTTGCATGTCCTTGCCTGTAGCCACATATATGTTTCTTCTAGTCTAACAAAACAAAAATCCCAAAGACAGAAAATCTCTTTTTTTGCTTTTTAAGCAGCAGTTCACTTTACTAGCCTCTGGAAAGGCCACAAGATGTGCAGTTTTGAGGGGCCACTGCTGCAGGGACAAGAGAACTTCCCTCTGTACATGTTCTTGGCCCAGCCCTACTATAGGTTGTGTGGCTGCTGCYCTTTAGGGCTGTGACAGCATGGCAAGGCAATTCTGACACGAATATATCACCTGCTGCCTCTCTGTGCAGGATGCTGATGAGATAATGGAGCCATGCGGGAAACATGGTGAGGAAACATCTCCCCAGGCTCTGCAGAGCACTGAAGGCGCTGGCCCAGGCCTGGGAAGTCGGGACATGGTAAGTTTGAAGGCTTCAGATAGACTCAACATGGTGACTTTCATGCTGTGCTCCCCAGTTGTGTTGCTGCTTTGTGTTGCTTRGAAGGCAAGGTAGGAAGGGTAGGAGAGTGTATGCAGGATAGCTGGTCCCTCTGTGTGCCCCTCAGGGGGGCAGTGTGATGTGGCAGCGATGCTGATTTGGAGGAACAGTTTCCTGGGATAGATGCAACTGCTCCATGAGAGAAGCGAAGCACAGCCGGGCTGTGAGCCTGATCCCCCTCTGCTCCTGCAGCCAGGTTTCTCTTGGAGAAGGCTTTCCTTCCTCAAACCATGCCAGGCAGCTTTTTTTTTTTGTCTGCGATTTTTCTTTTTTCTTTTTTTTTTCTTTTTATTTCAGTGTTTTTCTTGTATTGAGACATTTCCCTATGCTTTACTATTGCCCATAGATAGGATTTTTTTTTTTTCGTAAAATTATTTATACTGTGCAGAAGGACACTTAGGTTAATAAATACTAAATCCATTTGTTTGCCCTAGAGACTTGTGTGTGTTTGGAGTTTTATGTAGTCAATGATTATGTTTTCCATTTAGGGCTTTATTGCATGCTAAAATTAAATTGTTCCTGCTTTCTTGGTGCTTGCTAAAAGATAACCATTTCTTCCCCACTTTCCACCTTGTTGTTCCTCGCACACCCAGAGAAACACAGACACGCTTCCAAATTCATTTACAGCAGCCTAAAACATAATTTAGGTTTTGGAGAGGTGTTTGAGGTCCTGTGTGTCAGCTGAGTTGTGGTTTCTGTCCACTGCATGTCCTACATGAGCKCATTCTCAGCATGTGGATTGCATGATGTGTGCAGGAAGCTGAACATAACCCTGCTCAGATGATACTAGTTTATTTAGGATTTAAGGATTTAGGATCAAGGAATTTGATGATATATTTTAGTTTTTGTAAAGAAAGGAGATAAAATGCCGTARCAGTGTCTACCTGGGCAAGGGCAGAGCATGCCATTAAGTAAAAACAAAATATTTCCTTATGCACATGTATGTGCTGTGCATAGTATTATGAATTTTCAGTGCTTGGTTACTTCTTAGCATTATCAAAGTTCTTTTGCTTTAGCAGACCAAAATATTTTACAATATCTTTGAAATTAAACCAAACCAAAAAAAAAATCTTCATAAAACAGCAAAATACAATTAAATGAAGAAACTAGAGCTGGAATTTTCAGGTTGAAGGGAACCATCACTCTTTTATACCTTCAGCCACACGTACCTAAATGTTTAGGCTGGTCGTATTTTCTTTCTGTGTTTAGTGGCACTGTCCAAGCTATCTGGAGGCAAACAAGTACAACAACAATTAAAGACACTGATAGCTGATAAAATGTTTTCCGATCCTCTGGTTTTCTGCCAAATTCTATTTTAAAACGAAACAGATACAGAGATGGCTAAGATGGTCAATGGTAGTTTGCAGTCTACAACCACAAGAGGGTGCAGGGATTTTTGTACTTGTGTTGTTGTGCTTGGTTTGCATTTATAAGTTTAAGTGCTTGCACTTGTAGGTGATTTACAGACTTGGATACGCTTCTAAGTAACTGCAGGCATCTCTGGGCTCTTCTTTACTGCAGAAGTGTCCGCTCTTACCTCTTCAAGGAGAGCAAATAAAAGGAGTTACCCAARCTGTACTTAAAAATACACATTTTCTTTCCCGCGGTGTGACCTACAGCCCAAATAAAGCGTGTTTGGCTGTTGGAACAGACTGCGCACAAGGAGCGTCCAGGCGTTGCCCAAGAGTTCCCTTGGGAGCTGGCACCGCAGCGCGGTCGCGTCCGGCTCCCCCAGCAAAACACCTCTCCCCAGGGGAGAGTTGGTTAATGGTGAGTCACGGCGCTTCCTGCGCTCGGGTACACCTGGGCACATGCAAATCCGCTCCTTGGAAACCTGTTGCGCCGGATCCTGCCATCGCTTGGGATCCTGCCATCGCTTGGCTGCCGGGTTTTCCTTCCTTTTTTTTTTTTTTTTTTTCCCCCTAAACCTGGGAACGCAGTGACGAGTTGCTCGGTGCTCTGCGAGTGTGAAAGTTAAACATTCCCCACTGGTAAGAGGAGGATTAGAAAAAGCAGCAAGCGAACGATCATAAAGCAGCTAATGGTGTTTTCCCCCCGCTCCCCACCCCTGTGTGCTTGGCTGCAGAGCGCCGCGCCGCCTCGCGCCACGCAGGGCTCCCGAGGGCGAGCGGGGCACGCGGCGGGCGCCGCGCATGGCGGCGGGCCCGAGCCCGGGACGACGCTGCGGGCGTGCCAGGCCCGCGTGGCCGAGCTGGAGCGATGGCTCGAYGCGGCTAGAGGCTCCCTGGCCTCGGACCCCCAGAGCCCCGAGATGCAGCAGATGGTGGAGCGGCAGCTCGCCACGTGCCAGGTGAGAGCGAGCGGGGCGCGCGCGGGCACGGCGCCCTTGGCCCCGCGGCCGCTGCTCCCGGCGCCGAGCCAGCACCGAGGAAGCGCTTGGCTGCGCTCCCGGGAGCCGCTTCCCGAGGGCTCCSTTGAAAAGCCTGCTTTGCAGAATGGGGTCTGTCCCCATCTGGGTGGGCTTATAGAGGACTGTGGGTGCTTTGGGTTTGGAAACTTGGACTGTTCTCAGGTTATTTTCCAAAATGCTAAATTGTATAGGTGAATTCCTAATAAAAGGCCAGTTTTGCTCTTGCCTTGATTACAATACATCTACCAAGGAAAAATAAATACATATATATTCTAAATATAATTTTATATATATTCTAAATATAATTTTATATATACTCTATACATATATTTTTTGCATTTTCACTTTTATTTTTGCSTTAGTTTATTAGATGAAGGCTGTAAAATAGCTTCCAAGGTTGTAAATGTTTCTTTTTCAGTTAAAGCCCCCAGTGTAGGCCAGTGTATACAGTGTACTCTGTGAGTATGCCCAAAGCAATGATAATCTTCATTCACCATAAGGGAGCTAATATCAAAATACCCTTGTTTTAAATTGCTAGGGGACCCTTTCAGCTCAGTTTTTCATAGAAATTGAGTTTGTGCTGCAATATCTCTGTCTGTAGACTGTAATTCAGGGAGATGTTGGGATACTGATCACTCAGGGCATCAGGGTTTGAATAGACCTAAATACCTGGCAGAATCTGGGTCCCATGCAACTCATGTCAGCATCATCTTGGACAGTGCTGTTCCACCTAAAAACAGGCAGGTTTCAGGCAGCTGTAGGCTCTGCTGGMTTCCTGTTAGATTTTAAAATATTGTCTCAATGGGAAGCAAGCCGGGGGGAAAAAAAAAGAAAAATGTTTTTCTAACACGGTTGAGGTCTACACAGAAAAATACCCTTAGCACAAGGCAGGGGGAGTGCCTGRCTACAGACATATAATGTAAAAGAGATAGTTTATAGCTGGGCCGTGGTACCTGTGTCTGTGTTTACCTTAAAAGAATGATTTAGATCCGTTTTCATGAGGTGAGAGGAGATGGCCCTTAGCGTGCAGGCCACCCACCTCTGTGGCCAGGGCATCTCGTGTGTCCTGGTACATTCAACTGACCAAGGTCTGCAGGACATCAGATCCAAAACATGTGGTGATAACCCCACAGAAAAGGAGGGGCTCTCTTGGCGTGTTAGCACCTTTCTTTGAAGCACCTTTGTCTTTAAAAGTAACCCTSCATACAATTTATTTAATTGCTCGTAGTTAAAAAAAAAAAAATGGACAATAACTTGTGCTGGCTGCAACTACTTCTATTTTTACCTGTATGTTTCTATTGTTTTCAGAAAGGGGAAGCATGAGCATGAACTGCAGGCAGTTATCAGCTCAGGAGTGTTGTACTTGTAAGGGTGAATAATTGGCTGCTGTCTTTCCTAGGTGATGTTATCAGAGATTGAACAAAAGGTCCTTTCTCTGCTGGAAGATTGTGGGGATAGCGCAGGCCACCAGCAAGAGACAGAGGCTCTTTCCTTGAAGCTGAAGGAAGTGAAGTGCAATTTGGAAAAAGTCCAGACGATGCTTCAGGACAAGCACAGTGATGAGCAGGTAAAAGCACKTGAAGGCTGTGCAGAGCCAGAGCCTCGCAGTGCTCAGTGTGCCCTGGTTGCAGAAGAACTGTTAGAGATTCTCTATATGAAGCAGGCAAGTGAGGGCAATGTCAGACGGGCTGTTATTACAGTTTATTTGTCATGTGCAACAAGAAATGGGATTTTTGATGAGTCTCTGACAGATGCCTTTCCTGCTTAAGTGCTTGGTAACCGAGGTCAAGGTTTTGCAAGAAGTACAGGAGAATAAAAAGTGTGTGTTTATTTTTACACGTCTCTGAAATGCCGCACTGTTTGTCTATGACCATATGGTAGCAGACAGGCCTTTATGTAGTAACTGTCTCTTGAAAGAATGTGTGTGTGAAGGGCAGTGACACTGCCAGCTTTCATGTGCCACATTTCCCCCATCTGTCTCTGGGAAGGTCTCCTGCAGCAGGGGAAAAGTCAAGTTTTTTCTGCGAGCCCTCTCTGTCCTTGGCTACTTTGCTGAGTTTTGCACTAGGTGAGATGCTATCTCCYCTCTTCTGCCTTGTGCAGAGGCCCAGAGAAGCCCGTCTGAGATATACCTCTCTGTGTGGTCAGCTGCAATCTCCCCATGCCAGAGCAACACAGTCTAATAGGGGTCTGACGTTGCTCTGCAGGGACTCTACTCCTTTTATRCTTTTTTCCCACAATGGGGTCTTGCTTTGCAGGTTCACAGCATTGAGCAGGTTGACTTGGAGCCCCCCACCCTCCTGCAGCCCAATGGTGCCAGCGTCGCTCGTAGTGAAGAGCCGCCCGTCCAGCACAGCAGTGTCCACGAGCACCCACAGGTAATTGCTGCTTGTCCACAAACCCGGCTGTTCTACATCCCCCAGGGGCAGCTGYATTTGTTCCCTGCTCATTTTTTACTGCAGGGAGGTGAGGATGAAGATGCCTTAAAATCCTGTATTTTGGAGTCCAAAAATATTTGTTAATATTGTGGAGCTGGAGGAAAACACGTATTATGGAGCAAAACACATTTGCYTTTTGTTGTATTGGTGCAGATGGCATCACTCATTGCTCCTGTATCCTGTCTTTGAAACCCTGGTGTGTTTTGGGCTCTGAATCTGTACAATGGTGCTGCTTTGGTAGATGAGGCGTAAAGATGAAGCTTTGTGAATGTTTTCTTGTGGACTCGACTCTGTTAACGCAAAACATCCTAAGATGTATTCTGTGCCCTATGATCTACCTTCTGTTTTGCCAACTGGAATTGAGCTTTTGCCATTCTTGTGYTCTTAGAAGACTACTGGAATAAATGATACAGCCTGAGCTGCTGAAAACAGTTCTGATTTCACTCAATGCTCTCTTATTCAAGCAAATACACTTGTATTTGAGCAAATGCCCTATTACTCCTTGCCAGCTTCTTTGCCTAAGAATGACAGTCTGTGGCCCTTAAATTTCTATATGTGCTGAATTTGACTGTGAGTGAGGGTTTCTACTTTCAAAAATGAAATTTCAAGCTGAAATATATTCCATAAAAATATATTCTTTCAGAAAATCTCTTTTGTAAACTCATGTTTACCCATAATTGGCTTTTTATGCAGATAGATGTATTTTCTTTGCTCAGTGAATTAATACAGAATATGATTGGAAAAGTAAGATCATTGTTTAGGAGGAATATAGTTAAAAACTGAGTTTACTGTTCACACTGTTCTCTGTTCACAGGATTTGAATGTAAAGCCAACTGAGCAGAAAAGCCTCATAGACTTCATTGAGTCCTGTGTGGAAAAAATGCACCTACAGTTTGATGAGAGTGTGCCTAAGAAATTAATACCAAGGTATGAAATAAGCTCATTAAGTMCTTGGGTTCAGTAGCATAAACCTGTGACTTTGCAGTGGCACCATAGGCTCTGTGGAGGGATATGTGCCTTGGGAAGAAGAAATCTCAGAAGCTGGGAGATTTCTGCCATTGCCAGCCTAAAGAAGTGGTGTCTAATTTGTGCTACAACTTCTTTGATATTGGGGCTGATTCTGGTGTTCTGAATCTTGAATTTCCTGAGCTGTTGTCYTTGCTGTACAAGCAAGTTTCCAGTCAAGTTCACATTGTGCTGCTGGCCTATGAACTGTGGTCCCTGAGGGCAATTTTCCTAGACGTGGTTATTTCAAGGTCCTTACTTAAGGTATCTCCTTAACTTGAGAGGCAGCTGGCAACCTTGGGGAAGGCACTAGGTAGCACRTGCATGGGAGACCATCAAGTCCTTAGGATGCATCAAGGGAAGGGAAATGTCCCCAAAAATGTAGCAAAGCTTAGAAATTGAAGGCCGACCATCACTAGTTCACTCTCTTCTGGGAGCRGAAGAAATAGAAACCGATCATATTCTAGGAACCAATTATATCYGATCATGTTTCCAAATTCAATTTTGCTTATTTTGCTTCAGTATTTGCTGTTCTAATATTTTTTACATATAGCAATGAAGAATCTGATCCAAAGACAGAGCTGGCTGGACCTACTTCATCTCCAAAGGACCAAACTGGTAATAAATGGCAATATTTACAACAAGAGCTGTCATCAAAGATGAAGTCTCCTCTCTGCCAGCTCGTGGAACCTCAGGTCTGTTTAAATTCCATAAAATACTCTTCCTGTGGACTCTTGTGCATTGGTGCATCATCCTCCATCATTATATTGTCTCTTCTTCAGAAAACTGAAAGTTGTGCAAGAGCTCTCCAGATGAAATAYCATTGCATACCATTTTCATTATTGTCTCTTAACTTTACCTTGAAATAGATAATGGCTCTGGAGTAGGAACTGTTAGATATAGCATGGGAGAATATAAGTGAATTCTTGCAGTTAGTGTTCAGATTACATGTTACCTATTGCTTTTCAAGAGTCCTTAAGAGAGTTAGATTGCTAACCCCTAGCTGAATTGTGTAAATGTAGATTAAATCCCAGTTCCTGCAAGTAAGAGCACTTTGGTCAATATGAATCTCTGGCTTAAATCTTGTTCTGCCATTTGCTGCAGGGTTCTCTCTTCCTCTCTGACAGATGAAAAGCAGAGTTTGTGCTGCAGCCAGCAAGAGAGCACTGCATGTTTAATCAGATCTGCCTGTCGGGTTTCACAACTTGAACAAAAGGATAACTTGTTACTGACGGTTTTGTTCATCTTCATTTAGAATGATTGGATTCCCTGTTCTCTGAAATTATTGTGTTACATGAGAGAGTTATCAGTCATGTAAAAAGATAAATATCCTTTTATTATAAAATAACTTCTATTTAGGGAAGACGTACAGTGGGCAGCAGGTTTGCCTTATTGAAAACTGCAACCTGTAGTCCTTAAAGTTTGGAATCAGAGGTTCCTTGTTCAGCCAGACTCCCAAACAATTTATTTTTCACAGGAGAAAAAAAAAAGATCCATGCTATCCAGGGATAGCATTTTCAAAGCCTTGAAACCATTATATTATGTGGAGGAATGTTATGTAGTTGTATGGCTGAGTTGTCACCTGAGCTCTTAAGCTAACTGCACTGTTCTTTTTCCAAAWCTCAGATTACAGCAAAGATGAACATGCTGCCCCGGGGCACATTCAGTAGTTCTGGGGCCCCTACAGTGGAAGAACTGAAAACTTACACTGTCCAGTTGGGAGACATAAGCCAGGAAGCAAATGTGGTACATGCACAGGTACACATGGCATGTTCTAGTATTGGAAGTGCTGGGGATTGCAAAGGCAAGAGATCAAYCGAGCATGGAGAAACAGCTAATAATCATATTATTAGCTGCAAATGGGGTTTATTGTAGCATAGCTTTTGCATCAGGTGTGATGTATGCTGAAGAATCAAGTTTGGGTTTTGAGCAGAGCTTCAGCTGTGATTTTTCTGGTACGGAATATGGAGACTTGCTAGTGTGGRTCATGATTATTCCTCAAAATATATAAAGTGCGGACCCTGCGTGTGATTCTTCAGTATTGAGGCTGACAAGACAAATTGTGCTGGGCTGACTCCTCAGAGATGAGAGATCTGTAACACTACAACCCTTGTTGTACACGGGTCACAGTCCCAGCCTGAGGAGCTTTGAGGATTGCATGCATATTACTGTCTCACTCAAACTTCATTAATTCCCTTTTATTATGGGCTGGCTGAAACTCCTACCGTGTGCAAATGAACATGTTCTAGCTCTATCCTGGGAGAAAATACTAAAAATTTCTAACTTACTTTTACCCAGGAAAACGTGACGGGGGAAGTCTCGTCCAATTTGGACAGAAAACTGTTTGAGCTGCTTCTGGCCATCAGCCGGTGTTTGAATAACATGGAGGAGATGCTGAACACCTCGGTCCTCTCCACCGAGGAGGCAGCTGTGCAGCAGGCTCTGTACGAGGTAACGGTCCTAAGGCACCCAGGGAAGGAGAAGCCCCAGCAGGTTATTGTTATGACAGGGCCTGACATCTCTCTTGTTTCTCTGGTATAACTCAGGAGTTACGCTACCGAGCAGTCTGGTGGAGCGCAGAATTGGGCCCCTGAGTAACATTTAACAACTCGATTTCTGCCATCTTTTAATGGCAAGCATCCTTGGACAGGAACCATTTTCACTCCCATTATCTTTCTCTCAACCCTTTAGACTCTTTCCGTCGAGCTGCAAAAACTTCATGCTGATCTGAGTGATAAAAAGGATGATCTCTTAAAGTCTATTACCTGCGCTGGTGGGAGTACAGATGTGTTCTGCGAATGCTTTAACAACTTACAGGCACGGCTGGAACAAACTCAAGCTGCCACTGCTTCAAGGAGCAATTCAATGAAAGCTGGGCTGGATCATAATAGCAATTATCAGGTACTCCACTGCCAAATGCACATCTTGTCTCGCAGCATCTGTTAGACTTGTCACTGCTAATGCATTTGGGTTACAAATGAGCAATCTATAATGTGGCTCTTTCTTTCCACCCTCCTAAACAAACTTGTCTTAGTGCCTCAAATAAGTTAATTTTGCTTTTAACAGCACTTTTCACAGTGCTGACTGCCTTGGAGGCCTTGAGACTTGCATGCAGAGAGGATGGAAGTAATCAGGGATCCCTTCATGCTTATCTACTGTGCAGAATCTACTACTATCTATCTACTACTCTCTGTGCGGAAGAATTTGGCCAGTGGATGGTCCAGTATTCTTCGTGCTACCCTGTGGATTCAGGAGCAGTAGGAGTGCAGTGCTGTAGCTCTGCTCACATAATATTTGTTGGGGGGGGCAAACTTTCTCCTTCTCGATGCCCCATCTGGCACTGGGCTACTCTTAACTATGCTTTGGAGATTGATTTGTCCCTTGGTATTTTCCTTTACTGTCACTGCAATTTTGTGCCACAGTATTGGAAGCCACTGCAAAATTGCATTTTTTTGTTATTCTTTGGAAAAGCAGATGGAAGTAATGGAAGTCTTCTGTGCATTCTTGTGAGGGGCTAAATCTCTTGCCTAGTGCTGAAAAATACTCAGATCAGGCATTTGAACTGAAGTAAGGAAAGAAAAGCCTGGTCCTTAAAATAGTTTCCTATGTCCAGCCAAACTTTTCATCACCAGGATGTAGTCGGTGATGTCAGTGTGGTTCTTTGCTGAATACTGTTTCTGAGGCACTGGGATGTTGTCTCCCATGAGTGGTAGGCCTGGCCTTGCAGTGTTTGCTTGTGCAGACTCTCCTTTGAGCTCCAGCCGTTGCCATTAATGGGCTCATTTTCTCATTTCACAGATTTGTACGGAGAGGATCATTGTGACAAAGTAATCTGCTTCTTACAGTACACATGCCAGTGAATTTCTCTTTCTGAAGTACTGATTAGAGCCCATAATGTATAGGCTTTGTTTTGTTTTTTAAAGGAAAAAAATGGACTTTTGCTATGAGAATTCAACATTTTATTTGGTGTGTAATTTTGTCTGATTATACCTCTATTCCTGAAATGCGATATAGTTCTGATATTTCTTTTCTTTTCTAGAATGAAACCAGGCTGCTGTATGATCAATTAACTGAGAAAAAAGCTGCTCTGCAACAATGTTTAAGTGTAATACGTGGACATAATGTTTCTGAGCAGCTCCAGGTAATTTGATTCAAAGTGGGGAAAAAAAAAAGTCTTGGTGCTAGCTGGTATTTCCTGTTTTTATAATTTATTGAAATTTCATATATTTTGAAGCGTGAGTCTCATTTAGATTTTTGAATATTAGGAGTTCAATATTCCTCACAGTTTTCTTTCTCATTTATTTCTACTACAACCCACATCCGTGGGTGAGCCCAATTCCAGTCCTTACAGTAGCTGGGGTGGAGAAACCAGTCCCTCTACTGCCTCTCAGGTTGAAGACACCCCACATCATGGCCAGGAAGAAAAAAGACTTTGTAAAATACAGTAAAGTAAAAATCATATTATGCCTTTTTGTATGGAAAGCTTTAGCTTTTCTCTATGGAAACAAGAATGCAATATTTGTATCTACTCATTTAGCAGTCATGAGCATGTCATTACATGAGGCTCAACCCAGTTAAACTTCTACCTTCTTAGGGATTAGCAGAGAGTTAAGAGTGAATTGTGCTTCTTCTGTGGGATGGACRACAACTAGCACTGTTTCTTCTCCAGGATAGATATCAGCCAGCACTGTTTGTTGGTAGAGCAGAGAGAGCTCTCCCCTTACACTCCCCCCCACTTTTTTTTGTTGTTATTATTATAGACTACAGTTTGTTAGACTTATTATCTCAGTTACAGGCATAACCTTCTGCGAGGCTAGAAGCTGTGTTTGTAATTACTGTATATTACTTCTGTCAAGTAATTGTATTTGACTTTTAGGGTGGGGGGGAAGGCTCAAGGTCTCTAACTTCCCCTCCTTCAGGGAGAACCTGTGTCAGTCCAGCTGTGACTGAGTCTTTCCACTATCTGACAAAATGGTATTTTATGAGGCTATGKTTCTTTTTAATGACTGCTCTTGAGTTAGCAAACAGAAATACACATTGGACATTGGACTGAGATGCAAGAGCTGAATTCACTTCCTGGCTGAGCATGCGTGAGCCCAGTAAGCTGTCTCAGTCTCRACTCTTTTTGCTTAGAAGTTCATGAGATCAGGAGTCTTACTGTGAATTTAAGAATTGGTACCAGAGTGGAAAACAGATCCCAAAGCTGCTATGCTTGCAACAATGATGTAAAATCTGATGGAACAGAGCTCCTGCTAATAGTTTCTTTTTTCTTTAAATCAGAAAATTGATGCCTGTGCTTTGGAGCTGCAAAATCTTGAATCCCAAGTAGCAAAACTGAGAGGTCACGGGGAAAGATTTCAGTTACCTGTAACATTAATCCAGGAAGCCTACAAGTTAGAGGTAAAAACACACTACTATTACCTTTATGCAGCAAAGTTTCTTCTAAGCAAGATATATTTAACATCAAAAGGCTGATGGCTTTTTTGTATCCTGAGCATATATGCTCAGGTCTATAAGTTTTATTTTTAAATCACTAAATCATGTTTTCATTCCAGGATRTTTTGGATGACATGTGGGGAATTCTGAGAGCAAAATACATGGAGCTGAACTCTCCTTCCATCAGTGAAAGCCAGTATGAGGATTTACTTCATGGGTTTGCAGAGCTGGTAGCTATTGGAAGAGAGAGGATTGCACAAGATCCAAAGCAGCTAACAAAAAACAGAGCAGCTTTACAGTCTCACCTGGAAAATCACAAGGTATGTTATGCTCATCACAGCATGGCTAAAATTTTGTGAGACTCTAAAACTGGCCACACTTCTGTCTTCTCCGCATACCTGTTCTGGATGCATGGTCTTCCGAGATGGATATTGAAGTGTGTCTTACTGGACTTAGGTACTGCAGATAAGATAGAGTGACTGAGGCCTACCAGCTCTGCACCCATTGTAATCAGATTAGCTGTACTGTGATATAGTTTGCCTTTACTTAAAGAATGTGATTGAAAAAAAAAATCGAAGGGTAATTGATTAGGGTTGATAAGCCTGGGTGAAGTATATGTAGTAAACAGAAAATATTGTGATTCTTATTAAAGTCACATGCCAGGTTTTCATGTTAGAAGCACTTGAATATAATACGTGTCCATAACAAAGTACATGTCAATAACAAAAAGTAGGCTTTATTTGTAGTACACTAAAGTTAAGTTTAAAATTTTGTTCTCAGGGCTTTTTCCACAAGCTCATGACCCACATGACTTTTATGCAAATGTTTTCCAAGAAAGTGGCTCCCTCCATTCTACAGAAAAGAGAGAAATTCTGGAGAGACCTGGTGAACGAAGTCAGATTGCTGGAGCAGAAGGCTTGCCAGTATGGGATACGCCTAGAGGGCTTGTTAGAGGTAATGGGTCAAAAGAAACCCCATATAAAATTTTGAGGGAAGAAGGGAAGAGCTGCATATAAAAGATCCMTTTCTGTGCTGCTGATTCTTTGCTTAGTAGTTACCTATCTCCTTTGGATGGCAACAGTCTGTTACTTTCTCTGTGTGTGTCAGTAAACTGGCTATTTTACCTGAAACTTCTGAAAATGGCTGTTTCAGGCCACTTTTCTAGTGGCCTGAAAGTGAGTGGGACTTTATTATTATTTTGTGGTAATTTTTGAGTGCTTGAGGTGACAGGAAAGATATCTAGGGTACAAAGCTACCAGTACTGCTATAAGATAAAATTTGAATATTGATGTTAAAACATCCCAAAAGAAAGGAAAAGACCCCTTTAAAAGAAGAAATCTTCAAAATATTCATTGAATTAATCTTTTGTGGTGAAGTAACACCTTCTTTTAATATTTCCATGTTACTCATCTGTTTTCATGTTGTGTTTTGTTAAAACGAGTTACTATTGCTAGAATAAGCATTAAGGCTTCAGTCTCCAAGATGGAGCAAAAATGCAGAGATACATATGAKTTATTTTATGTTAATAACACAATGCATTTTTCCAGGAATGGATAGAATTTGATAATGAATGCCTRGCTTTCAATAAGGAGTTAGAGGCACTTGCTTCTATGTTGCCTTCTGTGAGTTTGGTCGAAGAAACAGAAGAAAGATTGATGGAAAGGATTGCAATTCTCCAGGTATTTTTGTGTTTTTTACTCTTCTACTAGATTTAACTCTTTTTTTTTTTATTTTTTTATTTATTTTTTTTTCTAGGTTGATAGAGCTGGCAAAAAGGTTAACTAGAATATGGGGAGATGATGTTTTGCAGGGCACCRCTTCCTCTGTTTCCTCTGCTATGTGTGGATATATACTGATAGCTTCCACGTTACTTGTAGCCCAATCTCCTATTACTTTTACTAATTTAGGCGAGTGGCCACAAGTTCACCTAAGCGGGGAAAATAACTGTTGCTGCTTTAGAACTTGGTCTTCAGATACAAAACTTTGGGAATTATCCCAAAAGCAGAGCAGCCAAAGAAGATGGTGTGTAGCCTATATGAATCCCAAGGACCATATAGAGCCTTGAGGTGAGGACTTCTGTGTAGACCAGGGATGGGTTTTATGCCATAAAGTAAAACCTGTAGAATAGGGGAGTGAGGCCAGTGCCTCAAAATATCTGATCTATGATTGTAGTAGAAAGCCTGATGGTTTAACATCTCCTAAAATCCTGGGAATTCAGAATGGACTGTTCTGACTTCCCTTTAAACAAAGAGAATAAAATTCTTCTTCAGAATGGCAGATAGGATCCTGACTTGTTCCCACCTGCAGGGAGATGTAGCTCTGCTAGCAGATTTACCACACCTTTATTTAGGACATCATCAAGTTTAAAATATATGATTAGTGTCGTCTTTATGGTTGTTTTATAAAGCTAAGAAGTAGTAGTGTTCAATAAACATAATGTTTTATCCCCAGAGAGTGATCTGCCTTCTCTGGAAAAGAGGTTTGGCTTTTCTCTGTCTTCACAAGACCCACTCTTAGAAGTTTTGGAGCTAATCAGTCTCTAGCTTTAAATCGAGTACAGATTAATATTTAGATTCAGAGAATATATGGGTGAAATAGGAAAACACAGAAAGATTTACTGTGATCCTCTAATCATAAGGGAAGCCCTAGAGGGACTCGGTTATTTATTCTGAAACTGTAGTGCATCTTTTGATGCAATTGAATTCAAAAACAGGTATTTGTAATCATAGTAGCTTTCTAATGCTTTTGGTGCCTGTCACAGTGAGGTGTGACACATACAGTGTTTGCATATTTATTCACTATGCAGGTATCAAGGATTCTTTTTATCTATTTTATCTCAACTAACTCTTCACTCTAAGTCTTCGTTTGTTTGTTTTTTTCCTTAAAGCCATCAGAAGCAAACTAGTGAGGCTTTAGAAGAAATTGAGATGAGGCCCAGCACTGGAGCCTCTCAATTTCAAGGACAGAGTAGAATAAAATTCTGAGGCTTGAGGCATACAATTTCTGAAAAACAAATATCTGACTTCATGATAAATACCCTACAAGCCCCTTCTGCCTGTTAAGAAGTGAGAAACTTGCACGCTACACAATTGCTCCTTTCTACCTTGTCCCCTAGTCTAATTCCTGGAGATTTTTTTTTTTCCTCTTTCTCATTTTGACCTTTCTGATGAAGTGTGACACTAGTTAAATATTACTATGTTTGTTGCACTGCTTGAAAATTTTAAATAGGGTAGAATCACAAGCCCTGCTAAGAACAGAAGAGTGATGACTTTTGCCTGGGGACAGTCATAAGTCAACCCAGTGCAGATAGATCTGCTGGATGGTATCTGTCCATAGCTTGAGGTTTACAAGATCTGAAAGAACCTGTCAAAAGACAACACTCATTCTGACTAATGCATGAGAGTTTGTGCAGAACTGTCTTGATCGATCTAGAGGAAATGGAGAAAAATCATCCATGTCCCTATGGAATGAAGTACAGATCCATTCAGTTTGGAAAATAAAATACCTGCCATAAGAGTTCTATGATTAAAATGTTAGAACAAATTGTATGCTAGCTATGTTTTTGATCATGTTGTCTGCTAGCCATATTTTTGATCTTTAAAATGTTACTGTTATGTAAACTTTCCACATTCTGATAGCAAATCAAAAGCAATGTGGATGAAAAGCATGCCAGGCTGTACCAGATGGTAAAAGAAGGGAAGAAATTGCTGACTGCTGTGAGCTGTCCAGAAATAACAAGCCAGATTGGGAAGCTGGAAGAGCAGTGGTTGTCCCTAACCAAGAAAGTTGGCCATGAACTACACAGACTTCAAACATTACTCAAACTTTTGGTCAGGTGGGTTATAATTCAGTAAGTAATTAGAGGTATTGACTAGAAATCGGTTTCTGACTTTCTATTTTGTGAACTATGATAGCAAAGTAATAAACTCGACTGCTCCTTTCACTTCRGTATGAAGAATCAGTGGTGGGTAGAGAAGAGTCATGTTATGACTCAGCTGATCTTCTCCCACTGTGTAGCAGGCATTTTTCCCACTTATTTTTTGTAGGAACAGTATTTCTGCAGTTGGAAATGGTCAGGCTGCTAACTATAAATGCAAGTTAGCTTTGGTTCCCATGCAAAGACATAMAGTGCATCTGTGCACAAACATGCTATCCGTGTTATAAACATTCAAGACATGGCTGAAATGCTGCTTCAAATGCCTGCTGTTGTCTGGAAGTCTGCAAAGGGCCAAGACCCAAGCACTCTTGATGCTTCCACCAGGGCAGCCATCAATGGAGTTGTGGTTATTCAGGTTGGACCAACCTCAGCTCTCCTAGCACATGCTCTGGGCAGTCTGAAGCCAAGCCTGACTGGACTGTTGGTGTACATAGAGCATGCCAGTCATGCCATTTGTTAATATTTATCCCTTCTCTGTCTGTATCTTATTCTCCTYGTGCACCATCTCCTCTGATGGTTTTGACCCCTAGCAAAGCTCTTTTCACCAGTGKGGGCCTGTGTTAGGAGCTGCTTGATGGAGAGGGACGGAATATTTTTGGAGAGAGCAGASCAGCTCTAGAACTGCCAGAAGACTCTTGTGTGAACCTCTTGCAAAACTGCTATGTTACCCATCAATTCATCTTGTGGCAGTGCTCCTGCAGGGGTGGTGTGGGAATGTAGGTGACAGGATAGCTCATGGTTCCTGACAGAGAAGAGGACAACTCAGAGGCTGAGAAACACATCTTTGTTTGTGTGCTTGTTTCCTCTCTGCAGCTACAACAGAGACTCAGAGGAATTAATGAAGTGGTTGGATTCTGCTCAGCAGAGAATGAATTTTTGGAAAGAGCAGTCTCTCAATGTGTCACAAGATCTTCCCACCATCAGAGATAACATCAGCAACTTGTTTGTGAGTCAATTCTGCTCCAAGTTTAGATGGTACATCACGACTTCCAATGAAAATGAGCCCTGCAAGGGGTTCTTATGCTCACAGTGACTTGGAAACTGTCCGCAAAACTTAGCACTGAATGGCAAAGTACTGTATGCCCCAAAGCCACCCCATTGTCTCTTTGGGGAATTGTGAAGGTAGGAGGCCCCTACAGACCCTTCCTTCAGATTGCTGGACCAGTAAGGTTGCCTAAGTCAGAATGTGACCTCTCATGGTGAGATTACATTGCTGCCCAGCCAGGATCTCTCAAGCATGTCCAGCTTTTCTGAACTTYGCAAACTTGCTAAAATCAGTTTGCTGAGCCCGGTCATCCTGTGTTTGAAAACATAGCTTGTGTTCTTTATTTAAATAAATATATAAATATTATTAATACTCTGTTAAATTTCTTCTGTGCGCCTTAGACATTCTCTAAGGAAGTTGATGAAAAGTCTTCCCTGAAGTCATCCGTGGTGAGCACTGCCAACCAGCTCTTTCATGTGAAGCAAGCTGATACTGCAGCACTTAGGTCATCGCTGGCAAAGTTTGAGCAGAAATGGGGAGAACTGATTACACAGCTCCCAGCCGTCCAAGAAACGCTTCACCAGGTGAGGAACAGCTCTGCTGCCATCTCTCAGTTCAAGCTAATTACTTTTTAAAAAGTTGCTGCTGGATTTCAGTTGGCTGCTCTGTAGGGCCCACAAAGCTCCTCTTAATTAGCTATCTATCTTTCAGAATAGCTTCAATATTGTACTGTGGTTTAATTATTGCAATATTCTTCCTGTGCAATTTTGCACGTGTCCGTCATCTTTACAGGTTTATGTGAAGGTTTGTTACAATTAGGGGAAAAAAGTGTATTTCAAACTTCAGAGTCCTCTAACTTTTTTTTTTAATTTAAGTCATATCCTACTCTGGAGCACAGGGTTAATTTTCAAGTTCGTATCCAGATAATTGCAATTATAGTGTCTGAGCCCTTCTAAAAATAAAGATGTCATCTTCCTTGATATTTCTAGCAGGCAAAATTACAGCAGATTCATTATATGCTTTACCCCCAGCTTCAGATGGAGAAACTATCATCACGGGAAGCCATTGGTGAGCTAATGACCTGGCTGGACCATGTGGAACGACAGCAGAGACACAAAGACCCTATAAATTCACAAAGTAGTGCTGCCGAGGTCAGAAGTCTCCTTCAGAAGTACAAGGTAAATAGGAAGTTATAACCCCAGGTCTCCTGCCAGGTGTTCTAGTTGTCACAAGGATGGACACAACCTACTAGCGTGGTCACATCCTTCCCTTGACACTTGGGACGGGTTCCCAAAATAACTCCAAAGGTGTGTGAACATACTCCTTTATAAAAATCCATTTTGCTTCCATGACACAAAATATTGCCTGCCTTGCAATACAGGCGACACTGTCCTCTGTGTTGTAATCTTTTTCATCATGCTCTACCCATCTAACCGTCTAACCTCTTTTCTTTCTCTTAAATTTAGATGAAAAGATGTGTTGAGCAGGAAATGCACTGTTAGGCTGGGCTTCCTTAGGAAATCACTGTGCTATGTTTTGGCCTGCCCTTTTGAGGAGGAATACCTCATGATTTTGAAGTTCAATAGTCAGGATCCAATTACCTACAAAACTGTTATTTAGGATATTATGTTTTAGCAAAAGAGATAATAGGCCAGAAAAGGGGGAACAGATTAATGACCCTGCACAGTTGGTGGCTGCAGCAGATTTTCTTCTCTGCTTAGACATGGAAACCCCAAGAATGGAGACTGCCTCTGCTGCAGGAAAGGTTCAGGCCACACTTGGTACCTTCGTAGATGCCAGAAAGATTAAAATTGCTAAATTAATTTTTTTTTAATGTTTCATGTTTTCTTCCAGGAATACATGATGGAAATGAACTTTAAGCAGTGGATGGTGGATTTTGTTAACCAGTCACTCTTGCAGATGAGCACTTGTGATGTGGAAAGCAAGCGGTATGAAAGGACAGAATTTGCTGAGTGCCTTGGCGAGATGAACCTGCGGTGGCACAGGCTGCAGGCATCTCTGAACAGACAGGTTTGATTGGCTTCCCTTGCTTTCTCTCTCACAGCTTTGATCTCACCCACGCTCCATATTTGCAAGCAGCATCCAAGTTCCAGCAAGGTTTTGGAGGGTAAACTCTTCTGAAACTCTCAGAAGGAAAAACAGGCAAAATCCGTTCTTCAGGAGAACCTGAGGGTTTATTTAATACAGTCAGTGAACTCTATTAAATGGAAACAATAAGATTCCTCTCATGAAGAAAGCCATCAGTGCAGTGTCAGCAACAATGACCTATATTGAGACAATTGTAAAAGAGGAAGAACTTGAGGTCGTGTCTTTAGGAGAAACTATTGGTAAAACCTGTTGAATGGAGAGTTACTGTGAAACTTGGTGCATTTAAATCTTAATAAGTAAAAACTGTTGGGTTTATGAAAAACATGAATGGTATGCTGGTTGGTACAGCTAGACTTGAAGTTATTTTTTCCTTCTCTGATCTTTATCAAAAAACTGCTTTATAAGATTTAAGAGATTTCCTTGGCCAAATTTGAAGACAGCAGACTGACGTTTCCTTGATTATTAGTTGAGAATGTTACCTTTGTTGATGGGCTTTGGGTAGAACAAGGTTTTGTGACTCCATATGAGCTTGTCTGGGTAGCCCCTGAAATCCCAGCTTCTCAGACTGCAGGCTGTCAGCTCCCACACTGCAGTGCCCAAGGAAGCAGTTGGGTACTGAGGAATTGGAAAAACCTTTTTAGCCTTTCTTTTCCAAGTATTTACATGTGAGTTTGTTTGCTTGTTCTTGGATAGAGAAAACGTAGGAATCTCAAAATCTGCCATGAAATGGAGAACCGTGTTTCTGCCCATCCCAGGWTTTAGATAAGCTAAAATAGTTCTGCAACTTTCAGATACAAGATCTGGAACATGTTTTGGAAGATATTACCGAAAATGAGAACAAAGCTCAGACCCTCGGYAAGTGGCTGGAAGCGCAGAGTGATCGACTGAGGTCTTTACAAACCCCAGCAAGTCTGATCTCTGCACAGAACACTTTGGACGATTGCAAGGTAAAGCATTATATATGTGTGGTAAGTGATTTGCTGAATCCAGACAAACTGCACAGATTTTTTTGGGAGGAAAAAAAAAGTTAAGTTGCTATTTGCTGGAGAATATTACAATGTCATTTTAATTAAAGCGTGGAGAGTTGAGGTCACAAAGAGACAGATGCAAACTCCTATTTTATATATATTTTTTTCCATTCCAATTGAAGGTACATCTTTCATTCTTTGAATTTTGGAGTGTTTTGCAGCAATAATGTTCTGAATTTTTTTCCAACAGAACTAGTTCTCTCGGTTCAGCACAGCTGTGGCAAGAGCTATCGATTCCATTAGTTTGAAGAGCTCTTTGGTGATAATGTCATGGAAACTACATAGGCCCTTTTGGAAGAATAGCAACTCTCTATAATCCTACCTTAAAATGTATTCCCTCCCCACTAGTCTCAAGAATCTGGGTGTACTTTTGTTGTGTTTCTTAAGGCATCAGTTCCATCAAAGTTAGGACAAATCCAGTGGGCCAATAACTGGTGCCTGTTCCTCTGACAGTCTCCTGCTTTCATTCAGTACAGCAATCCCTCTTTTTTATTATTATTATTTTCTTTTAACATGGAATATTTGTTCCTTTTTTGCTATGGCTGTGTKACTTTCTCCCATCGTAAGCTGCTTTTATTCCCTAGAGTGCTCTGTTATAAACTAACTCTTCTGTCTGATACTCTGGAGCCTGTCAAGGGGCCTGGATGGAAGAAAGACAGTGGATGTCTTTGCCTAAAATAATAATCTGATGACAGCGAGGTCCAGTCCTGAGAATCAGGAGGCTAAATGTTTCATTAAAAATAATTTGCTTTGTAAAATTGAACTTGAAATTTGAAAAATTGGGGAGCAGTTAAGTGGGTAAGAGAAGATAATGGTGAAAAAGTATAGCATTATAGAGAGAAGGCATGGGTTGCTATGTGYGTGAACATTTATACACATTGGGAAAACCTGCATGGAGTTTTCACCAGCACATTGAGGCTAYGTTATAATCGTGCTGGTTGTGTCAGGGAAGTTGCCCCCTCAAGCAGCCCTGTTCGTTTCGGTGGGATTTCTCTCATGGATAGAAATAGCTGAGCAGAGGAGCTGAAAAGAACTTCAGAGCAGTTGCTGGCGTGTCAGAGACCCCCATACGGCAAAACCCATCCCTGTGTTACCTTTGCCTGCTAGAGCCAGAACAGTGGTGTTTGTGCATGGCTGAAGAACTACACTGGATTGATTTTTAAAGCTGCTCATATGGGGGAGTTTTTCGTGGTCTCATTTGTGTTTTTTAAATATATCCCCTTTTTTTCCCCCCACTTTAGGAGCTGGAAAATCAACTTGCAGCTAAATCCAACCTTCTTGATGAGCTCAAACAGAGTGTGGCTTTGGAGGATGGTCCAGAACAAACCCCAGGAGCTGCATCTCTCCAGACAGCTGAACTGTGTAAAATGAGGGACAGCGTTGCCAGCCAGGTATAGGCTTTGTGYGAGTTAGAATATCCCTCCAGCATGTATCCTCCCACCAGCGTTACTAATTCAAGGAATGTTACTTCTTCAAGGAATGGCTGTAGCTAGTGCAAAGGACATGCAGAATATGCCTTATGTCTAATTTTCMCCTTCCTGGGAACTTCCTTTAAATTCTGTACTGTTGCAACCATGAATCCATTTTGAATATTGAGAAAGATAGGGAGAAAAAAAAATGGGTCAGGGGAAGGAAGATTGATCTCAAAACGTATTAATTTCAGGGGCAGGATGGTCAGATTCTCATTTGCAGTTTAAGAAAACAGAAAAATAGCAGTGGTATTTTTCTGCCAGCTGAAAATGGAAACCTTGAATGCACTGCCTGGRTCTGCTCCTCTCTCACTGCAGCCCTCCTGCCGTGTGTTACTCTGAGGGAAGCTCTCTGCTCCTGCTCTGCTCTCTCTGGAGCTTTTCCATCTCCCTGCTGCTCTTTCCCTCCCACCCCTAGACTGCTTTTGCTCTATTAAAATCCCTGCATAGTTCCCAGTTGCTTCATGGATAGCCTGACCAGTTCCCTAATCCATACAAACTGAGTCACCAGCACTTTGCATGTAGATTGTGTTTGTTTTATACTTGTAACTGATTTTTTTTTAACTTAGACATAATATATAGTAATAAGTACATTTATAGATTTAAATTTATGATAATAAGTATGTCCTGCAGAGGATTATATGTGATGCAGTGATTGCATTTGTAGTTAAAATTGCCTAACATTTCCTTGATTATCAATCTRCTTTTGTTCCTCAAAAAATCATCTGACTGGAGCCCTTTTGCTTGAACTCTTCCATGTGCATACTCTGCCCAGAATGGGGCTGCTGCTGCTAGTTTCTAGTTACAGCAGAAAAAGTGTAGTAGAACAATATAGTTCTTTTTGTTCTCTTCTTACGGCTGCTGTGGGTCATATTAATGTTAATATTTTTATGACTTCATTGTTGAACTTAGAAACTGCAGGATATTCTTATAACCCAGCAGTGTCCATGTGTGATGAAATGTGGAGTGCAGGTTTGTTCTCATAGACAGCTGTCYTCAGCAGGAGCCTGACTGTGACTTTGGCACAGGTCTGAGCAAGGTGGGACACCAGGATGGTACCATCCGGAGAGCGATCTCAGGACTCTTGAGTCTAGCCCAGAGGCATTTCATGAGCACAACATCTTTCCATCCTGCGTGGGCAGGAATTAGCTGCAGGCTACTGACAGCAATTAAAGATTCCTCCCACCCAAATGAGGATTCAAATGAGAATAGGGATGATTAATCCATTTACTCCTGCGTGGTTGGAGTGAGGATACGCAGTCATGGCAGAGAAGGGTTGTCATCTCCCATTGCATCTCCCATTTCCTAACCTGTCAGCTCACTTTGACAGATGTTTGCTTGCCTGGTTTTCATGCTCTTCTCAAAGCTTCTGCTTTTGGCATGGCTGGCAACAGATTTTTGGTTTGGGTGAATGTTTCAACTAGTGCAGTAAGTGCACCATATACTTCCCTGGTACCAAAAGGCAAAAATGGCAAATTGCACTGAAGCAGGTCTGCAGTTTTGCCTTTTTAAATGTGTCCAGTTTTGCCTACTGTACTGTGTCCAGTAGTATGTGGCAAATGGAAATCTTGCTCGCCCCAGTATAATTCAGTTGGCCGTAAGAGTGAAAGGGACAAAGAGAAACAGTGAGGAAATCCATTATGGATGGATTCAGGATCAGGAATCCTGAAGTCCCTGGTTTGTATTTCTGGATAGTCTGCATTTTTACAGCATAGTGACATAAAGGGATGATGATGCTCGCAGGTGTAGTAGTTGCATCTTCCATACAAAACAATTTCTATTGAAATTTTGMCTAAAATGAAGTTTGATCAAGCTATCTGTTTCCTGACAAGACTGAAGTTCTCCACTTTGCACAACTTCAGACTGGTTTTTGGCAGCAGGGAATAAGCAGTTCTTTGTTTCAGTACATTTTACTTTCTTGAGGCTTCTGTCATCATTCCACTGACAGCAAAATGCTACTTTGGTTRTAATTCTATTTCGATCAAACTTTTATACTGCAGTCCACTGCCAGGAATACTGTTTGCTTCTTGCTTTGAAACATATGTGATTCTGTACAAAGAAGGAAAATATTCTAAATTGTGAAATTCCTCTGGATTGTCAAGGAATGTGCACTGAACTGAGATTTTTGAATCAACTTGAAAGTGATTTACATTCAACATTGATCAAGAAATAATAACAAATGTGGTTTCTCTGCAGATTGGGCAGTTAAGGACCTCCATGCAGGCAATCCTGCAGCACTGGAAACTGTATGATGAAGCTTATGAAGAAGTCAGCCTGATGATAACAAGATATTTGTACTGCATTGACCAGTGCAAACCTTCTGTGCTATCACTAGAAGCTTTGAAAAACCAAGTCAAAACTCTCCAGGTAAATCTACTGAAGTTAAAAGCTGTTGTCTTAAAGCTGTTGTCATGCTTCTTTGTGTGCCTAAAAACAAAAACCCAAACCCACAAAAGCATGGATTTTTTTTCTCTCAAGCAAATTGCCCTTTATTGTGTGTCCGTAAAGTTGGTTTAATTTTTTATCACCACCAGAGGACTCTCTTTAGACTTCATACTAGTCTAGCAGAGACTAGTATGTCTAGTAGAGTGTCTGCTTTGAACTGYAAAGGCCCTTTGATATTTTATTCAGCCTTTTGCCCATGCCTAGAGGCCTATCCCTGTGAAGCACCAGCTCCTTGTGCTTCACTGCAGTGCAGAGTCCAGGTGGATGTAGGACCTCTGTCACCAGGCCCGGTCCACTAGGTCTGCTCCATGCATGTCTGATCCACATGGGCAGCAGTTTAGCTTGAATTATAGCTGGCAAAGGAAAAAGTAATGAATAGGTTTGCCTAAAAGTTACTTCACTCTTCACCTTCACCATTCATCACTCTGCAGTGATGTCTGCACGAACACTTTCCACCCCCATGGAACATGGGGGCATGTAACAATTTGGAGAAACTGGGCACCTTCATCCTACTTTTCCTCCTACAACCTCTTTATTTTTAATCTGTATTGGTTACCAGATTTGGTCCTTGGCAAGGACYTTGCCAAGGACCATACAATCATCTGTACTGGGAGCTGTGAAGCTTTGCCAGCAATAGAAATGTCCCTGAAACCTTGGCTTCAGTTTTGCTTTCTTAGTGGTTTGGGTTAATCAGTTCAAGGTTGCAGGTTTGTTAAACAAGATTTTTTCTTAAAGAACAAATAAATGACCTGGCTTTCAAGTAGCCCATTTTTAACTTGGATCATTTTACCTCACTTGTAATGTTGTAATTTTTTGGAATCAGATGTTATACCTTTCACAAACGTTTTATTCTTTGAGGCAGATATGGATGGCATTATTGTTACTGTATTCTTTCTAAGCTGTAGGGGAGGCTGTGGTTAGATCATCCATCTCTGCAACTAATCACAGTAATCCATTTTACAGTCTCTTCAAGATGAGTTAGAGACCAGTGAAGAAAGTTGGGCCAAGCTCCAGGCTGCTGCCAGTAGTCTGAAGAAGAGCTGCTCTCCCTCCTTCACAGAGATTATCCAACAGAAATGCAACGAGGCACATGCCAGGTAAGCTTGTGAGAAGGATCCCAAAAGGTTGCTGAGACAGGACTTGAATGTCTGTCAGACTTTTAAATCTATTTTGGGACTACTCAGCTGTCTGAAGGTAAAGAGGAGCTGATGCTGCTTTTTTGTGATGGATTGCAGAACTTAAAATGATGTTAGCTACTTTCAAAAAGATCGATATGATTGATGATAATTCTGCTTCCTGTAACATGAAAGCAAAGAAACTCCCTTGCATCAAATCGTATTCTGATACAAGAGAGGAGAATCTCCAAAGAAAAAGGTCTTATCATCATCTGATGTGTTGRCAGGTGGAGTTCAGTAAATGAAGACATCACCGATCAACTGCGGACAGCACAAACTATCCTGCAGCTGTGGGAGCCTTATGACACTTTGTGCACGGAGGCAGCAGCCAAGTTGGAACAACAGGAGGAGCAGTGTATGCAGCTCTTGGATGCTCACATGCCCCAGGATAACATGATAGAAACACTGAAGCAGAGGATTCAAGATGTAAAGGTACATGAGTATATTTTTGCTGTGTTGTATAACTGTGGATTTATTTTTAAAAGAATTCAGAACAACTTTGTATTTCTTTTACATACTTTTGCCAGATGTGGAGATGAAACCAAGTTACAGATAGCATAGGATGAGAAGAGAGGGGAGCAATATTCGTGGCCCCTCTCTCCCCTACACAAAGAATCAGGGCTATGTCACAGTCAATAAACTGAAAATGATTTATTTCATGGGGCAGTATGTGGAGGAGCAGCACAGTCTCTTAGAACAGTAGCTGGAAAAGAAGACTATTTTTACAGAACACTGTACCATCTTGAAGTCTTCTACAGTTTTTTCTTTAGATGTGTTTTACTTGATTTTGGTGGATTTTTTGGCCTGGTCTAATGAGCTAGCAGATTTCTGAGCTCATTAGATTATTCCAAAATACTTCTGACTTTTGGCAAATGAGACCTCATGCTGAGACCACAGGGTACATTTGACACACTTAGGCAGCAAAGCTGTCATTAGGTTCTGACACTTCTGGGTTTTTTTTTTCATACTGCAATAAAGAAATATAATAATCCTGATTTCARGACAGAGTAATGATTCATTCTGTTTTATGAATCTTTAGTAGCACTTTGGAAGAGGTCCAAAGTACTCTGTTTTGCATGTGGCCAACAGCAAAATTCTGCATTACAGAGAAGAGAACTCCTGTATTTCTTCCTATATCAGAAAGAATTKACAGCAGCAAAACTTGGAGCAAAGTATTTTCTCTTTCTTCTGATATGTTAAGGTCTGAGACACATGTATTTATATATGTTAGCAAAGAGGCATCAAATTTTATGGAAATGTAACCAGGAAAAGTTTGCARCTGCTGAGCATGGGATGACTGCTAGGAAGCTGTTAGTGTTGTAGATGCCTTGGTGTGTTTGGGGAGGACACATGCAATTTATTGTGTGAGCAGAATGAGGCAGAGGGATGAGGAGCAGTGCTATGGCTTACAAGTTATAGGGAGCTGTATTCCCGAGCAAACGGGCATTTTTAAACTGCATTTCAATCCCTCTAATCTTTTTCTCTAGTATCTATTAAGAAAGATGATGGGTTTATGGGACTGTCATCACAGCAAGTGCAGCTGAACTCCAATATTCAGAGTAAGATACCATAATGGCAACCCATTCAGTAAATGGCTCCAGTGGCACTTTACAGTATGATCAATTCCAAAGATAGGGTCAGGGTAGAAGAGCATTTTGTTTTTTAGGGAAATATGTCTATCCTTGGTTATCAGTAAGAAACCTATGTATTCATTACTCAGAGACAATATTCAGTGGCAAAATCAAGGAGTTTTTCCTGGCCAAAAGTAAAAGATGGTTGTCAAAGTTGGTGTATTTCATGATACCATCCTGCCATTGCTTGAAGAGGTGGAAGCARCTTATTTTGTGCTTTCACTGTCTTTAAAGATTTTATAGCATCATTTCTATAGTATAGGGACACAAATGGAAATAATGAGCCACCCCTCAGTGGCTAAGGGATCCAAAGTACTGGTATGTATTTAAAAAAAAAAAAACAACAAAAAAAAAAACAAATAACAGCTTTTTATTATCTGTGGCATGGGCCAGTTTCTCCATCTGCTTGCATAAATCCATTCTGTAGACAGGGATATTGGAACTGCTCTCCCTAATCTCCTCTGTAACAGTACTATCCTGCTGTTTAAAGTCACTGGTGTCCCATTGAACTTTGAACTGTGCTTTTCCCAGCACTGGAGTCATTGGATGCAATTCACATTATCCCTGGAGTAAAAGACCGAAGCTTTCACCACAGCTGAATTCAGCTCCTGGAGGAGATCAACAAAAAAGGCTTAGTTACAGCAACAAAAGATACTAAATGAAAGTGGCACGTGAATGAAGATATGATTCATTTGCTGCCTTTTTTTTTTTTTCCTTTCTTTCTTTCCTCTTCTCTCTTCAGAGTTTACAGCATGGCCTTCAAAACATACAGCGGTGCCGTTCCCAGATTTCTGAGCTGGCAGACCAGATAAAACAGCAGGCTGGGGCCGCGGCACAAACTGTTCTTTTGCAGAAGCTGCAGCCACTCAAGAGAGCATCCTATTTAGAAAAGATGCTGCAGCGGAAATTGGATGAATTTGAGGTATACTGAATAGTATATTAACTGCTAGTGCAAGATAGCTTCTCCGTTAGAGCACGGATGCTGAACTGAAATTTAATTTGAATAAAATAAAGCTTAACATTGTGGTCCGCCATGTAAAGAAATAATATATGGAGACAGTAGGACTGATGGAGGAAGAGACTTGCCCTTTTCTCCTACTTGTTTTATTGTGTTGCTCTAACAGGCATTTCTAAGCAGACTTATTAGTGCCAAGGGCTGCAGGACCCTCACATGATTACTAGTTAGGAAACATTTTCCTAACAYTGTGAATGTCTTGGCAAGTTTATGAAGTTTTTTGGCTCTGCCTTGGAACAAATCTAAGGGCTTCCCTTTGCTATGATAGAAATGAACACAACTGGAATAACCAAAATCTTATGGTCATTTGATGTTATGAAGATCAGATTCACCTTCCTGTTAGGCAGAGCAGGAACTTGGATTGAGGTTTCCACATATGACGCCCTGCTCATGGGAGTGCTATGGGATTGACTCTCCTCTGAGCAGGTAATCCTGAGAAGACTTCCAAGCAAATGGTCTCATCAAAAACATTTAATTCCTTTCAAAAAGTCAGGTTTCAATTGACTGTTATGTTCTGAAGTAAACCCTCCTCTCAAGAAATTTCAGCTAACTCTATTGATGATTCCTTTTACCACCCCAAATCAATTGCTGGAAGCCAGATATCTTTCTGAAGATAACATTTCTCATATTCCCTGTGAACTTCACATTCCATGAAAAATAATCTGGGTAAAAAATTTTCTCTGTGATAACATTAAAGCAGTAGCACAAAATTCTCTTGTCCTCCCCCACATCAATTTTTGCCATTCTCTCCTTGTAAAAATATTACTGTTTCAGAGCTGGTTCTTCTCCCTGACCCAAAGAAACAAAGCCAGTGAATAAGAAACTGGGGTTCCAGCTCTGCTATTTATTTGCTCACAGGAAATCTCACAGGATCTGAGCAGCCTTCTCTGTAGGCACATGGGAGCAGGCTCTGCATGTAGCTTGGAGGAAGCTCATTTTCACAAGGGTTTTTGTGTCTGACAAGCCAAGTTTTGGCTTTCCAATTTCACAATAAGTCATACAGCCCAAAGCTACATATCCAATGTACCCTCYATTCTTTCCATGTATACATTTATATGAATCGCTCAGGAATTAGAGATTTGATTTCTTTCTGTCTGCTTTGGTTTAAATTTTGCCCTTCTCTAGTGCAAACATTGAAAAAAAATCAGTGAGTTATAAATACCTTGTAATTTGCAATTAACATCTGTTTGCCTACCTGAAAATGTGGCTTACTGCTCCTTTGTGTATACTGAGTGCGTGTGTGTGTATATAGTAAACAAAATAATGATTAATATAACTATGCAATATTCATCCTAGTTCAATCTTTCACAACTGGAGGATTTCAAGAGCTGTCTCGAAACGCTGGAGGGTCATGTCAAGAATTGCGCAGATGCCTTGGATAACCTATCTCTAGAGGGAGGAACTGATAACACAGAACTGCTCATGGTATGTTCAGACTCCTAGCTACAAAAAGATAAATGCTCATGATTTAAGTGTCTCTAGGATACCAGCTCTTCTCTACTTCAAGGATCTCTTTGTGCCCTAAGTTTCATAATTATGTCACTGGCACCTGAGCGACTACAATCTCATGTAGAATGGGAAAAGCAATGATTTAAGTTTGTAAAAATCTAGGTAATATCTTGCAGACCAAATAACCAGKGTGGAGGGGAGTAAAAACAAGTGGATTTGAGGTTGATGGGGGGATGCTTTCTCCTGCCCTGTTCTAGAGGCAGAGCGGTGTGTTGGAGTGAACTTCCCCTGTGGCTGTGAGCAGGAGCTCTGCAGCTGGCAGTGCCCCCTTGCCCTCAATGTGGGGTTTGCAGTAATCTTGCATGTACCAGCTTCTGTTAAAACCTCAGAAAACTGAGCCCTATATAGGTGAWTTTTTATTTATTTCCTGTATTATATGGAGTTAACACAGAAATGTTTTTAATTAATATTATTTGTTTGCATTTGGATACATCAAATGCAGATGCTTTCATAGTGTGACAGAAGAGTCCTCTGTATTTCTTTGATACAAAAGCAAGGCAGCACTTTTTGCAGTTACACTTATTTTTTATTTCCAGAATCGTACCCTGGAGCTTGCTGCCCTGTCTCCAAGCGTAGAAAGCCTCAATGAAGCCAGCATTAAGCTGCCCCTCAGTGACTTCACTCTAAAGAAAATGCAGAGTCTCACACGCCAGTGGAGTCAGAAAACGGCAACGGCTCTGGAGCGCTGCAGGTTAGAAATGCAAGCAAAATTACTCCTAACCAGTCCTTTTTCCAAGAGGAAAGTCAAAACCCTGTTAAAGCATAGGAAGTTTTTCRAGCTCTTTATAGCTTTCTCATGGGGCTTTCCAAGAATTCCTGCCCTTTTAGCTTTTATTCAGTGGCTATTTGCATTCCAAGGCACTTGAAGCAAAAATATGCATGTTCAGAGGTGAATAAGATAGGAAGAAAGTGTCTAGTAAAACCACCCRTGTGTTACTATTGCTAACCATCATGCTAGGCTGTATGCAAAGTATCTAGAAAAAAACCAGCAACAGTAGTGTAGGTTTTGATTTTTTTTTTATTTTTATTTTTTTTTATTTTACAGTGAGCTAGAAGGAATTCAAACGGATGAGAAGAAGTTTTTTCAGAAATGTGAAAACTGGATGAAATTCCTAGAAAAAATGCAAGAGGCTTTAAAAGCCAATATTCCGGGTCAATTTGAAGAACTGCAGGAGCAACAAAGAGTATATGAGGTAAAGCTGTCTTTAAGAATGGCTGTATCCTCTTGAATTGTGACAATTGGAAAAATACTACAGAAAATCCTGTTGCTTTTGAAATTAGATGCGGGTGAATGTTACAGTGCATTTTGCTCTTAGTGCCCAAGTGTGCAACAGTACCCAGAGTATAAGAGCACATAGAAGTGCATCCGTATGCTACTGCTAATACTCAAAGCAAAGTGGGTATAAACTTTGTCCTAGCGGAGGAAGGCTGGAAAAACAACCAACATACAAAATAATTTTGTGGTAAGTGCTAAACATCATGGACTGAAATTTAGGGTAAGCTTCATCCTGAAGGTGGTAGACACAGTTTCAGCCTACCCTAAGTACAGCTGCTAATTCCACAGGATGTTAAGTCTTTCTGTTAATTTTATACAGTATTACAGCTTATAAATTTGTACAATAAGCACCTGCTGATTGTAATGAAGAGTGTCAGGGCTGGATTTAGCTTTTTATGTATCTTTTTATAGTTACTTATGTGCACGTATGTGCCTTTTTATAGTTAGTGTCTAAACTGCATCTCTCGTGAATGAGTCCAGCAAACCTCAGGCAACATAGTGCTTCTGTTGGGACAGTTACCATGTATGTGCAAATACCACCTGGTATCCCAAAAGTAGGCAAACTTTTAGGAGGAATTTGCCGACAGCACTTGAAAATAAGAGAGCGTTCAGTATTTAAATCTGTATATGCTCTGACTTTAGAGGAAGAGAACCAGCTTTCAAAACGAAGATTATTTACTGAATAATTTGAAAAGCTATTGTTGTTTTACTATTTTCAGATGTTGCAGACCGAAATTTCTATAAATCAGCAAACGTTTAACTCCATCATAGCAAAAGTTCTACTCTTCTTGGAATCTGGAGAAGCAGAAAAAAGGTAACTTTTATTTTCTCTCTAAGATCTCTTTAAATTATAACTAATTCAATGGATAGGATCTCTTCCTTGGAATCAGTATTGAATGTTTGCTCTAAAGAGGACACAAACCCAAATCCATCACCAAGTTGACCCTTTAAATAATCCCAGGAGGGATTRTTAAGGAAAGGACAAAGAGAAAGGAATGCAGATATCCTGGTCAGTCTCTTTTGTGGATATTAACTGAATGTTTTGCCAAGCAAAAATAGATGCTCCTATCCAGGAGGCTGCCATGYAGCCTCCACATGTGGCCCTTGCTCACCTGACAGTGCATTGAGCCCTCAACCACATACTCCAAAACATGGTAGTTAAATTGGTCTTTAATTTGTGTGATCCTGCACTTTTTCTTAATCAAGGTACAATAAGAAGTATGTAGTATTTGTAAGCAGAGATTCAACCACCTCAGCCACTTCTGCTGTGAAGACATTTKCCCTTCTGTTAGAACTGGCTCCTTCCACAGAGTTTGTGCTCTGCCCCAGCCCACATCAGCATAAAGCCCATGGTTTAGCTTAAAGCAGGGAAGGTTGGGCTAAACTAAGCAGAGCTGCTGGGTTTTGTGTTGGAAGCAACCCTGCAAACACAGGTGTTTGTGTAAGAGCTGATCTAAGGCCCGCCGCAGAGGTGCTGGGCAAATACCTGAGCATCTCTAGCTGGGTCTGCTGGACCCTGTAATCACGTTGTAGGAGAARACAAAGGGCTGCCCCAATAGGTTTGACAATAATAAGAGCCCTTCGCTTTGCAGTTACAGCCGACTGCTGTAGGACACAGCTCCCTTTTCCAGCTTTGTAAAAGCACAGATGAGTTTGCAGCAGAAGCAGAGGGCCCTGTCCCACTTGCAAAGACTTCCTTGGTCTTCAAAAAAAATATGTTTAGTGTATATTGCTTTAGTGATTGTTGTAGTCTGTACATTGCTATACCACAGTGGCAAGAATGACTTGCATTATCCAGTCTTGTACCTTGGAAAAGATTGAATATGGAGAGTAGGGCTGAGCTTATGCTGACTGCACAGGCCTTTCACATAGTCAGATATTTGGACTGGAATTTTATAATAATGCAAATGAAAATCCATCACAATTATGGAAAAATACAGCTTGGAAGTTAAGATTACTAAAATTCTAAGACACTTAAGATATACTAACACTCARCACCTCACATATCTTCAGAACGGAGTTCATTTCCAAGCTCACGTTGCTGAAGGAGCAGTGGCAGAATGTTATCCGGATGGTTCAGCAGAGGAAGAAGGATATTGATGGACTCGTGAGCCAGTGGCAACTTTTCAGGAGTTCCCTGAGGAGTCTCGACAGATTTCTCGATGATACAAACAACTTCCTCATGGCTGTGAAGAGCCAGGACTGCTGTAGCCTTTACCAGCTTAGAAATTTCATTCATGAATTTAAGGTAATCTTTTACTTTCTTTTTTTTTAATCTCTGATAAATCTAAAAAATCTAAAATCTGTGGGATGTCTTGGATTGAAACCTCTTCTGTCCAGGAAAGGAAAAAGACTTTAAAATTACCTGCTTTCCTCAGCAAAACCAATTGGTAACCTTTTTCCTTAAAGYTGAGCAGAGATGAGAAAACAGTGCCAGTGTGAAAAACTCATTTATGCCAGGAAAGTTCTTGGGAAGCACTGCCATTTAGTAGCCTTCATTACTCCATTAAAAAAAATTCTGTGGTAGCATAGCTATTGATATTAGCATGGAAATCCAGCACAGATGAGGCAGGAAGGGTGGCCAGAAAACATCCTCCAGGTCTCTGTGTGCAATTTATCAACAGCTGCTTAATACCAGGCTTGCAGCTTACCTGCCCAAAGCAGGCATAGATGGGGCAAGACTGGGCATAAGGGTCTTGCTTTTCCATTGAATTACGCACTCCTTTTATGAGAAGGTCAGTACGAGCACTGAACTCGCTCATTGCTTAATGTATTAATTAAATATAATATTGAATTAATTAATTCAATAATGTTAAATTAAAATTTATTATTGAATTCCTTCTCTATTTGCAAGGGTCATGGTTTCTTGTATTCCCACACTCCTGATGTTGATAAATTAACACCTTTCCAGTATTGCATTTAGCACTAGCTCTGTTTGCTTCATCTTCCATTTTATCTGCTACTTAAAGGTGGCTTTCGSTAGTTTTTATGAGTTAATTTCTTATGCTTTTCTCTAGTGAGAAAAGTGAGAAAATCTTCCTCCTCCAACTCTAGGTTACCCTTATCTCCTGCTGTTGTTTTATAAAGAGAAACAGTGATCCTATCTGCTCATGGTGTGGATGGATTTGTCTTGTAGGCAAATTAAAACTGATGACTTCACTTGGAGTGTGTCACAATTAACAAAGATACTGTTTCTCAAAAAAAAAAGTCTTATCTATGCTAACAATTAGGGGTGCTAACAGGACTTTAAAGTAATTATTTTTACTCCCAAATTACTCATGGAGCTAAAATTTCGTCTTTTCATAACTGTTCCAATTTTGTTACATCATTTTGATGTGTGAAAAGCTATTGTAGAGTTCAATAGATCAGAAAGTCTGATTTTTCTGAAATTACAGAAGCAAATAGCAAAAGATGCATTCATCATTCGTGCTCAAAAATGAGCCAAGCAGTGCATAGTAACTGCATTAGTTCAGTCCTCTCCTCATTCCAAGTGATAGGCTAGGAGTGTTTTTAAGGCTGGCTGGGGATTCCTTAATCATTGAAAATGTCTCTGTTTTGAAGAGTAAGGCGGTGATCCTTCAGAGGTGGCAAGCCTTGTACTCCTTAGTGATCGACGTCGGGGAGAGGCTGCGCACGGTCTGCGATGCCGAGACGAGCGCGCGGCTCCAGGAGGAGCTCGGGCAGCTGCAGCAGCGCTGGAGTGACACCCAGCTCCAGCTGGAGGCCACCAGGACGGCGCTCGGTGGCACCGCGCAGGTACCAGGCGGGTGGCTGGCCTCTTTGCTGCTGCCACAGCAGCTCCAGACTCAAAGCTTGATGTTAAGGGAACCTGAAAACAAGAGGGAGACTCTACCTGTTTTCTAAGGAAATAAACCTGTTTTCACAGCCAGACAGCATGTGTGGCTTACAGTTCAATACTRTTAATGTAATTTGGGCTGAGAACTGTACTGATAAAAGCCTCTCAGTTTGGACAGAGTACATGCAAAATATAAATACCTTGAGCAGAAATATTCTGTAAGGCAAACCCTAAATATTGGAGGGTGGAAATTCTTCCGCCAAAATCCAAACAACTAGAGCCTATGACTGCAGTGGGCTGAACAGGCTATTCTGTAACCTGTGTATATAGTATAGTATGTCTTTTGTATCTTCCTTTTGTAACATCCAGAGCTGGGACTGCTGTGAAAAGCAAACGAAGGAACTGGAAGGTCAGCTGAGAGAACTAAAGGCAAAAGTGAAAGTTCCACTTCCAGTTGAACATGATGAACTCTACAATGTCAAGGAGAGCATTAAGGTATTGAACAGGCAGACTGTGCTTAAACAGAGGTATTCTTTGCACAGCACCTAATCTCTTCCAAATCAGTTTTCCTTCTTACCTGCTCTTCAGCAGACCTGAATCCCTTTCTCCTATTCCATCCTGATTGCTACCAATCTGCAAATTGAGACAGACTAATCTGCATGGATGAGGAGATTATTGCAGCAAGGAAGTTATTTTGGGATTGTTTTTTGTTTCCTTGTACTTTGTTTTTTCCTGCTCCCTTTCTGAGGCCTAATTTTATAGTCCCTCAGGCAAGTTAAAACTCTATTTTCTGCTCAAATTGGCTGCCTTCCTAAGACCTGAATCTCCCTTCTTGCCCAAACCGCTTTGGACATAGAACTCATCAGGTGAGAGGCTTTGTTATTTTCCTTATGTGACTGCAAAGTACCATGCACACCTGTGGGACCTCAGAATAATTAAAGAGAAGGAAAATTAGAATAAAGGAGTGGCAAAAGCCTTTACAGCCCATAGCACACCGTAAAAATTATACAGCAAGGAAAGTATTTTTCAAGGGTAGAGACATTTTGTCTGGACTGGTCAGTCTTTCATCATCCTTTCATGAAGTGAAGTCTTGACCTGTGTGGTGGGAACAAATAAGCTTATTAATGAGCCAGGGCTTTAAACTCATTATCAGCTGTCTGAAATCTTCTTTGTGAGCACTGGCTGCCTTTCCCACAGCAGCAGTCTTGCTGTAACCCTGAATTATTTTTGAAGTAGCAGGGCCTGTCCCTGCATAGTCTCTGCCTCTCCTTCCAGCAAGTGAAACTCGTCCATGGAAACATCACTGACAGACAGTGCCTGTGTAGACACTGCTCTTGGCTGCCAGAGTATAATAAAATTCAGGACTGTGATTAGACCTTTGTGGTTAAGATACATAAAAGAATGTGCTCTTGAAAGTGGGGAACAGTTTATTGTGAACTCTGGTAAATTTTATTCCCAATTCTATTTAATTTATCCCTTTCTGGATAATTTTTCCTCCAGTCTTGAAGCAGATCAACAATTTTTTTTTTTTTTTTTTTTTTTAGGATTTATACAAGTAATGGATCAAAAGAACTATAAAATGCTCTCAGGGCTTGGACCCAGCACACCTGCCCAACACAAGCACTTACACTTTTTTTTTCTTTTTTTTTTTTTTCTTTAAAAGTAAGACCAACTGGATCATATCTAAGAATACTTTTGCCAGAGGAACCAGTAACACTCCTAGGGACTGCCCTGTAAAATGGGACCTAAGGGTTTGTTCATGGAGTATGCAGCTTTCCTGCCTGCTCTGGTTCTTTTTCTTTTYGGACCAATTTAATGCTGTTCCAGAAAGCAGAGCCCTGACTTAAAAAGCTTAAAAGCTGCAGRTTTGTGAGAATTCAGATGAAAAGTCTGTGAAATCAGGTCGGTGGGAACCCTGCCCAAGTCTGCAGCAGGTGCAGAGTCAGGCCCGGCCTGAGACCCGGCCAGGGGACCCGAGGCAGCAGAGCTGAAGAGTTTGCACATGCGGCTGCACATTCCCCTGCTCTCCTCCCCCACAGGCTGGCGGGGGATTAGCCAGCCRGTTTGGAAAGCAGAGGAGCTTAGAGCTAAGGCTTTTTCTGGGTGTGTTTCCATGCAGGAGCTGGAGCAGTCCCTGGCAGACTGGGCCCACAGCATGAAGGAGCTGCGGGCCATGAAGGTGGAGCTGGCGCACTGCATCCTCTCCGAGGACATGCTGGTGCTCAAGGAGCAGGTCGAGCATTTGCACCGGCAGTGGGAAGAGCTCTGCTTGCGGGTGAGTTTCCTGCGTCCTCYGGGTTTTTACAGTGCCATATTCACAGGCCCTCACGGGGAAAACAGGCGGCGGGTTCATGGAGGGGTGCACCCTCTTTGCCGTGCAGCTGAGCAGGGGGTAAATTTGGCCTGCAGGCTCTCTCCTTGCATAAGGTACTGCCCTTTCTTTCTTTCTTTGCAAACTCTCAGCTTTAGTGAGTGGCTGAACTGCACAGAGCCCAAACGCAGCTGTTTACCAAAGTACACGGCTTTGTTCGGGATGCGGAGGGGAGGGAGGGCGGCAGGCAGGGATGTGCTTGGGAATGGCCTCGGGGTGAAGCAGGCCGAGGTAGGGGAAGACCTGTGAGGGTCTGAGGTAAAAATGCCAGCAGAGTTGATTTTAAGAAAACTTAAATGTGTTTAAATGCTAATCTCTTGCCAGCCAGGTTTAAAGCACATTAGAACTGGCTTATTTTAAGCAACACTTGCGTTCTTTGTGGCTCTTTGCTGTATTATGCTTAGTTCAGCACTGCCTGTGAAACTGCAGGGGAAAATTCACTGGCAAAGTCACATGAACTTGATTCACCCGGTTATTGTGCTGAGTGAATGTGTGTTTGCTTTGCCCTGTTCACGGGAGTTAGAGAAGCAAAATATTTCAAGGTCTTAAGCTGATCTGTAAAGTTCCACATGTCAACAAGGCAAACTCAGGCCCTGCTTTACTTGCCAGTCAGTGACTTTTTTTTTGTTTCACAGCTTGCAAAGAAGTAGTGGAGAAGCATCAATATTTTGTTTCCCATCCTTATTCTGGCAAAATTAAATCAAATTTGGTAGGAGTATTGCCAGAGTAAGGAATGAACAGTCATGCTTATTTCACAAACTTTGATGTGATGAGCTTGTTTGGGTTTCATTTTTTACATTGCAATGAGGAAGAGCTTAGTATCTTTGCCTTAAACTTGACAGTTAGTCTATGATCCTTATTTTATCTTTTATTGCTTCTGAACTGAGAAAATGATTTCRGAGACCCCCCTCCCCTGCCCCAAATATAAGTCAGTACTTTTGATTTTGTTTCTGAAAATCAAGCYCCATTTTATGTACCCAGCTACAGTCTATCCAAGTTCTGACTGTATTAATTTAAATGTTTCTGACTGTAGTAATTTGAATCCAGGCTTTACTCAAAATTTCTATTTTGATGTTCTGAAAGAACACAATTTAAGCAGTTAACCTTGGAGGGAGAAGAAAAAAGTGGCGTTGATGTTACTATAATTTTTACACGCACACAAAAACCTGCAGTGGGAGGGAGCCTCGTCAGTGCTGCGAGCTGAAGGACACAYGGAGATGGTTGCACAGCCCTAATTGGCCTCCAGAGAGCTGTCACGGATGCTCAGCTCTGGACACGGGTACACAGGATCAGCTTTGCTGCCAGCGTAACTGCCTTGTTTGGCTATCAGATTAGAGGAGTCCAAACGTATTGTCTGAAAACAAACTGTGATGTAAATGCAGAGGAGACGCTGCCGCAGCTGTCGCAGGCGCCGGAGCAGGGYGGCCAGATGCCCGTGCTGGACAAAGCTGGGAAATAAGCACATTTAATGAGCAGATGCACTCAGAGGGATTAGTTTTTTACATAGCTGCGCTTGCCAGGTAATGTAGGTCAAAGATTTAGCTATTTGTGTCGGCAAGGATCCCGTCCTAATAAATGTCAACATACGGGACACGCTGTCAGAGGATGTCTGATGTCTTACTCAGCACTAAGTACAAACCTGTAAGAACACAGTGCTGTGGGGCTCATCTCTTTGCTCAGATCAGCTAGTCAGCAAGAAAGCTATAGACATCTGATTCACTTCAGCACCCCCTTCTTAAAAAAGTTGGAATTTAAATGACAAAAGCCACGATTCTGAGAGATCACTGGATAGCTCCCATTTTGGTCCAGGTAGTACTTAGAGCTGGTCCAGGTAGTACTTAGAGCTGGTCTTGCTTCCCCACTAGACACTCAATAAAATAATGTGAGAGGGTAGTTAGAGGAGAATCAGCAATAGGGTTTTGAGGAGCCACATGCTGTGTGACGTAGATGTTAGATGGGAAAATGGGGATGTGTGTCCTGCCGTGCTGTGGTATTTGGAGTGGCCGTTTTCAGTCAAGTCTGGATAGGTAGCAGTGGCTACTAGCAGTGAGCCTGTTCCTTTTGAAAATCATGGAGCGCTCATGGTTTGGGTACCATCAGATCTTGGTTTTCCTGTCTAGACCTTACATTCATGCACCCTCGTAAGGGGAAAAAAAAAAATCCTAGAAAAAGGATAGGTTTGAGCTATTTGGAGGTTTGGAGCTATATGTTGAGCTATTTGGAGGTTCTTTACGACAAGATGAACAAATGGAAGAGCRGGGAAGTATTTCAGAGATGTGATAATAGCTCTTAGTGGTTGTGATGTGACGTGGTTCTGACACCCACCAGAGCACGATCCTGTGCAACATACACTAGATGTTTGTGTTTGTGCAGGATGGTTGGACTAGATAATCTTCAGGAGTCCCTTCCAACCCCAGCCACTCTGTGATTCACTTGCAGAAAAACAAGGACTTGCCTGAGGTTGTTATTTATTTTGTGTGGCTTTATTTTGTGAGAYTTAATTCACTTTTTTGTGGTTAATTATATACTTTATATTGCTGCTTTGTTTTCCATTTTAAAGATTTCACCAAGTGATACTTAAATTGTTGTAAAACCTCATTATTTATAAAGCTGTCACKCAGTTTCATTCCCTTCAAGGAGAGAATCTGCTATTTGCTAGACAACTTCTGGCCCTGCTCTCCATAATAACATACAGTAACAATCTGCTTGCTGGCTTTAGAAAGAAATCTGGAGATATTAGATTTAATAACTTCTCCTACAAAATGGAACACAATCAAATGTAGACTAGCAATTATACCGGAATAGTCACCGGTTTCCTTCCCGACAAAGCCATAACCATCAGTTAATGAGTATGTTTGTCCACAGGTGTCTCTGCGTAAGCAGGAGATCGAGGACAGACTCAATGCCTGGATCATATTCAATGAGAAGAATAAGGAGCTGTGCTCGTGGCTGGTGCAGATGGAAAGCAAAGTGCTGCAGACTGCAGATGTTAGCATTGAAGACATGATAGACAAGCTGCAGAAGGTAAGTAGCAGCATGGTGTTTACTGAATTGCAGCCTGGGAACTCGTCATAGAGACTCCAGTCCCCATCTCTTCCTTGTTCCTGGAAAGTGAAACATGGTCTAAAAACAGCACGTACAAGCTCTGCGAGGTGCCGAGATGCTCCACCTTCCCAGTGCTCGTATTGAGAGCAAAATGCAAAGCAGAAATACCACCCAGCTGCATTCAGGCACCCAGCATGACATGTTTTTGTTACCAGTGTGGGCGTCTGGGCCGTAGTGTCTGTGCATGCACACACATACACTGCTCCCCAGAGCCTCCTGCACGGGTCAGCAGTGTCCTGGTGTGTCACTGCTGGCACCATCTCTAGCCAGGGTCAGCTGCTGAGAAAAAGTTGGAAGAGGTGGCAGATCTTACGTGAGCCCAATAAGGAGTTCCCACAGCCAAAAATAATGCCTAGAGATTGAAATGGGGAATAATCCTGTGGTGGCTTCATGTTGGTACTCGGTCCAGTTAGTGCTTCCTAATACCTTCCTATTAGCTTGATTTAAAACAGGGCTGGTTTTTGCTGCAGTTTTCTGTGTGGCTTAAAGAGCTCAATATCTAATCCCAGTTCTCCCCTGGATAAGAATACCAGCAAAATAAAGTCATCCTAGGCATGAATTTGGGTTCTTTCAAGGTAGCTTGATTGAAAAATTAAGTTAAATTAGGAAAGCAGGGGCAAATTTAGAACATTAAATTGCTATTTTTAGGAGTACTAAACTGCTGGCCTTTACTAGACTTTAAGCGGCTTATTTTTTTCATAGTGACTTCATTGTGAGAGCTTTTCCATTGAGGATTTTCTTTTTTAAGTAAATTTTATGTACTCATGTAGAAACCCTGACCATTCCAAGACAAAACTGTGTTTGCATTCTATGTATGGAGAAATAAATAGGGTTGTTTGGTTATGCTTGGGAATAAAGCAATGTTTGTGTGTATTTTCAGGATTGCATGGAAGAAATAAACCTGTTCAGTGAAAATAAGCTTCACTTGAAACAAATGGGTGAGCAGCTCATTAAGGCTAGCAACAAGAGCCGAGTTGCAGAAATAGATGACAAACTCAATAAAATCAATGATCGCTGGCAGCATCTCTTTGATGTCATTGGAGCACGGTAAGAAAATGCTTTTCAGTGTTTTAAGATAAAAGTGAGAGACCAGTGTCCTCAGCCATCAAAGACAGGCTGACACAACGTGTGAATTCTGTTTAAAATGAATTGTGTTATTGAAATTCAAATTTAACTGCAGGGTTTTTTTGTCGTTGTTGCAACTTGTTGCTATATTACGACATAGCAACCATGTCTTAATTTATCCAGCGCTAGAGGGCAGGGTGTAAGAATTCATGTATAATGTAATTTTAATCATGAGAGCTATGTAAAAGGAAGAGTCAAAACAATTTCTCTGTTGGTGTTGAACACAGCTTTATTTTAAGAGCATGTGATAGGAGTTTATTTGAAGATGTTTTTAGGAGAGCTTCCTGTTTTTAAAAGACAAGCCTCTATTTTATCCTCACATATTTAGACCCTAAGGAGATCCCTAACCTGTGTTTTTGTGGCTGTGCAAATGGTCAGATTCATGTAATGATAATATTCYCTTTTGATCTTCAAAAGCATATGGGCTTATCATGGAAAATACTGATATTTCTTTATTCGTTCTTTCTTCCCTAAGTATGATTGAAAGACCATACCACAAGCTTATATTTTATTAAAATATTTATTATATTTTAAATTCAATATATTATGCATGGTGGTAACCTAGTGGTAGCGCTACCAGGAAAAACTAAAACAAAAATCTGTGAGGTCCAGTCGGTGACCTCTTCTTACTGAATTAAACATCCTCACAATATTGAAAGGGTTAAGAACATGTTAAATGTAGTATTATTCTTACTGAGGCTATCTTATTTCACAATAATTTCTGAATTTCTACGATAACCTGGGAAGAGGATGCCAGGTTGGTCTCGCCTCCTTCCTGCMTTGATTAGCAATACAGAAATAGAAAGACCAGCACAACATCAGTACCGATCTGAACTTGTCTCCCAAGTTTTGCTTTTCCTTGTGGCCTCCCACTTCGCGCTCCTTTGGGCCTGGAGATGCTCTCTGCTCGGGGCAGATGAAGCTGGAGGTTGTGCTGAGGCTGTGCTGTGCCAAGCATGCTGCTGCTTAACCTGAAATTAGATCAGAATTAACGGTAACACACGAGCCATGAATGATTAAGCAGAAGCTGCCTTCTTAGGATCTAACACCGATCTCATCTTTAGATACATCTTGGAGCAGTTCCTCTTGCAGGGTGCCAGTGTTGTAATTGTAGGAATTATTGCTTCGCTATTATACCTGGGATTTTGTTGTTAATATTCGTCTCTTATGGTAACATACTTCTTGATTCTAAAACGACTTCTGGTAGTCATTTACATCTTGTTTTGTGTCAGATATGAATCATAACAATGCTTAAACACAGATTAAAGTGCATAGTGTTTTAAAGATCAAGTAAACATGGCAYGTTTCCAGTAATATTTAGGAAAACATGCTAAAGAGCTGGTGGGGTATTTGCAGTAATGCCTGGCTCTCTATTCAAGTAGTTGCTGCCAATTGAGCATTTATCTGTCTGCTTGGGATGTCTTAGAGCCTTTACCTTCAGACAAATGTGTTGGTGGTGTTTTGAGGTAAGTTAGTGCACATTTCCCTAGAGCATCAGCAGCCCCTAGAGAGGTGGTTTGCTCCTRTGTGACAGTGTCTGGGCTCTTGGCCTGAAAGACATTTGAACGTACTGGCTTCCACCTGTGATTTCCYTTCAGTTGTGCATTCAGGAGCAGGATGAAGAATTGGAAGGACTGATGGGAGCTGGCTTTAAGTGAACAGAGATATTGGGCAGCCCTGTAAGTTTGCTGGCCCCTGACTGCATTTTGTAGCGTGGATGTGGCACATCTCTGCTGTCGTCTAGTCCAGGGGAAATCTGGAGGGAGGTGAATTAGGCTTGAAATAGATATTCATTGAGGTTTCCACCTCAGTGATGGGATTCTGGCACTGGAAAGGAGGTCCCACCTGTGCTTTTTTGAGCAGGCAGCCTCTTTTAAGCCCAGTGAGGGAGGAGCAGCATTAGTGATMGCAGATATCATGTGAGCTGGGCCTCTTCATCAGGGGCAGAGCAGAGCAAGGGATCTTGGCCTGGAGATGAGAAGATCCGTGAGTGTGGGTTGTGATGCTCTGCACTGATAGACCATCTCTCTCCTTTTCACTTGGCTTTTGCAAAAGCCTTAAAAATCGTATTTAAGCAGCACTAACAGAGCTAGGATGCTGCTGAAAGCTGTGAGGTGGCAGAATTTGGGTTGGCCCCATTGCATGGAGAGGGAGAGACTGCCATACCACCCCGCTGCTCCCTATCATGGCATAACCTGGCACAGCCCCTTGCCCAGGATCCAGCTCTATCCGCTGGGAAGAGTAATGGGGATGGAGCAAACGCTGCAGGGCAGGAGTGCAGGAGGCCTAGGAGGTTCTTTCCATTGAGATAAGAGAATGTGCCTGGAGGTAAATTACTAACTTCTGCAGCAGAGGAGAAACAATCTTGTCATGCTCCTGGCAAAGCTACTTGTAGTGATTTGTTTTCACGACATCGGAGTGAGCRAGGAGGTGGTTCTGCTTCTGGCTCTGTAGCTCAATAGCCAGGAAGCTGCAGATGTTCTGAGGTTTGGGTCCCGAGTCCGAGGCCACTTGGAGGCCACTGTGATTAAAGACTGTAAAATAATCCCTGTCTGCAAGAGAATCCAATCAAGTTTTATAGATGACTTTAATTCTGTTGTTTCCTTTGTCTCCATGGATGACTCTGCAAGTAGCATTTATCTTTCCTGTGCTGCAGTACCTGTATCTACACCTGCGTGATACCAAAATGAGAGCAAATCAGTCCCGGGCCAATCTAGCAGATACACAACACTCTGCTGATAGCTTATTTCACCCTTTTAAACCAATAAACATCCCGGGACAGATGGGCAAATTAGGTGAGCTCTCCACTTAGCCTGTGAAGCGATTCTCTTAGTTTGCGGCGACAAGCTCAGCTTTGCCATATGGCAGCCCTCGCCACGCGCCCGAGCGTGCCGCGGTGCGCGCCAGGAAAGGCTAATGCTCAGGGGAAGGTAACTGTTAGGGTGTTGGCTTTCCAGCCGTGCAAATGCCTTTSTGTTCCGCCGGGAAGCTGCGGAGATTCTCGTGCTCGTGTGTCTTTGGTAGAGGAAGGGTGTAAAGGCACCAAGAGGAGGGCAAGCTCTGCTGGGCGCGTGCCCTGTGCGTGTCGCGGGAGTCCCTTCGAACGGCCCTTTGGTGCAGGCGCCGCTTGTCGGAGTGGCGAGCTGATGCC